GGGCAGAGATTGAAAATATAATTTATTTCCTTCAAACACAAATGTAACTGTTATTTATCATTTAAAGTAACTGTACTGTATTTATCAGTACAGAACAGTTTTAAAAAAAAATACAAGTTCATTAATTCTAAGCATTTTGGGCCAACATCATAAATGGTCATATTGCACCATCTTATAAACCAAAATGAAATATCAACTGAATATCTTGAAACTGAGATCCAGTCCATCAACATTTTCAATATCAGCACCTATATTCAATACCAGTATCACATCACTGCATCCATATAAGGTATACAGTCTTTTATAATGATAAGACACAAAAAACAGACCACAAATTACAACAAAAACAACAAACTATATGTTTCTAAATAAGGGTATAAGATGATATTTACAGTCCATATTCATATTACAGTCCACAGTCACTTATTGCAGTACTTGAACATACTTGACATAATTAGCACATTTCTGATGGATTGCCAAAATAACAGCCTGATAAGCATAATGTGAGACAAATGTACTATAAATGTAATAATAATAATAAGTTATCGTCCCATACCACAATTTTATGACCCACTGCATGCTATTGACCACAAACGTGCGTTCCACCAGCTTGAAGCCAGTAGCAGTAGTTAGTTAGCAGCATGCTATGCCATAAGCTCAGGCCATAACAGCGGAGGTCTGGTACATTACAGTGAAAAAACCCACCTGTTTGAGCTCAGCTGTGAGGGAACGCTTTGGGGCTCCCAGTGAACTACGGCAGCAACGAGAGCGCACAGGTCAGACAGACTCTTTTTGAATAATTCATATGGTATTAATACTACATGTAAGGCATTCAAGCAGCTTGGGGTTTGCCTGAGGTTTGTAGTTTGATGGATAGAATACTGTGAAGTGTGAACTTGAAAGTTGGTTTTGCAGCATCTATTTACTTCTACATTGTATTCATGTTTTCAGGCTGGCCAATCAGGCTATGTTTTATCATTGATTGCATGAATTATTACACAGATGAATTTTTAGAACATATTGAGTGTCCCATTGACAGAAGACAATTTTTTTCCTTTGCTATGGATCCTACCTACAGAAAACATATCGAGAAAAAATATATACTAATTGGTTCTGGGGGTTTTTGTTATAAAGTGTTTCACTAACAAACTACCAAGATCTTATGTAAAACTTTTTGGCAACCTACCTTTGTTGGCTTAGTGCATGTACTGCGACTAACCCAGGCCTAAATCTCGATTAGACCAGGACTAAACCAGGAAAAGAAAAGGACCAAACCAAATTTATGTCAGGAGAATACATGAACTAAACTAGTACTGAATTAGGACGAGGCTAAGAATAGACTAGGCCTAGTTAAAATAATATGCAAGATGGAACTTTGAAACTCAGAACAATTCCCATTACAGCCTTTATTCTAATCTAATAATTAATCTAATGAAAATACAAATTGAATAAAATTAGATTCCCTTGTATTTTGGGAGCTTTTGTGACCAAACTTGCCTCAAACAATAGTATCCAATTTGTAGAGTGCCCTGAACAATGACCCTCTGTACCGTTGGCACATAATCAGTGATAAGATGTGTTCTACCATCTAATGAGCTGATGATCTGATCCCACTAGACAGGGCATGAATAGGGACACATTTGTATGCATGAGGGTGTTATGATAAGTTGTGTAACCTGTGAGAATATAACTGTATATGAACACCATGACTGGAGAGGGGGGTACCTTTTTAAAGTTGCTGTGTTTGCTGGTGCCCTGTTCAGTGTTCTGGTTGTGAATGATGTCCAGAGGAGTCTCTCTTTCTTTCAACTTCAAACTTTCAATCTCCGTCTTCAGCTCGTTCAACTGTTCCTGCAAGTGTTTACTCTTTTCCATGTACTCCACTCTGTAAGAAGGACGGCAAATGGTCAGACATCAGGTATTAAAATTTCTATATACATTTGGGCTTTCATAGATGTTCTTATACATTGTGAATAGATGGATTGAACAGTAACTGCACTTATAGGGGTTGTACCCAGTTTTTTCATGTAAAAAAGTAAAATTTGTTTTGCCCTCGTACAGGTTTATCATTAAAGGTGCTCTTAGAGTCAAAAGAGTGTGTGCAGTCTGCATCTAACTAAAGGTTTTTAATGTTCACAAACCAAGATGTAGTGCTCGTGCACTCTGAGCATGCTTGTTCTTGTTAGCATTATCGCCACGTGAAAACTCTACAAGTTGTGAAAAGTGGTTATAAAGTTATAGTGGTAAATAATTAGGATAGAGTCAAGTACCCAACCATTTAAAATGAACTAGTTTTTATTTTTTGTGTTTTGGGTAAAAATTAGGCACAGTGCCTTTTAAAACTGGCAAATGAGTTGTTGCATAACAAAAGGCAACTACTACCACATGACAGAAACTTAAAGTGAAATACAATGCAGGGTCATCATTATGGATCCCACACACCTGCTGCACCAAGAGCTCCAGCTTCATTGCTCTGGACCAGGGGTGTCAAACTCAAATTCACAGAACACCAAAATTAAAAACTGGGACTTAGTCGTGGGCCAAACTAAATATTTATTGAAAAATGTCAACAACATCAGCATGTTTTCTCTTCTTTTGAGATATGTAATATTAAACCTTTTCTTATTAAAATAAATGTTTAATAATAGTTTTGCTTAAACACTGAATCCAGAACAAGCATAATATAAAATAACAACAAAATTTTAAATAAATAATGTCTCTATAGCCTATCTGTAGCTGGCAGCAGGCTATAATACATATTTGATATGATCTCGCAGGCCGAATATAATAATCTTGCGGGCCAGATTTGACCACCGGGCCTGAGTTTGACATGTCTGTTCTGGACGGTGTTTTATGGTCCCTTGAGGGAAAAGCAAATGGCAGGAACAGCTTTGTTTCTGCAGCAATAGGATCACTTAATAGGACTACTGTCCAGGTGCAATCTGTCGAACTGACTTTTGAAGGCACTGGTGTTGAGTGCCTGATCTGATATCCGTGTAATCTTGTGTGTTTTAATTTTAATGTTATTGCACTGTTGTGATCCCTTCTCCAAACAAATTCACCCTCAGGTACTAATAAAGAAGCCCTTAAACGTGAACCTCATTCAAGATTCAATGACTCTTTGAAAGAACAATGTGTATTTCTTTCCATGTTTTACATTTATAATACAATTATATCTTTTCTTCACAAAATGCAGAAATAAATGCAAATATTAGTATTTCGACACAATTACATATGTGCATGTCCTAGAAAAATCCTTTAAAATGACTTCCAGTGGGACTATGTGATGTCCACAGAAATGCGAGTGACTTACTTCTCCTTCTCTATCTCCATGGAGAGGCGTTTCATGTCAGTGTCTTTAAACTCAAAGCTGAGGTTTTCTCTACTGTAGTTCAGGTCCGGGGGCATGCGGTCCGCTGGCAATCCAGGGGGCTGCAGGAGAAAATACAGAAATATATAGTACAAGAATTAATGAGAAATGTTATCTGAAAATGGTGGACAGAATATAGATATAAATATAAGATGAAGTGTCTATGGAAAGAGAAAAACACTTTGAAGACAAGCTACATTCTTCTTGTGACCTAATGCCTGAAATGCATTCTCCACATGTCAATTTGAGCATCGTGTGTGGAAAAAGAAGCAAATCTGATACACTATTTAAATGTAAATTCATGGGCGACTGTGTGAATTCAAAGTGTAGTGAGGGGCCGTCCACATAAACATGGTATGGCAGGGCATGCAGGCCAATGTTACAGAGGGTCCAGAAAAACAGCAAAATGTGTTTATGTAGGTTTATGTGTGGTGGTGTGTGGAGGCATTTCTGACGAGGAGAGTTCTATATGTAACGTGTGCCAATATTATACACTCAATGAATGATGATCGTTGTTGCCGGGCAAGTCCAGAGTTGTATATTTCTGTATTTTTTATACAGAGGTGTATAAGTCAGGTCAACACCCCCTCTGTTGTGTTTCAAGCTAGGTTCCAAACACGATCATGCAATCAGATTTATTTCAGCTGCTGCGCATACAAGCTCACTTAAACCTCATTAATATCTGATTTTATACTTTTAAAATTACATGAACATGTAAACTGCACAATTTGAGGTGAGTAATCAGATGGACCAAGATCAAATGATTTTGCTGTTTACTTACATAATTTTGCGTGTGCATGTACTTGCAGCCTGTGAATTTCGACAGCGGCATTTCGAAGACAATGAAACACAATTGCAATGTAATATTTTCTGCAATTTTGCGGTGAATTTGTACATTGTAAATGTCCTTATTTTTACAGACAAAACTAGTACTTACTCCCTAATTGCAGTGTTACTTACTGTTTTGGTGTTTCTTAAAGTATTCCTTTCAAACTGTTAATTAGTTTTACTGCTACAAAACAACTTACGAAACATTAGCAGGGGACAGAGAAGAGAACAAAGGTAAGTAACTAAGGGTAAACATTAGAGTCTTCAATTTACTTGGGAATAACAACTATTTATTGTATTGCATAATTTTGACATTGCATATTTTTGTTGTTGTGAACTTGTCATATGCAAAGACCAATGTGAAAATCAAAAGTGTTACGTAGTAGGGTGCTGATGCAAGCTGCCCAAAACAGATGTAACTTCACAGCTTAACTAGTAGTGTACTAGTTAATTAATTATTCTAAATACTTAAATAAAATTGCATAAAATTAAAATCTAATTGCAAATGCATTTAAGTTGATGACACTGAGGAAGACAGTGCGTGTCAAAGCGTAATTAATGAAATGATATGGACTAGTAGTGGATAATGAAACACATTAATAAGTGAAAACTGTGTTATTAAGAAATAACCGAGTACATTAAAAATTGGAAAAAAACTCCAATTACAGTAGTTCTGACCAAGCTTAGCTCAAACCACTACCTTAGTACTGTATTTCAGCTGGTGTGTTATATCATTCTTACCATATAAACATCTTTGCTCATGATTTCCAGAAGCTTGTGTTTTGCCCTGCGCTCGGACTCACGAGCTGCCTGCAGGTCTTGCTTCAACTGCTCCGCCTCTTTGGCCCTGAGGGACAGACACAATCATCACACAGATAATATGTGAAACCATGCACAGAGACAAACAGAATTATATCCAAATGAAGCGCTTTAAATTATTAAATCTTTGGAGCTTGGAGAACTTGAATAGTCCGTTGTGATTAGGCTTGGAGATCAATGCATTCGCCTGGCAGACAATCCTATTATTCCAGCCCATCTCGTATGCACATAGGAATTTCTTAATGCTATAGCTGAGTGATTACATTTGGTTTCAATAGAATTCCCAAACAATCAGCACTTCCTGGTTCATGTGGGCTCGAGTGGATGTAGTCATTTACATGCTGAGTGCCATGGGTCGAAATTCTGCTGCTGCAAAAAGTGCTTATTCACAAATTGCAGTTCTGGCAAGTGGTTAATGGATCCTATTTGAAGTGATTGCCTAATAAATAGTGAGGCTATAGTGCCCGTGTATTCACCTTTATTATATAAATGACTTTATTCTCTGGTGCAATGGGCTGAGGTGAGTAAGGGTATCAGATACAAACTTCCCAAGAGACCGTCAGCTATAATTATAAAGGTCCTATATTACGCAAAATTTACGCCATGTTATAATATTGATAGCTGAATTTAAAAATGCTCTGTTCCACCGTGTATTGATAGTTTTCAAGTTAACAGCTACTTTTTACCTTTTCTTTAGTAGAAATTGGCAATTCCAGGGCTGAAATTATCCATATGATTCTAGTGATGGTGTATGTGTATTACCACATGACATCCCAAAGTGGAACAAAGTTCTTCAAGAGAAGTACTAAATATGCAGGGTTTGTGTGTTAAAACACACAAGTCAACTCTGGGTATGTTTTCAATGAGGAAACAACATTATAACGTAGATCAAAAAATAGTGTAATATGGGCCCTTTAAATAATCCCCAATGTGTGAAGGAGTCAAGCTTACTAACACATAAAACAAAGATTAAATAACAGTTAAAAGGACTCTGCACAGTGCAAGGGCATTTGCTAAAGAAACCCTCATCAATCAGAACTACTACTGATAATTAACCAGCACAAATTAACTGAGGTGGTTAAACTAAAGGGGAGAGCCAAACAATAGCCTTCTTTATTTTGCCTCTGTGCACCAGTGTGGCTATAGCTGACTGATTACCTGCTATTCAGCTGCAGAGTTGGAAGAATGCCTTTGTATTTAATGATTTTAAACTAGTTCGAAGTTTTCTTTCTTTGATCGTCAAATTTGAATGCAGCAGTCGTAGCTCCATATGAAAAGACGTATTGACTTATCATGATAGCCCACGTAGCCCACATTGTTCTTAGGCTCCAAGAATAGTTAATGTGGTTTTAGAGAGGGAAGCTGATTTAAGACAGCTCTGTGGAACACTTCCAATTCAGTTCAAATTCTTGCATATACGCTTCTGGTAGAGGGCACACCAACTGCTGGTCTCCATGAAGATGTTAATGCTTTGCCTGGAATGTGCCACTGTATGGCAAACTTATGGATCTCCCAAGAAACAAGCATGGCAAGATGATGCCACAAGGCAAGGTGTGCCCAGAAGATCCCAAAAGTCAGATTCAAAAGAATGAGTTATGGATCGTAATACTGTTCGCCACCACTGAATAGTTTTAAGCAGTGCCTGAAGCCAAATTCAGAGCTGATGTTTTCAAAGATGCTTTTGTCCCGTTTACCGTCTCTCAGACTCCTCAGCCATCTGCAGCGCCAGCATTTCGGCCTGGATCATCTTCTGCTCGATGAGGCGCCGCTCCTCTTGGCCGCGGATGGCGCTCACTTTGATTCTCTGCATCTCCGTCTCAGCCTCGGCAGCTTTCTCCGCCAGCAGCTTGGCCTCCTCTTCTGCGATCTGAGCCTTTTCAGCCAGCAGGTCTGCAGTCTGCTCCGAGCGCAGCTGGAGAGGGCGCCATGAGGACGAGAGGATTAGAGGGAAAAGGACATGCACAGTAACACAATGACTGGTCAGTGAGGAAGAGACAAGATGGATTCATGATCAGACAATAGTGTCTTGTTTATAGAAAATTGAGAAAGAAACAATAATTTGAAAATGTCAACAAGAATAGCAAAATCAAAAACTAACAAAAAAAAAAAAGAACACTTGGAAAGTTATAAACTTCACAAACATTTTATTTTTCAATTCAAGTTTCTGGGAATTTTTGGTATTAGGCTGAATTTCTTGCAAAGGAGAAAAGTTAGAAAAACACAATTTTTGAGAAAAACACAACTTTCTGAACAATAGTACTTTCTTATTACTCATTATATTTAATTAACTAAATAATTAGCTAATTAGACAAATTCTATAATCATGTTATTAAGTTTGTAAAAAAAAAAAGGTATATTATATTATATTATAGTTAAATAAACTGAACAAGGATCAAATTCATTAAATTTCTACTTACATTACATTTAAGACACAATAGAACACAGACATAATTGTTGGATGCATTGTGTTGACTCTCACCAGTGCTTCGTTGGCCATTTGTGCCTCATCTTGCAGTTGCAGAAGCCTCCTCTCCAGCTCGTCTCTGGCCCTCTCCGCCTCCTCCCTCATCTGTTTCTCCCGCTGAAGACGCTGTCTCTCCACCTGTCCACACCACCATTAGACAGATCAAATGAAGAGTCAGTGGAACAAAGATGATCAAAGTACATGAAGAACAAGTACACAAACTGCTTCTTCTGTACCTGTTTCCTGGCTCGCTCCTCTCTCGCTTGGGCTTTCATCTGCTGAACCTCCAAAGAGTCCACACGTCTTCTCCGCATGAACAAATCATGATTTCCAATACACAGCTGAAGGATCTACACACAGACATTTACCACTTTACCACTAGTCTCTTGTTATTTTTGCTACTTATTTTGAATTTATTATTAGTATTTATATTGTTGCTCTTTGTTATTATATTATTTTGTGATGTGTGAGCTACTGCGTACAAATATTTCCCCTTGCGGATCAATAAAGTTTGTCGAAGTCTAAATCTACTAGTAATACAATTTGTATAAAATAAGCATAACTGCATGTGTAATTCCTCAAGTCATTTAGGTAGATTCCATCACAGAAGTAAATTGCTTCTGTCAACTGGACAAATAAGTGAATGAGTCTTGCATCATCAAAATAACTTCTTCAGGTCTGATGGCATTCTGTAAATCACTGACTTAAATATCTGCCTGAGGGCATGAGCTAACAGTGAAACCAACATACCTTAGTTGTTTACAGGAAGTAGTATCTAGCTAGCTGGAAGTAGTAGTAGATAAATATGTAGGTAAGTTCACACCTAAGAGTAGTTCAATAGACTAACAACAGATACTCTTTACTATAAACAAGTAGCTTATAGTAAGTAACTAGTAGTAACTAGTGTTTGCATTGACTTACAGAACCCTGTCAAAGTATTCACTCATAAAAAATGTTTGGTTGACATAAACACAAATATAAACTCCCACTGTAGTAATAATGTTATTTTCAACAAACAAAAATTTTTAAAAGTAACACAAATGCATATAAAATTCCCTTATTCCAAATTCCAAGACACCTCCAAGAAGCAGCTCATGTTTTCTGTTTGGCACTGTTATAGTAATTACTTGGGAGGCAGCCAAAAGTGTGAGCTCTTGTTTCACAGACTAGTGGTAATTGAATTTCATTGTTATTTACAGAACTGAAAAACTCACCAATTTGTTGACCCTTAATCGTGATGAGTTGAACTTAAAAACATTAGCCTTCTTGTCCAAAGGCTTGATCGTGAACTAAACAAAGGGTAACAACTGTCAACTGAAGTACAAATAACTGTTTTTAGGACAAAGAAAATATTGATTCCCCCACCTCTTTATCACTGTAGGAGATGTTGCGGATCTCGTTCCAGGGGAAGGAGCACTTGGGTGTCAGTTTGTTGTCCAGGTCATAGATGTGGAGCCCAAGAGCATCCACTCCCAGGAGGAGTTCAGTTCCCTTTTTATTCTAGAGCAGAAATATGGACTTGGACTATTTGGATTAAAACAAAATACTAAAAATACAACATATATGTATTTTTACAATTTTATTTTAGTCCATTTTAGTATTTATCTATAACTACATCTATATCTATATCTGTATAGATTACTGATTACATAACCAAACAAGAATACTATTAATTCTCTCTCACACTGTCAAATACATTCAAATATATTACTATAACTAATACTCTGGTATATGATAATGAACCTTCTGAAAGATCGATTGTGAATTCAAACACATATTTTCACTTTAAAATGTTAGATAATGTGTTGTTGCAATTTTATTGTGCCAAAATAATAGTGACAATCAATTAATCAATGTTCCTGAAAACCCCAGTAAAAGTCACTAGCACACTGTGTGGTCTACACTTGTTTATTAAAAAAGTTATGCTCTGGTGCATTACAGTGAAGCTAAGGGTGACTTGGTGGTGGTATTTTGAAATGTCTTGACCTTTATAACATCACATTACTGAGGAAGGTTCCTTGTCATTAAGATTTATGTTGTTCAAGTTTGTTTGCCAACTTAATTAAATTGCATGTGTATATGGTAGAAACTCAACCATAAAACACCCAAGTTAGAAGTGTTAGGGAGCAGACTCCAATTTGCTGTCTACATTTCAGAGCACGATGACATTAACATAAGCTACTAATCCTCCATATTGGCTTATATTACAAAGATACAGCAAAGCAGCATTGGCTCACCCTGATTAAAAAGTAATTGACGCCATACATGTCCAGGTCTTGGGCTATTTTTAAATACTCCATCTCAGCTTCATCCCTGTTTCAAAGACAGACGGAGGGAGGAACATTGAGAGGGATCCAGGGGGAGAGAGGGAGAGAGAGAAAGGGATAGAGATAAACAGAAACGGAGAGAGAGCGAGGGTAGGAGGAGGAAACAGAAGATCAGACCTTGCTTCCTCAGCTTTTGTGCTCAGCATCTGTCATGTCGAGTGATCTAAAAAAATCTGCCACACTGCGCTTGTGAGGGCGTAAACAGAAACGGAAAAAACAACACCGACATACAACTTGAGTCTCTAAAAGGCTTAAGAGGCCACGCTTCATGGAAGAACTGACTTATTCTCAAGCCTAGTAGGCACTTTATTCTGTGATAGCAAAAACAAAACACTGAACATATTTTAGCTTTCTTGTTGCTATGATGCTTGACAGATTGGTAGATTTCAGGGTCGAATCTGAAGGGGGAAAATGAATATTAGCGTGCTTTGATGGTTGTGTGAAAGCAGGGCCTGCTGGTTTCTAAACTTTTAATAACTGGCTTTTTGATTTGCGTGCTGAGAAATGGGTGATTTAGCCTCATCAAAGTTTAACGGGCAGCAAAGTGTTATCCAAGTAAACAGCATAACTAGGCCTGACTTCAGTGGAAGAGCAAATGAAGAGCTGCACAGATGATGCACTCAGCAGTGGTTCAGACAATGATCTTTGATGCAACACTGAACACATGGTTTATTTCATAAACACTAATAAAAACTGATTATTTTGCCGTATGCCTTTTACTGGATGCTTCAACTATGAACTATGTAACTTTTCTGGTGGAAGGTCTGATAGCTGCCTGTCACCATGGAGACAAGCATGTGGCACAACCAGGCAAAGTTGCAAATCAGATCTATGGAGAAGCAAGTGGGGCTCACAGTATTTTAAAGCACGATATATTGTTACAGAGAAATACTGTGATAAACAATAATATTGAACCTACTTTCTGTCACTGACAAAAAGCAAGATAATGCCAGTAAACCTTTTTTTTTAATAGACAGTATCATTAAAAGTCATGAGCTGCAACAAATAAATGGCAGAATGAAACTGTAAATAGCCATAGAAGTTATTTATTCTACCCTCTACAGCTCAGACTTTACCTTATTACATGAAAATAAAAAAAATAAAAAATGTATCCACTTTTTAAAGAAACTGTACACACAATATATACTCAGCCCCAGAATATTGTTCCAGCTTTCATATATACGATATAAGGTGACGTAGCATTTATCGTGACAGGCCTAATGTGACAATAAAAATTAACCTGCTTTTTTTTTTTTTCATTTTCCTTACTATTGTGACAGAAAAAAAATATATATATATATATATATATATATATATATATATATATATATATATATATATATATATATATATATATATATATATATATAATAAACTTTCAGCATCTATGGATTGAGCCTTTACTCCTACCTGCAAATATTAATAATGTAATACTTAGGTGATGGCCAAGGAATGCTATCAAGAGTGCTTTGAAGTTAACTTTTGAAATGTACTGTGTATAAAAAAGATCCACAAAGCACATTTTCACTGTACAGACCTTTTGCTATCTTCAGTCATTTCTCTTGTGCTTGTTACCAACTTCTAAACAAAGTCTGGGGATTAGCTGCTTTCTTCTTGTTGGTTTTGAACAGAACTAACAATGACTCATCTAATACTTATCTTCTAGTTGTGGTGCTTATAGCTGACAAAAACAACAACTCTACTTTGGAGCACATAAATCACTACTGTGGGGATTTGAAGGGAATTTCCATTAAGTTATTCTTCAAAAGCCCCTCGAGCGACAGGCATTGCAAACAAGCAGCTACCACTATAAAGGGTGGACTTACTATCTGCTAATGTGTCTGTGTAATGGAGGATATGTGATAGATGTAGACCTGTCATGATAACACATTTTAAAGTGCAATATCTTGCTGAAGTAGATATATAGATGATAAACAATAATACTGAAATAAATAATTTATGCCACTGACACAATAACTCCAGAGTAGATTTAAACCGCAAAAACTAAATCTACAATATTGTTAAAAAATCATGAGCTACAATAAATAAACAGCAGAGTGAAACACTTAGTTTACATTTGTACAAAGTCATAGAAGTTATTAATTCAGTATTCTACAGCTCAACGCTAATTTTATAGCAGAACAGAAATGTCCCAGTGGTACAAAGAAAGTGTATCCACGATAAATACTGACCTTAATCTATTCTTATATCTCTCTGTCTCTTTCATATATTGACTGATAAGTTGATATAGTAATTATCGTGACAGGCCTAGATAGATGAAGTATATTCACTCACTGGCCACTTTAGTAGGAACTAGCTCAAAAACAGAGTTACCTAGAGTAAATTACTGCCCATGATTTTATTTTATTTTTTCGAGGAAAATAAGGGTAAAATACCAGTTATTATTTCTTCTAAATAAAGACATTCAATTAAAACTCATATTAAAGGAGTACTGTGCAAACATGTGACTATTTACCATTTAATTTCATTAAAGGCATACTGTGTAATTTTTCAATGTCTGCCAAGCCACCTATTTGTGTCAATGAAATGTGTTCGCTTTGCCTAGAATGTTCCACAGTAAAGTCTTGCAGTTATAAACAGTTATCTGTTATCTCAGTCATAAACACAACATGCATTCTTAGTGTGAGCAGGTCACCTCTCCATAGATCTAATCTGTAACTTGACCTGATGGCAAAATAGATCTCCTTGGAAACAAGCAGATAGAGGAAACTTTTGCCAGAAAAGCTACATAAAGTAGTGCACCTTAAAAATAGACCGTCTTCGTGAGTAATTACTAGTTATTTTTATAAATAGTGAATTGATGAAAGAGAATGAACAACATATCTGAAAATAAGTGCTGTCCCATATTTCAGAGTGAGATCAGCTACATTTAGATAAATAGTCCTAAAATGATGTTACATACAAGGTACAACTATGAAACGTCAGAGCAGATGCAGTAGTTTTTACCTCGTCCTGCCCCGGTGCTGTGCATAACACGCCGTAATCCTCTCCTCCCACATTTCTGGAGTCATCTGGTACAAGTTAATTACCTGAAATAGACCAGGCCACATACATAACCATGAGTGCAGGCTGAAAATACAGCACTGAGCTGCATGGTCCAAACAGCTGTAGGCTTAGATACATGTTAACACAACACTCTCACCCTCTTTGGCAGCAGCTCCTCCTCAGCCAAGAAGCCAGGTTTGTGAATGCTGGGGTCATAGTCTCCATACTGAAATCAAATAATATTGTAAAATTGTGAATATTGCATAGAAATTATAAATCAAATCAAATTCGAAACACGATAAAACATCTTTTGAGTGTTTTGTGGTGCAGCGTCTGCAGTGATGTGGTCACTGTACTGAACCATTGTGGTGAAGAAGGAGCTGAGCCGAAAGGCAAAGCTCTCGATTTACCGCTCAATCTACATTCTTACCCTCACCTATGGTCATGAGCTTTGGGTAATGACTGAAAGGACAAGATCACGGATACAAGCAGTTGAAATTAGTTTCCTCTGCAGGGAGGCTGGGTGCTCCCTTAGAAATCCGGTGAGGAGCTCAGTCACATGAGAGCAGTTCAGAGTAGAGCCGCTGCTCCTTCACATCGAGAGGAGTCAGCTGAGGCGGCTCAGGCATCTGTTCCAGATACCTCCTGAACGCCTCCCTCGGGAGGTGTTCCGGGCATGTCTCACCGGGAGGAGGCCACGAGGAAAACCCAGGACACACTGGAGGGACTATGCCTCTCGGCAGGCCTGGGGACGCCTCAGGGTCCCCCCGGAGAGACAGGGGTTAGGGTAGGGGAAGGGGTAAGGGGAAGAAAATGGATGGATGTTTCAGAATAACTAGGTGGTCATAATCTATGTTACTATAAAGCTATAGAGGTAGGACTCTATACACTTAAGACCATGTAAGTGAGTGACAGGTAGATACAACAAATCAGAGTGACATGTGAACTCTGTATACTGAACAGTGTTTTCTATAGATTCTGGGAGACCATGATGGCAGAAAGAATTAAGATTTAATCATTTCATTTTATAGAATTTGTGGAATATAACAGATGCTTACTGCCTATTTAATCTTAAAGCCGTCATATTTGCATAATAGAGCTGCTTTTGAATGCTTATGATAAGACAATGGGCAACAAAGTGTGAATTTGTCGAGCCAATCTAGTCCGGGATGTTTTCGGACTATGGAGGGAGAATTTTAAACTGTATTAATGAGAAACACTCAATCAAATCAAAATTGTGATCTAGGCTTTAGAAAAGTGGTTTTGGCATATCACCCGCCCCTGCCTCTAAAAGCAAGATGCACATATCACATGCTGCCATTTTTACTCTATTACCAAATCCCATATGTTGTTTGTGTTCAATTAAAATTGGATTATTAATAATTATGCAAATGCAAAAACACAATCTAAAAAGCATATGAGCCTGCCTGTTTAATTAATACAAGGCCTTGCTGTGCATCCTCTGGGACTTCGTATTCATGAAAAGCTCCAGTGAGAAAAATGTGTTACAGGGACTGAATGGTGGTTTGACAGGCACTAGGTCATTACACTCAGAGTGGCCCAGTTGTTGTGCAACAATGTAAATGATGCTATTAGAGAGGAAGGAAGCTACTTATTAATCATTACACACAAACCACACAGCGTTTAAAGGGAGATATGGTGGATTAGTATTGTGTAGATTCCGGGGGTTCTAATAACGTAATTGTAGGACATGAATTACACATGTACTTTGTGTAACAGACATGTTATGAATGTAAAGAGCAAGAAGAAGTAGGTTAGGTAATGTTGGATGGAAGTAGGCTAAGTGAATAGAGTTACAGCGTGGAATTGTAATTTGGGCCAAAATTCTTTAAGTCTTTAAATCTTTGAAACCATATCTATATAGGATTTATAGTAATTAGACACAAAAGCTAGACTTTGCTTTGTTTGTAGTGAAAAGGTGTAAATCAAGAAAAATAATTACTAATTACTATTGAAAATTAAACAAAATAAATACTACAAAAATGTTTCCGTTTACATTTCTAATATTCTGGTTTAATTTTTGGAGGTCTACCATCTGCTCATCTTCATGGACATGTTATTTTTTGACATGGAATGTTCCACAGTATAGCAACAAACTTATCCATAGTATTTCAGAAATGCCTTATAGTGAGTGGGACCCAAACTGTATTTGGACCTGGTGGCGTCACCTGCTTGTTTTATGGAAAACTGTAGAAAATTCTAGTCAAAACAAAAATATCTCTAGAGCTGACCCTCTATCAGAAATGTTACATGATGTGCCTTTAATTGCTTTGTGTATTTGTGTAACATTTCAGTAAACTGTACTATTGCGATAAAAAAATATTTTCTGACAAGCCCTAAATCTTTTGGATAATCCTTTCTTAATTTAATGTTTACAATTTGCCGCGGTTATAGGAAGCAGTTTGTTTACAGTGAGAGGACTGATTTTCTTTCTGTTTTGCAATTATCCACTTTATTAAATGCATTTACTGAAATTCTGTGTTTTCAAACTGCTCTAAACTGCTCAGCATTTCATTAGCTCTGCTGCAGACTAGAAAGGCTAAACCTCCTGCACAGTGGACAGAGCTGAGGAGAGGCGCCTACAGCCATTTAATTAGACCTTTCTGTTTTTCCATACAGATATGCCTCAAAACTCTTTGTAGAACTCAATAATACATCATAGTTATTCTGAGTTAAAATATATACTCCAAAGTTGAAAAAGTAGCAGCTTGAGTGACACCTTTCTTTCAATATTTAACTAAAAGCAGTGATCAATTCAAAAGCTACAAGTCAATATTTTTGCTTCTTAAATTGTGTTCGGTAAGAGAAGGAAGTCTGGTGAATGGACTTGGTGTGTTTGTCCAAATTAATAGTTTCCTTTCTGCACAGCTTGAGCGAATTAGCATGTCTCATCAGTCACTTTAGCTGTGTTACTTGGGCTATTGTTGAGTTGTTTTGTAATGGCACTGCAAGTCCAATTAAACTGACAAAGGCATCAACTCTTTTGCAGCAGGCTAGTAAATAAGTAAAGATAAGAAGATATACAGATTCATTGGTAACACTTAACTACACTTTATAGCTATACTTTGAAGAGCTGTAATAACACATGAAGAAAGAATTAATTGATAATGACCTAACATTTCAGAATGATTTTGTTTTTCAGTATGTTTGCTCTTTGATGTGATATTTATTGTGACGTGTGAGCTACTGTGTCCAAATCATTTCCATTGTGGATCAATAAAGTTTATCTAAGTTTGTCTAAGCTAAGTGTAAGATTGATTCAGGCTTTGTAACTACTTAATTAAAACTCCCAACCCTTCAATAAAGTAGTTGTTAAGCCCAAATTGTTCTTAGACTTAGACAAACTTTATTGATCCACAAGGGAAATTATTTTGTCACAGTAGCTAACTCATCACAATATATTATAATAACAAATAGTAAAAAATATAAATGGTAATAATAAATTCTAAATAAGTAGCAAAAATAACAAGAGACTGGTGTCAAATACATAATTATAAATAAATGTAAATGTGTATGTACAAGCCAACAGAAAAAAGAAAAATAAGTAATAAAAAAAGTTCAGCTATATACAAGAGGACATAAGGAAAACAGTACAAAATGATATGATGATTGACAGGACATTTGTTACATAAAGGTGAGATGTTGTAGAGTTGTATGGAGTATGGTATGAATGTAGTCGTGTATCTGTCACTGTCTGATTGGAGCTGTAGGAGCCTGTTGGAGAATGAGCTCCTCTTTCCCTCAATAGTCTGGTGCAGTCGGTGAGCAGGAGTATCCATGATGGAGAGCTGTTTGTCCACTGTCCTCCTGTCCCTCACTGTAACAAATGTGTCCAGTTCACAGCTGATCACGTGACCAGTTTTACGGATCAGTTTGTCAGTCCGCCCAAAAGTCCCTTTTACTGGTGCCACTCCCCCACAGCAAAGTACAGGGAGTTGGCCACCAAAGACTTGACCTGAGCTTTCTCAGGAAGGGAGTCTACTCACGCCCTTCTTGTATCAGTCCATTCTGCCATTTAGTATTTGTTGTGTGAAAAATCACTCAGTCATACAGGTAGAATCCATGGCAAAGAAGAAATTCAATTTGTCAACTGGACCAAAGTTTATTTGGTTGAATACATTTCGCAGCTCATCCAAACTGATTATTCAGTTCTGGTCAGACGCTGGTGGGTACTTCCTTATATCTGTCTGCAGGGAGGAGCTAACTACAATGAAACTACTCTGAAACTAACACACCTACTTGTTTACAGTTTCTGTTAGTTACATAGTTAGTTAGTTAGTTAGCTTCTTTAATTCTCCTTTCAAACCAATTCTTTTCTCTAGCTAAGATCTGTACCTCACTGTCCTCAAGAGTGGCCCATGAGTTTTAGGTGGAGATGTACGGCAGAAGCCATTGGTTTACTGTGATTATCCTGCTTTGTGTCAGTGGCAAAAAGTAGGTTCATATTATCATTTATCGCAGTATTTCTCTGTAGCGATATAGGGTGCTTCAAGATTTGTTATTGTGACAGGTCTATTTATTTGTAAAGAAAAAATATTTTTTTTAAACTGAACCAGAGCTGCAGTATTGCTCCCTCCTGTCTGAGTTTGTTCGGACACTTTTCACAGCACCACAGGACGAGAGGGAACTATGGGTACCCACCTCCTGGTCAGCTTGTGTCAATGGCTCCTTCTGTGCTTCTTGATATTTTGTGCACTTCTCTGCAGTACACGTTCAGAATACAGATTACAAATTACCTTAAGCACTGCAGACCAAATGAACTCAACTCTCCCTGGTCCCAAGTCTAAGGAGAGCTTAGATTAAATTTCAGATCTTATAAAGAAGAAATGTGGCTGCACCTTCTGTTTGTCTAATATTTGAGATTCCTCTTAAGATGTTCATTGCCAAATTAACTAAAGTCAACAATTTGGCACCAATGTGCATTTTAATAAAGCTCTATTTGGACTGCACAAATACGGCTTGAAATTCATGACATAAAATTTGACAAGCATTTAAATTAAGGTGGAAAAAGTATTTTTTCTTCTGGTGGTGGTGGGTTCTCAGTGTGGCATTAAATGGCCCATATTACACAATTTTCTGATTTATGTTGTATCCTCATCAAATTCAATTAATTCACACATGTTTAACACACAAATTCTGCATATTTAGCCTAAGTGCTTCTCTCAGACGGAAAACACTCAGTTCCACCTTGTGATGAAAACTACCATTTCATGACATCACAAGTTGGAACAGACCATTTTGATCTTTGGAGATGTAGACGGCCTATAAATCCAGGATTACTCAGACATGTGTGAATAGGGTTGAGTATCATTAAGAAATTGCCGATACAGTATATACATCGATATATAGGTCATGATACCATACATTTTTCGATACAGTGAGCTTTCTATTTGATACGATTCAATACGATATATTTCAAATCGATTTGATACGGTTCAATAAAAATCATGGCTGTGATACTAAAAGTCTTTGATAAACCACTTTTTGTGTAAAGTTAATATGAAACACAAACAGTTTAATCATCAAAACAGTGGCAATGCCAGATGTGTTGCAAAAACGAGTTTCCTTCCAGTAAACAAGCAACAAAACTGTATCATTGTAACAAAATAATTTAATACAATATACCAAAAAATACTCTTGACGATATTTCGAGACAGAAGCCCAAAACATCAGTACTGTATCGTCACATTAAACAATACGATAGATCAATATTTCAATATTTTTGCACATCTCTATGTGAGAATGAAACAAAACACTACTCCAAGCATGTTTATGAGGAGGTAAAAACATTAAAACATATCTTAAAGCTCACAAGAGTCAATTTCGCATAATGTATGACCTTTTATTTTATTTATTTTATTGGATTTATTCATTTACATTTGTTTTTATGCACATGTTCACCTCTCCACAGATCTGACCAGTAACTTGAGCTGCTGGCATCACAAGTTTGATGCCATACTGTGGAACATTCTAGGGAAAGCAATAACATCTCCATGGAGACAAGCAGGTGTTGGAGTAGGTTTACTATACCAATCTATTGTTCAATAGATGAAAGCTTGAACAATATTTTTGTGGATCACTATTTATTGTGGGTATTTTTTCTTAGCACAAGTGGGACATTTTTTGTTATTTGTCTGTGCGGGAATAAGAGTTGAGCCATAGAGTGTTGAATAAATAACGTCTTTGACTCATTCTAGTTACAAAATAACTACTTAAGTGTTTCCTTTTGCTATTTATTTGTTTCAGTTTGTGTTTCTTAACAATATTGTGCATTTATAATAGGAGGTAATCCTGTTTTACCATTATAGTGTTAGTGGCATAAATTTGTTTCAGTATTATCATTTATCATCCATTTTTACTTAAGCAATATATCGCTTTTCAAAATTCTTTATCGTGACTGGCCTATGTTGGACCCTCCACCATGAAGATTACACAGCACACATTCAAGAAGGAGGAGTTGTATTATTTATGTATTGAGGTGGAATGCAAGAATTTTTTTGGACTTTGGGAGTAGGAAGAGGGCTGTAATTAGTGCACTTGAAAGGGGTTAGAATACACAGTCACAATAATTAAGACACAGCCCTGATTAGAAATGTGTTGATAGTGTTAAATTAAAAAGAAGAGGATCAACATGTCATCAGGATCCTGCTTCAACGAGCTATTAATGGTGCTCATTTAGCACACAAACAGACATAATTGTGCCATTACTCTCTGAGAGTTGAGCAGGCCAGACAAAACAGAGCTAATCATGTTTGGTGGCTCAAGTTTTAATCAAACTAGAAGAACCTAATTTTATTATGTGTGAAAATTCATATTTACAACTGTTATGGACATAGACTGTGTTCATTCTGCGTTTGGCTCCATCCAAATGAACAACCATTTTTCAAAAGAAAGGGAACTGGAGTCAGGCCCATGCTCACTTCCTGTTTGGAACGAGGTGGCCATGGGGGTGCTTATGTCCATTTATATAATCTGTGGTTGGCTATAGGTGACATTTTGATGATTTTTCACTATTCAACATATATTTTCTTTAAAAAGCACACTTTTAAAGATATAGGTTTTTTGGTAGAAAGCCAGGCTTTGCTGCTAGGCAAAGTTACAGGTCAGATCTATGGGTAAGTGACCCTTCTCTGTAACAATGCATGCTTTTCAAGACAATAAAATCCTCTGTACTTGGATAAATGCAAGTAATATAAGTTTAATGCAGAACTGTAGAACTTTTCAGGCAAAACAATAACCTCTCTAATAGACACAAGAAGGTGATGAAGCCTTCCCCCAAAAAGTTACACAGTGTACCTTAAATTGTTAACTACTTTTTTTTTCAAATGATGTATGATGTTGATGATGTTTTTTTCCATGTTCTATAGGTTATAAAAAATAGTAGTAGCCACACAAGCTGATTTGTATTACAAATGTCACAGTATTACTCTCCTGAATAGAATTCCATGCAAATTCTTGTTGCTGATGCTTACTGTCTGATGCTAAATGCAGCTATAATTTACATGCTGAAAAATATCTTCAAACGATACAGACAGTGATCTAAGAATCTGCCTTACAAACTCACACAAGTGCTGCCACTCTTTCTGAGACTGATATAAACATGATAAAAATAGACAGAGTAGATCTTATTTTGTGATACACCTCTGCTTGTGCGCAAAACTTCCTCAAACAGTCTTCCTCAAACAGTGTATACGCTAATCTAAACAGACATCTTATTAAATGAAAATGGATTACAGCTCTGTTTATTCTTCTTTTTACTACAAAGTTTGTTTTTTAAAGGGCCCATATTACACCTTTTTCTGCTCTATGTTATAATAGACATTTTCACACACCACCACCGGACAAGGTGTGAATGTAAATGAGCCACATAGTTGAGGCAAAGGCATAGCGCCATGGTGCCATAGAGGCTACCACAGATACAAGAAAGCTCCATCTTCATTACATCACAAGGTGCAACAGAGGAGTTTGACTAATAATAAAGAATTACTCAAACATGTGTGAATGAAACAAAACACAACTATAGGTATGTTATGAAGAGGTAACAACTTTCTGACATGGCTTAAAGCTCACAAGAGTCAATTTTGCATAATATAGTACCTTTAAAGCTGATTTGCAACATGGAGATAAAGCATCAGGTAGTGTTATATTATCCGAAACACTCATTTTTTCCTATTCCTAACACTTTGTTATATTGCAAATATTAATATGCATGAATTTTTGGGTTGCCTACTCAGCTTTGTCAGACAGCAACACAAAGCAGGGTGTCCCCAAGCTTGCACTGCTAATCTACTCTCTTCCCAAGACGTAAGACAGAAAGTTTAACCACATATACTGAGTAATTCTTCTGGGCTTGTGCTAATTGCTTTATAATTACAAACAGATACATTTTGCCACCAAGTGCTGCTAACAATATGCTGTTTTTGGGGGTATGCATAACTGGGGAGTTTATTTTGTTTTTCTCTTAAACATTTTTATAATTATTACTTTATTTGTGGGAAGTACCTGTAATAAGTATGTTTCATAGTTTTACACCAGTCAAGTGTTAGTTTGTGAAAATTTTGTTGAATAAAACAGTTGAAAATTACAGAAAGTAGAGATAGGTTCTAAAACTGAATCCTTCAACCTATTTCATCAATACAAGGAACAGATAGCATTGTATTTCTGAGCATTTAAACAGTAATTTATTCATATACAGGTGTTGTCATATATTTTTAGTCATCAAATCATAACTATTGTGTTTACAGTATGGTTGCTAAGTAACACTTATGGAATTACCTCTACCTATATCCCAATTCAAGGGCTGCAGCCTTGGAAGGCCGGGTCTTTCGTAAGCTGTGAAGGCTGCAGCCCTCGAACTGGGACATGGCTTCTGTGATATCTGCTTCCCATGTCCAACAAGGAAGTAAAATTATAAACTTCACCAAAATTGTCAAACTAGGGAAAACCAAACAAGATTTTTAACTTAATTTTAAATATTATAATGCTATGAAACAATGTTTCAATGAAATGTGTTGCCTAAGCCGTCATATGCACTTAAGTAAAGCAGAGGAGACTTGTTTATTTCCATTTATCCACATTTTCTTTTAACCTAAGCCCTAAACTGGCATGGGAGAGATGTGCCTCACAGGGCTGTGGGCCAAAGCTCTGAGCAACCCTGGTCTCACTGGAGCCTGTCCGTCTGTCTGCACTGCACCTTCCTCTCACCATCTCTCTCCTGGAGTTTCCTGGAGATGAAATTCTTCAACCACAACCACAGAGATCGCTTGAGGTTTAATGGGCAAAGCTTTTTATCCTGCAGTGTTTTGATTGAACTTGGAGTAGCAGCTTGCTTGATCCTATGCCAGTAGGTTGTGGAGTTTTGCAGAACAATTATGAGCTAAATAATGAACTCTGCTGTTTGTTCGGTCTTATGTTTAAGACTTCTTAATAGCCAAAGATTTTGACTCTGGATGTCAATAAACAGCAGCACAATTAAATCTGTCACTATGATAAATTTTGAACCATGATATATTGCTACAGAGATGTACTATAAAATACATTTTCTTTTATTTGTGTTTTAAGTTTTCATTGTTATATTTAGTGTAAATAACAACTAGATGGAACAATGTTTCTATTATAAGCTACAGACAAGGGTGGGCATTCTAAGGAGTCCAATTCAAGATAAAAATGTCTATATCTCTAGATGTAGTCTAGATTTTATTTTATTGTTAGTTCTAAAACAGTGAGGGTTCATTGTTTCTCAACTTTGAAAAGTAGCACAAACACAAAAATGTATCTTTACTTTTTTTTTAGTTTTTTTTGAGTGTCGTCAATGACATGAATCTATCAGCAATGTTCTCCCCTGATGATGTTCCTCCATTGTAATCAATCGTTTCTTAATAATTACAATCTTCTTACATTGCATATATGGTACCTAACTCTTTTATTTCAATGATAAGGAATGGACAAGTGAACTGACCTTGGCATGGACAGCATACGAAGCCAGCAGGACCGAAGCCTCTGGTGGACAATGGATCTCTTCTTCAAGTATCTTCTTTTTTACCTGTAAAGTAAAAAATAGTAGAAAACTGGTCAAATCTTGGAACTTGCTTTGAGAAACATAGTGGAGAGTTGCATAATGAAAATCTTTTCCTTGACCAAAATAATGACATTGTAATAATTTGGGAGAAAGTGGCCTCAGAAACTTGGCATTTTCATGTTTTGAACTATTTTTCACCAGCAAAGACTCATTTAAGGATTAGCTCTTGAGATTGTGTGTTTTTTACTGTCATAGATCCAGGCAATCCCTTTAACAAGCTCCCTGCAGAATAACTCAACAAGTTAAACCAACTCAAGTCCAGTCACCTGTCCCAGAAATAGAATCATTAAAGCTAAGGATGCAAAATTGAACAGGTCTGAAGTAATTATTTAAATGACATAGTTCTGCAACAATATACAATGTCTTCATATAAAATAAAGCAAGCTGATAGGGAAATCTCAATTTTCAAGTCAGTTTTATTTAGTCTTTAAAAAAACTTTTTTAATTGATTTAATGAACATTAAAAAAAGACTTTTAATAAGAGCCACTTAAGACAAAACTTAACTTCCTCCAGAGTGAACACTGCTCCAAACCATGAGTTTACTGACAATGGATTGGATAGAGATCCATCAATTAAAAAAAAACAAAAAAACAACCATGCCACTGATCATTAGACATTATACATTAATGTTTCTATTACTCGTCCAGCCCTAGCAAAAAAACCTTCTAACTCCTCTACCTCTACACCGCTACAAACATGTTCTAAAATGCATGCAACAGTCTTCTCTCAAATGTTGGTCCTGGATGTGTTTAAAATATGCACACTCGGTCAAATCCATAACATAAATGACACAATGTCACAAAGCTTGTCAGATTTTGAGAGCTACAGGAAGGAGCCAAAAATACACTTCAGGTTATGCAAGTGACCCATTTAAAAGTTCAAAAACCATTTCTTCTGATGTCAGTCATGCTGTCATCTCTTGTTTTTGAACTAACAAAATGTGTGGAGCCAGAGGTGACAGCTGTTAATCGGGGTCAGTCAGGAGATCTGGTAAACAAATGAGGTTATATTGTAGCACCATAGCAGGTTTAAAACAAGTGTCAGTTTGGGTAAGCTGAGCTGTCTAAAGTGAATGAGCATGTGTGTGTGTGTGTGTGTATTGTATCCGGGTCGGTGATCGTTTGTGATAAGCGCTAATCCTGCTGTCATGTCCATGACACTATCTGAATGCGGGCCCTCCTCCTGGCTTTATTGGAATTAATGGGAGCCGAGTAACAGGGAGACAGGCGACATGGGGCAGAACGCATTTGTATTATTCAGCCCTTGTAGCTGTGACACCTCAACTGTTGGCTAATCTGTCTTGTTTTAAGAAAGGTCTCTACTAGGTTGATGTAAATAATTAAATAAAAGTAATGAGTAAATAAAAAGCTTCATTATGTGTTCATTTGGCTGCTTCCTTTGGCATTTGTAACCTCGCCATGCAGTGATTTAGCAGGTATTTCTGTCGGATGCCATGCCTGTAGCAATAAGCCACATTAGGCTGAAAGAAGTGGGCAATAGGTTAGGTTCACACATCATGACATCACAATAGCAGAAAAAGTTTAAACAATGTCTGTATACAATAATAGAATTTGCCTTTTAACTGTCAAAATGCAGATGTTTTGACCAGTTTTTGTTTTTTTTGTTTTTTCCACTTATGTATTTAAAAATTGTGACATTATTTAAACACAGGCATGACTGTTGTCAGGTGAAAAGGCCATTTGAGCCACAAGATTATCAAACTTGTAGGCTCAATCTCAAAAAATTTGGTAAAAAGCCCTGCCCTCCATCTGTAATTATGACATAAAATGTAGAATGTCTGGAACACAAATGGTAAAGTTTCAGTACAGTAGTAGTTGTGTACCATAACAGTAAGTATTGAATCTGGCTACCTTTTGCTCTGAAGGCGATAACTTACTGTCATGATAATTAAGACTTTAAAAGCAGGTCAATCAATAGTTTCAAGGAACAGTCCCATTTTGAGCTTGAAACAAAAGCAGCATATTGGGTCGGATAAGACAGGACACCAATGGCAGACAAGAATCCCACAGGGAACATGCTATTAAATGGGCCAATAAGGGAGTGCTCAGAGCTTAATTGGTAATTGATAAATGTAGCTGGCAGAAACAGATGATTGCAGCACAGCTACAGTCTCCTCTCCAGCTAAGAGAATGGTGTGGCTGCCTCTCATAGATTCTCCAGGGAGTATTAAGAGCAGGGAAAGGGCAGTGGTAATATGTTGTGCATTGATTCCACATGGCTGCACACAATCAGACAGGGACAATGGGAAAAAGTGTATTACAGAGTGCTCAGGAAACTGTCAGGAACTCTGTGGACCGATGCCCCCTTTTGGTGAGAATTGGATTGGAAGAGAACAAGCTGAATAGTAGCAAGACAGTAGAGTATTGTAAAAATAGGTCAAATCAGAGCTATAACAACATTTTGAGCAGTTACACTTCTGAGAATTTATTAGCTATATTTGCTGAATGGATTGGGCACTGAAAAATAAGCCAATTATAGACCAGAATATATATTAGTATGTTTGATAATTCATGCATATTTCATAAGAATTACCTAGATGTGTCTCATATAGGTCACAGATAGGATATAAACATACAAATATTGATTGAAATTTCAGTGAAATTATTTTTCCACAATTATAGCTTCAGAAAGTGGCATTATTATTCAACCCCAGAGACATGATTTTTGTCAGTTGAAAGGAATTGAAGCCCTAAACTGTATATGCTAGGTTTATGGGGCCAATTTCAAACAAATCATAACAAGGTTTACAACATTAGTGAAGCACAAGTATGGATCTTTCTTTCAAAAACAGTAAATCTCCCATATAGTTTTCCAGCCCAGCCCCCTACTAAATCTTGTATGCTACCTATTACAAAAAAACATTTAGTTGTTTATTACATTTCGTGTTTTAGTTTAGTTTTAATCAGTAAATAAAATGAGATCCACATTTTCTGCTGCCAGAGCCTATGACCAAAATCTGTTAGCAATAAACCCTAAAGTGCTCTATATATATTATGTGTCCCTGGTATATGACAGCTTAAACAGCTAATGGTATCTTGAGTTCAGTTGTGATTATATGTATTGCTGACCTAGACAGTGTACCCAGAAATGCTATTACGACAAAGCTCAGGGTATTTTGTAGATATAGACAGTTGAAACTCACTTGTAAAAAGAAGAGATGCTGTGATATCTTGCACCAGTTCCTCCTCTGCATTTTCAGGGTAAAATTTGGCTAAAAATTGGAAAGTGATCGGCTCCTCCTTTGGTATCTCCTGATCCAGAACCTATAATGAAATTATTTAAGGGGACAAACATTGAACATGTGACTTTTATGAGCTTTTAGCTATGTTATCACAGTATTCCCTAGTCATAATTTTACACATAGTTTTATTTTAATTGATTCATGCACGTTTGAGATCTCCTAAATTGTATTGTAATTGAAGCTTGAGTGCTCTATTGTCACTGACTCCTATCTCCGCCCACTGCTCTGTACTTATTTGCAATAATTCAACAGTAAAAACATGAAAATGAAAATTTGCTGTTTGTTATGGTGAATTACTACTATGAAAGGGCTGGGGATCTCAGCTCTGGAGTTTTGAACAGGAAGTCAATGGACCCCTTTCATTTATTAAGCTCTTTTGGAACAGTATTACAATGAACAAAAGCAATAAGTTTATTCTAAATACCTGAAAAAAGTATAATGTGTCTTCTTCAATATAGGTCTTGTTTACACTACTCAGAGCAAAGCACTCACCCGTTTTTCCATCTTCAGCCAGGCCACTGTGTCTTTGACGTTGTACTGAAGCCCAAAGAACCATGTTTCCCTCAGGCCCAGAGCACGGCACACAAGGTCAAAAAGCTCCTTTCCTTTCAATCTGACCTGCAACAGCGAAGAGGTGTCAAGCATTAGAGGTGTGAAAGGTGTGAAAGGTATTAGAAGAAAAGAGGAACATAGGCTTCCAGACAGGAATATTGACATTTCTCCTCCACACAGATATTCAAATATGTTGCACTCAGAAACAGGGAAAACCATGCAGGTACTCGTTTTACTCTCTATTCATACAGCATTCCTTCATTTATGTTGTTTTGCTGTCCTGTTTTTGTAAATAGAAGTAGTCAAACTAGTATAATTAATTACCAGTAGCAAAGATCTCAGATTGAAGAACTTTTTTTTTACATATTAATCACAATGTAAGGGATGTCACAAATTATAGAATGCATGCATGTCTCCTAGTTAATAAATAATAATATTTCATACAAAACAATGCAGGACAACCAAACTTGGGCCAGGCACAGAGCACGTCACCTAAACGTATTGATTTGACGCCATCTAGCGTCCAATATGGTTCCATATTTCAATTTAAACTTGTGAGATAGCGCTGAAACTTGGCACTGCTTGTTACTGTCTAAGCTACCTAGCATTTAATTAATACTCTGTTGTGTTACCGTGTGTGCCACGTAAAAATAATAATAATAAAAAAAATAACACAGTTTGGATAAATGCATTCTTATAATCGCAGCTACGTACCTCACAGCTGAACTCCATGTCTGACTCCATCGTACAGATTCTAACGTTAAAGTTTTTTGCTTGTTTTCTCAAAAGAGAGTTAAATCCCATTTTTGCTGCTAAAGCACTTGCCATAGTGTTTTACTAAATATATCTAAAACCAGTTAAGTTTCACAAACAATACAAATGGACACAGTTTAGCTTGTTGCTTACAATAAAAGCATCATCCACTCGATGATCGTGGGCAGTTACTTGTTGTAAGACAAACCTTTTTCTGACATCATTGCATAATCACTTGAAATTTTAAAGTTAACACCTAATTTTCTTCAAAGTCCATGTCAGTCTCTGTTACTGTGTTATGACTAAAGCTAAGGCTAACTGCTAATACTACGAGTTATGTAGCGATCTAATTATCAAAGATCAATGTCAATGCGCGAAAATAGACACGACGCAAATGGGTTGATACCGCAAAGCTGTTAAAACTGGCATGTTTCTAAGAAATTACTGTAATATTAGTCGTGCATTGAACTTATGCTAGAAGCTTTAGCTAACTAAGGCATGTAGTGTTCAAGAAGTATCAACAATGTGGAAATATGGAAGTATAACTACTTATTAAAACGGTTTGGTTAATTTGTGGTACATAAAAGCAAGACAATTGTGCGGAAATAGAATTTTGAGATATTTGCTGTGATCGTTCATGATAGAGACAGTTCCGTAATTGTTAAATTTGTATTTTTACAAGTTCATCTAGTTTTTTACGAGCTTTATGAAAGTAACATGACATCCTTTTCCTTTTCAGAACAAACCAATCAGGAGGTAGGGCTTTTGTCAGACACGCCCCTCGTCCCGCCCCCTGCGCCATAAAGGGGCGGGGCCAGACCAATGAGGTAATCGGGGTAAACAGTCAAGATGGCGACGTCTGTAGCCGGAGAGGGACAACCAAGTCTTAACGGGAATTTTTCAGAGTGTCAGACTAAAAAACTCACCGACTTGCCTACAGAATTGATTGAACACATCCTTTGCTTTCCCGTTTTAAAACATGTTGACATTTGTAACGTTTCCTGTTGTTGCAAGCGGCTACACGACGTTTGCCATGGAAGGGGGAAGGTCTGGGAACACCAGTACAAACTCAGGTGCTTTGGTCTTTGCGTTATCTGATAACTAGTTTAGATTTTAGTAGTTTGTTGTTATGTCCTCTCACTTGTCTGACGTTACTACACAACAAGCCGCATTAGATGGAGTGATCTCAAAGTAGCCAGCTGTCACCATCTTTGGCATCTTGCTGATGCACCAGATTCACCGTGTGCTGTGTCCCGACACTATACTGCACAGATATTAATTTAGAACTTGGATGAACCTGACAAGTTTGTGCTCCTTATGTAATATGAATACATTTTTAAAAGGTGACCTTGAACGCTTACAGCTGTGCAGTGCAGCGGTATGCAGCTAAAATCTTTTTCTTCACTAGACTAAGCTTTTGACTGAATGGTAAATTAAGGGCGACGTATGGCAGTATTGCCATAGTATTGGTAAACTAGTGTTTTGTTTAATCTAATATGAAAACCTCTGTATTATTAAATTAAATAGAATTTTATTAAATTCAATCTTAACATTTATAGATGGCCAAGGTTGCAGAAATATTATCGTCAGAATGAGTGCTGTGACTGGCTGAAAGAATACAAGACACGCCACAGAGTTGGAATACAAATAAGAGGGACAGTGGAATCAATCTCCAAACGATTCTTCACAGAGGTTGTAAGTAGTATTTTAGTGTGCTGTGTAGTTTAGTTTGCTTTAGTCAAACATATCGGCTAACTTTAAGATGTACCTCTTAGCCTTGTGTAGGTCAGGTACTGGGTGACAGTTTTGCTGAGATCAAGTCCTTGGGAATGCCTGAGCACTTTTGTGAAGATGAGCTCCTCTTCATCCTCAACTCGGATAAAAGGTATATCAAAACATTGGATAGCTTTTCTGAATACAACCTGCAACCTTGACCTAAACTATGAACTAATGTGAATATATATACTTTTTTTTTTTTTTTTTTTTTAAAGGAAAAGCTTGACCTTGAAATACTATGCAAGGAAAATTCTGTACTTCCTACGACAGCAAAATATCCTGCGGAGTTTAAAGACATTCTTGGAACAACCTGAAGAACAGCAGTCAGCGCTTGAAGGTAAAGAACTATTATGTAAGACAAAATGTAAATCAGAACATTGGCACTAAAATACAGAAGTACAGGAAGGGGGGTATATTATATTGAAATAAATATTAATATTTTTGGGATTATTCTGATGACAATCTATGTCTGTAAGTGTTATTGCTGAGGCTGATGTATCCTGGCATAAATTGACAATAAAATTAACCACATAAGTGCAGAAATATAGGTAACCTTAATTAAATGTTTACAGAGTTATTTTGTATGGTTTTATTTATTACCAGTACTTCTAGTTTTGCATATTTTAAAATGACAATTGCGTTAGTATTCATTTTTCTCTTCCTCGAACATATATGCAAACAAAAAAACAACATATTATCTTGTCTCTTCCATTCAGGGGCTGTTCTGGTGGATCAGTATTGTAACCCATTGGCTGATGTGACTCTAGAAGGTATATCAGTCCAGTTAGATGAGATGGTTGAGAAAGTCAAGAAAATGTTAAGACTTAAGAATCCCTCCCACCCCAGCTTGCGTTGTGCTCAAGGTTAGTAATCACAAATTATTGGAGACATTTCATAAACAGGATAATTGTATCAGTATAATTGAATAACTACATTATTAATAATCATTTTATGTAGGCAATTGTTTTGCAATTGAGGACACTGAACTTCAGAGACAGGTGCTATGGGCCCTAAACTCTGTCTTATATGAGCAGCTTCAGTTCAAAGGCAATGAGTTTGACTATTACAATCCTCTGAATTCTTATATTCATCAGGTATAATTACAATTTTAAAAATCTATAGATTTGTTGTTTACCTTAATTTAAATGCATGTAACTTTTCATTAGGTGCTACTACGCCATACAGGTATTCCTATAAGTCTCTCTGTCCTCTACATGACACTTGCCCGTAAACTGGGTGTTCATCTGGAACCGGTCAACTTCCCCAATCATTTCCTACTACGCTGGTGCCAAAGACCAAGGGGGTATGCTTCATTTCAGTGCTTTGAAGCAACTATACTAACTGTGAAAATGTTTAAAAAATTTAAATGACATCTACTGCTCTTTTATTACACAGAAGTGAGGACATCTATGATTTTATCTACATTGATGCCTTTGGAAAAGGAAAGCAGCTAACTGCTAAGGAGTGCGAGTATCTCATTGGCCATCAGGTGACTGCAGATTACTACAGTGCCATTAGCACTACTGAGGTGCTTCTCAGGATGGTGGGAAACCTACTCAACATCGGCAAAAGGGGGTAAGCCTAAAGTCTGAATTCATCAAATTATTTTTTTCAGAAATGTGTGACTATAATTAAATATTATAATTAATGTATTCAAGGGAAGGCAATGAGAAGTCTTACCAGCTTTTAAGAGACTCGCTGGACCTCTACCTCACAATCAACCCAGATAATGTGCAGTACCTGCTGCTCCAGGCGCGCCTCTACTTTCACTTGGGAATTTGGCCTGAAAAGGTAAACGCTGCTTTTAGCAGTGCTTACATCCTTTTGTGCCTCAAACTAGTACTATTACTATAATATAGAGTGTATGTATATACATATAAAGCCTAATCAGTCAGGTGCTGCAAATTAACCCGTAGCTGCAATGTTTAATAGTACTATAAAAGTACATACAATTATCATTGAGTCTCGATAAGGTAAATCATGCTGTTTCCACTCCAGGTGCTAGATATCCTGCAACATATCCAGGCATTAGACCCCTCCCAGCATGGGGCTGTGGGGTATTTAGTGCAGCACACACTGGAGCACATTCAGCATAAAAAACATCCAGTGACTCCTGATGAAAAGAGGCGCAGTGCTCCAGAACATGTGGAGGTCCAGTACTCTGTGGGGCTCATCATGAAACATAAAAGGTCAGGGAAAGAAATACAGTCATTCTTTAAATGATTTTTGTCATGTGTTAATTTACAAGGTTGGTGATTGATTTTAGGTCAGGATATAACTGTGTCATCTACGGCTGGGACCCCAAATGCACTATGAGTCAGGAGTGGATCACGACAATGAGGGTCCAGCAGCTGTCCAAAGGTGCCAACCAGCCCTTCTACAATGTTCTGGTACAAGATGGAACATGCCGATATGCTGCACAAGGTTTTTCACACGTTCAGATTTTCATTACAACAGGAAATATACTGTATTTGTTTAGCCTATAATGTTTTATGCAACTTCTCTCTCTCCTCAGAAAACCTGGAGCCCCATTCTGCTCCACTGGAAATTGGCCATCCTGAAGTGGGACGCTATTTCTCTGAGTTTGTTGAAACTCATTATGTTGCCAATGAAGAACTACAGACACGGTACCCGGAGGACATACAGGAGACTCTGGGCAAAGTACACGATCTTTACCATGGACTCTCTCTGGACTCGGGGCATCAGGAGCAGGCCTCAAGCCAATCTAACCACACAGCCACCAACATGTAGCAAATATCTAAACATGCCCATACTGCACTGACCTAAATATAAACACATAACAGGGAACCTTCCATTCACAATTAACGCCTGCTTGTATTAGAAAGGCTGCAATAGTGCTATGTATCTAATGAAAGAAACACAATGCAGCAATCAAAAAATGATGTTTATCTGAAAAGATATAATCTCATCTTCACAAAAGTTGACAGACTTTTACATAAACTCTGAAGTATTATACTAGTATAGCAATGCAAAGTTGCATTAGGTTTTCTACACAAAATCAACAAATTGTTCAAATGCTTTAAAGTAAGCATTAGTGAGAATGCAAAGTATTGCACAGAGTGGACAAACTGATGAGCAAAAAGTAAGAAAAGTAAAAGTATGCACCCCTAGTAGTGTGAATGCACCAAACTATAAAATATACAGAATGTCTCCAATGCCCCCTCAGACCTGTACCACTGTAAAATCCAAATCTCCATGAACAGCGTCACGGAACACATTCAAGAAGACTGTAAATTACCCTTGGTTTTATTTTCCACATGGTTTTATTGTGCATTTATGAAAAGTTTAACTTTTACATAGATACCTTTTTACTACATTTGAACATGTAGAACATACATGATCTGGAACAAATATTTCTTCATGATTTGTGTTCATTACCCCTGTGGAAAAAAAAAAAAAAAAATCTATATACGTGTGTTTTTTTTGTTTTGTTTTTTTTTGTTTTGTTTTTTTCTTGGGATCATATTTTAAATATCAGCTCTTTCAGCAATTTTATTCTTAACCAGAAAGCCGTAACTATAAAATTATTTCAACGCCATGCAAGGTGAAAAAACAAATAGAAATTGGGCTAAGCATATAATTTATTTAAATTCATTTCGTTCATCTGTAAAGAATTTTACAGCACATGTTTGCCAAGGTATAGAAGAGACTACGGATTTAGGACCTTGGGGACGCCAGATGTTTCCGCGCAGCGGCGGCGCACTGGGGCCGCGCTCATAGAAGAGGTGCCCTTGTACTCGTGCGTTTTGACGCACCACTGACTGCAGACATGGGAGCCGCACAAACACGCAACGAGCACAGTTACAATGACCTCGCCAACAAAACGGGATGTAAGTAACTTTGAGTCATGTTTCACTTTTGGATGAACGAGCGCACCAAACTGCTTAAGCTGCGGTAAAACTTTTCTATGCTTTGGTCCAACAGACGGAATCTACAACAGCGGGCTAAATCTTATAGTATCCAAGTTATTTTTGGCAAAGGGATTCTACTTTTATTACATTTTGAAGTGCCTTCTAATGTATTGTTTGTTTGACATTACAATTAGGCTAAAAATAATATTTGACCAAACAACATTTGACAACCACACAGAAGGTAGGCGAGAGCCTATATTTATTTTTAGGTTGGGTAAAACCTGAGGTGAGTGCGTGCAGTAGCACGCAGAGCATGAGTAAGAAGAATAAGGTCCTGATCTAAAACTTTGCTTTACTGATGTGTGGTATTATCTGTTGCGACTTTGAACTGTTTATGGTTCATGTGGAACTTTGCCCAGCGTCCTCTCATCCAAGAAACTTACTACTCTCCTTTTATTGATCCTGATATCAATGCTAAGCCATGGTTTTGTTCCGTAATGTTTCACTATGGCCTGCACATGTGAAAATAATTACACATGCTTCAATGGTCCCACCCCTTCACATTCTGCAGCCAATTCTGATTGACAGTGTGTGGATTTATGCTTTTTACAAAAGCATGTTTTGGTTCATGCAAGCAACAATATAATTACATGTGGCAATGCAATTACGTGGCATAGTAAAATAAGAATTGCCGTCACCGGTTGCTAATAATGTACACTGAGTTAATGATTGAGTGGAGTGTTTAAAATGGCATTAAAAGACCAGAGACTTGTGTTTGCACTGCCATTAGTCTGATAACATGACCGCTCAGGAAACAGCGGTGAGATACAAGCAACTAAGTCTTACACGGCAAATATATGCCTTAACTTGTTTGTGCAAAAACCTCAAGACCAAAGGTGGGAAAAACAGAATGCTCTGCTGAGGTGTGTTAATGCTGTTCTTGGTTTTGTTTTCAGTTTCATTGGAACAAATCAACATTCTTCACAAGAGATTTAAAAAGCTGAGCGGAGAGTCAGAAACTATCAGGTAAAAAAGTCGAAATACAGTTCACAGAATAATAGACTACATGAAATACTATCTTGGTAGCATTGATTTGTATATTTCTACTGAAATTAAATACAGGCCTGCAAGTGACTGATATCAGCTAAAGCAAATAGTCTTAATATGTGGCCTCTGTGTACACTGATTAATAAACACACATCACAATGGTATTTTGGCAGTCAGTCCGCACCAACTTCCTGGTCTTAAAAAAAGGTTTAAAAAAGGATTACATGTTGTTGATATATTTCTCCCAGTAAACTATGTCCCAGTAAACAACGTCATGTGACTGAATGTTTTACACAGACTAATGTTTTGTCTCTCTATAGCAGGGAAAACTTGAACAGCATACCCGCCCTCGCTGACAATCCAATCAAAAAACAAATCATAGAAGCCTTCTTTGATAAAAGGTAGGTGCAGTCACATTCCACATTACTCTGCCTTGGGAAACAATGCATAATAATTTAAAGTCAGTTATGTCACAGTCAGCGGCTGTACCTATACATGAAGTCCCTGCTCCCAGACCACGCGAACAGGAACAAAGAACATGCCCCTTAATGTAGTTAGTCCATACATCTTATGTAAGGATTTCATTAGCATTGGCCTATTGATTTAAATCAGCGCTGCAGAATTGTTCATTAGTTGATTTTAATTGCCTCATAGGTTGTATGATACTTGACACTGAGGGCTAAAATTAATATTACAATCCAAAGCGGTAGAGACATACAGAATATGAAAAGCAACTGCAATGTACTGTACTATTTTTAACATATTGTATTATCTATGCTCAAGAAATGTGCTATGTTAAAAAAAAAAAAAGAACATCAAATAAATAAGAGACAGCATTGCCTCAGTTGGAAGATGATTGCAGAGTAATCCAAAATGTCACCATATCCATCACCGTAAACCTTCTTTGCACTGTGATTGTGAATGTGTATAAATGTATGTAATAATGTAATTTACAAACAAACAAGAAAACAGTTTAAAAGTTCAGTACAATATTTAAATACGCTAGAACTGAACTGGAATTAGTAGGCCCATATAATATATGCATTTAAAGTGTAACAGTACTCATGCATATGTTGTCCATTTGTGTTCCAGGAACCAGCACAATGGCCAGGTGGGGACCTATCAGGAGATTGGCTTTGAGGAGTTCTTGATGGTCATGTCTCACTTCCGACCCCCAACACTGAAGACTTCTGAAGACGAGAGGAAGGCCATGAGAAAAGAGAAGCTTCGCTGTACGTCTTTTGTTACTATTCTGAAACATTATAAACTATATTTAATCAGATCAGAAGTCATTTGGGACCCTTTTAAAATACCACGCATCAAAGACACACAGGCCTGATCACAGATGCCCTCAGTATTATATTCCATTTATAGCATGTGCAAGTGTTAGATTCCATTCTCTTAACAGCTTGGTTGGCAGTACTGGAAAAAAACAGTCTTAAATAATAACAACACACTATACACTATACATTATATAGTTTAAATAAGTGCTTGAATGAAGTAGTATTTATCTTGGTTCATTGACTGTATTAAGATAAGATTTGCCAATAAAACAGACAGTTAAATTTGGTCTATGTCCAAATTTCACAGGCTTAAGTATTATTTCAAGATAGCCAGGAGTACTTATTTTCTGGCCTACATGATTAGCAAGCACATTTATTAGAAGTTATTTTCACTTAAGTCATGGAAGGTGTGACACTGTTGTTTGAGTTTGGCAGGAATAGCAGGATAAACAAGTGAGCAAATTAGCAAAGGGACTAGACAAAGCATCTGGTGGAGTGTAAAAGTGGTTACTCAAGTTATAGGCTTTCCTCTTTAGCTAGTCTTTTTTTAAATACTACTTGCTAATTAGATATTTCATTGGACATAATTACATTCTTCTTATTTCCACTCCCCTTTGAACATTTATGAATAGAAAAGACACTAACAATACTTAAGAATTGCATATTTATCCTCAAAAATATGATAAATATGTGCATAAAATTGACTAAATTGACCAGTGTGACTAGAGTTAAAACCCAAATAGAAAACCAGCATTTGGCAGGTCTTAATGTTAAACTATCCCCTGTTCAAGTTTGTAAATATGCACATGAACAGTTTTAAGGGCCACATATTACTCTATTTTCTGATCAAAAACATACTCAGGGTTGTTTTGTTTTATTCACACATATTCACACAAACCCTGCATATTTACGCTGAGTTTGTCTCTCAAACAGAAAACGCACTGTTCCACCTTGTGATGTCATGTGCTCCTGTATTTTTAAACTCCACAAACCTTCACTAGAATCATTTGGATAACTTCAGCCCTGGAATTGCCAGTCTCTACTAAAAAGTAAAAGGTAGCTGTTAACTTGAAATCTACTTCTTCATAACATGACAAGGTGGAACAGGGCATTTTGAGCTTTGGAGATGGAGACTTAATAATGCAGTGTTACTCAGACATGTGTGAATAAAACAAAACACAACTCTGGGTATGTTTTGGTGAGGTAATGGCATTCTAGCACGGCTAAAAGCTCACAGGACTCAATGTTGCGTAATATTGGGCCTTTAATATAATGTAATGTAATACCCTGACTTATTGAGGCCAGTACAAGCTATTATATGACATGTTTGGAAAGCTCTTCTCTGCCTCATAAGAAAACATTCTGCCACATGTGTTTTCTTAACTCTATTGAAAACATTCCCTCAGAGCATTTCCTTTTGGATTCAATTGCAAAATCATTATTCTATTTGTGCCCTCAGTCCTTTTCAACATGCACGACACTGACAGCGATGGCAAGATCACACTGACAGAGTACAGAAAAGTAAGACGTCTCAAACTGTAGTGATCATTGTTGGAATTGAATTTTTGCCTTGAAAGTGGCCTTAAATCTCGCCGGTTGTCTCAGGTCGTGGAGGAGCTCTTGTCAAGAAGTGGTGCCATTGGCCTGGAGGCTGCCAAGGCCATTGCAGACGCTGCCATGTTGGAGGTGGCTAGTACAAGTATGCCTGACATGGTAACGCTCTCATAACTGTTAAGATACATGACAACACTTTATAATAACTGCTCTTTGAATTGTCTTAATACAGCATGCACCAAGATTCAATTCATAATGAAGACATAGTTTATTAAGAATGATTTGGGCTTAATTAATACCCTAACCACTATCTAACCTTTTAATTAAAGGAGCTCTATGTAACTTTTCTCATCTTCTTGTCACTGTGTGCTTTCTTTGTCATTAATTATTTGACAGGATACTATAAAAGTTGGTTAAACTATCATCTCTACAGTACAAACAGGTGGTTGGCTGTCTACCAGAAATGTTACATAATGCTCCTTTATAAAGTTACTAAGCCTGAATCATTCTTTATAAACTATTTGTTGATTATGAGTTGTGGTTTGTATTTTATTAAGGTTAATGTAAGATGTAGTTATTATAAAGTGATACTAGATACACATATTCTACTTTGTCTTTACATAAACTAATAATGCTCTTGCAATTCCCCAGCCTGCTGACTACTTTTATGAAGGAATTACATTTGAACATTTTGAACAGGTACACTATTATTACACTTCACTTAACTTCATTTTTATGCTTTTATTTGCTTCCTGTTGCTAATGGAGACACTGTTTTGTTTACAGATATTAAATGGTCTGGAAATGGAGTCGAGAATGCACATTCGCTTTTTGGATGTAGACACTGTTACGATGCGTTGTGATAGTAAATGAGCGAGAAAGGTAATTACATGAATGAAAAGTCTGAGGATTGTTAAAGGTTCTCCATCAAATACTTTTCTCTATGGAAATGATATTGATTTGTCTGGAATGTTTCACAGTATGGTATTAAACCTTCATGGAGACCAAATCAGACTAAGTTATTGGTCAGATCTGTGGAGAGGCAACCCTGCTCACAGTCACAGTCTGTTTTTCTGGGTATTTTTGAGCTATAAAACCACCTGTAATTGAATAAACATAAGGTAGGGATGTTTAATGGAACTTTCCAGGCAGAGCAATGACATATCCATAGAAACAAGCAAGACCAAAAAGTTACATAGTGCACCTTTAAGTAATGGCTATGCACTACAAAAGCATATTCACTAATCTGTTGTTTCTGTTTGGAGTTGTAGGTTACTGGAACCGTCCATGAACCTGTGGGCTAGTTTTGAGATAAAGCTGATGAAAGGATCCATGGACAATTTTAATAGTGATGTCTTATTTGAATTTAAATGTGCTGGATTTCTAATTTAAAGAGATTAGAAACAATATAGTTTAATGTCTCATTACTGTCTCAAATGTATGACTTAACCTCTCATTTAATGTATTTTGCTTTAAGAGTTTTGTTAAGAGTGTGTGAACTTTTGAACGCTTGTGATTTTAAGTGGTTACTGTCTGGGTTGAACATGCTCACTTCTGCTTTGTTGTGGCTTCCCTCTTTGAGCTGTCGTCTCCACTCAACGTTACGAACATGTCCTTTCCCATATCTCTGCAGTCAGTTGTGCCAAAGGGCGGCTCTGGCATTCTCAGGGCACTGTGGCACAGATCCAAAGGAGAAACATACCATTCCCCATTATATTTATCTCACATTCTATCTACAACCATCCCTTTGAGACTCAGGACAAGCAGTGTTGTTATTCTAGGGACATTTTTCAGTAACCACAGTTTTTAAAGGTGCATTATGTAACTTTTCTGGTTTGTCCCCATCTTATTGCCTTACCGCAAATGATCTGCATTATGACATTATAGCTTTATGGAACAAGTAGGTGACACAGACATGCCAAGTTACAGGTTAAGATCTGTGGAGAGGTAACCCCGCCCACAGTTAGAATGCATGATTTCAATGTATTTTTGAGCAATATAAACAAACGTAATTAAAATTATACCAGTTATACTATACATTTCAGACAAACCTATGACATCTCCAAAGAAACAGCAGGTGGTATACCCTTTACTAGAAAAGTTGTGCAGTGCAACTTTAAAACACTGAATCATTTCCCAAAGATTAACTGTTTTATTGACATATTTTTAGTTTTGTTAGATATGACTGTATATTTGTAAATGATTTATACATCTAGGATTTTATGATACAATTCAATAATTAAACTTATTTTAAAAAACAGTCCACAAATCTGTATTTGTATGTATCTCATAATCATAAAACTTAAAATGCTTTGATAATATGGAAAAGGCTGTATTTCCTGGGTTGTAAAAACATTACTGTCAGAATGTGATTACTTAAAGCAGTTTCTTGTTGTCATAAAGATGGGTGGGAACCGCTCAGTCTGTCATAGGGCACAGCCAGGCCGATATTGTAGTTGTATCCATGTGACTCAGTGTAGTCAGATCTGCAGATGGGAAGAATGTGATCCTGGGACAAAGCATCCTCTGAGAAATCATAATGGCAGATCACTCCTCTGTGCCTAAAATGAAAATAATATCATGTTCAGTTTTAGTTGGACTTTTCATATGTTCTAATTCAGGAAAATATAATTGTGTCAAAATGTACTTAAAATCTTAAATATTGTTAGTAGGCAGACACATGAGATCAGTTGAAAAAAAAGTGTAGAGAAAAATCACCGACATCTTGTGCAGCAATATAAATATCCATCTATATTTTGTGGTTAATCACATTAATTTTTGCAATCATTGTGCTAAAACGTGCTAAAATATATAAATGAAAGAAATGTAAAATGAAACATAAAAGTGTAGACATATCACCTTATACTCTTGTTTGGAATATTCCTGTATTTGTATGTATCTCATAATCATAAAACTTAAAATGCTTTGATAATATGGAAAAGGCTGTATACCACTGATTTTTAAATTTTGAAAAACACAATATACTTGATATTCAAATTTGTCACACTTTCAAAACATATATATATACATAAATACATACATGTATTAATTTAGAAGTTGGTTATTTCCCATTTCTACTTGAAAGCATATGATACAGACTTTGAGGAAAAGGAAAAGGAAAAGCAGGTGTAGTGACAGACCTGCGGTGAGCTGTGAGGTCGTCATCTGTGATGCAGGCCCCCCTCGGTGCTTTGTCGTCTGGGATATTGGCTGTTACCAGCCTGCTGCCGCTGAACCGTATGTGCCTCACTGGATGCCTGAAAAACACCAAACATTAACTTTATGGTGTGTTTAGAGCTATACACACAACATTTAAATTGGTACTAAACTTGGACTAGGACAGGACTAATCCAGCTAAAACAGGACTAAATCAGCACTAAACTGAATCAGGAAACTCTTATTCTCTCTTTTTGCACCGTGAACGTCAGGTGGTACTGATTAGATTTCTTTTTTTTTTTTTTTTTCTTGTATTGCATTGTAGGAACAGTTCTAGAGATATACACCTGAAAGTCTTACCTACCAAATCAAACCTAATATGAACTAATATGAACTATAAAACTAATCCTAAATATGGAGAGTTTGTGTGTTAAACATGTGTGAATATAATAAAATGCAATTTTTTTATAACATAAACAGAAAATAACATAATATAAGCCTTTTAACTACTGTACAGTGGCAACACTTCTTTCTCTATGTTTATAAAACATGTTATATGGATTTGAAACTGGGCACAAACTGTAACTAAATCAGGAAAACTGTGGAAGCACACAGTTCAAACAATCCAACATTTCTTTTATCAGTTTTCACAATGTGTTTGAGGGAGAGTGACACTGACAGAGCAGTGCATAAGAGATAGAGACACTCACCTGTTGTGCATCTCCCACAGCTTGGTCCCCATCCTCATCTCCCACACACACACCAGCCCCTCCCCTCCCCCGCTCACGATCTTCCACTCGTCTGTCTGCACTGCAGTGACACCGAGGTGATGGGCGTACAGGGACGCAACGGAGGCACCGGTCCGGAGATCAAACACCCGGACTCTGAAATAGAAAAGGAAAAAAAAGCATAATATGAAATGCATCTTGAAACTTAAAACAGATCAAATTCACACTGATGTAGAAGTAACTGTCAAATCTAAAACTTTTTTATTAGTTCAGTCTTCCACAATATTGTTGTAGTCTAATATAAGATACAAAGCACAAAAGTACAAAAAATATGATATGTAGTAATTATTCGGATTTAAAAAAAAAAAAAACTGGGTGAAACCCATGTGGAGTACAGACTCAGAGTTATGAAAACTTAGTCCTGAAAAAATATTATATCTTTTGAATGGAAAAGGTGTCCAAAATGGTGTATATGACTAGTAAATTAACAGTACGAGAAGAAAATTACTTCCTGTGTTGACTTTGCTGAACAAAACAAAATCAGATTGTTCTACTAGATTTGGATAGGATACAAAAAGAGAAGCTTTATTTATCCAACTAAGTGGAAATTCCAGTATAAACATCAGAATGATAAAAATGTCTAGTCATACTCACACAAGGATAAAAAATTCAAACTGTGTAATAACACCTCACTGTATGAGAAAGAAAACCAAAAATACAAAAGTCATCACCAGAAAAACATCTTGACTGTATAAATAAAAGTCATAATGCTAGTTTCATCTTGTCTCAACACAATTAAACCTCAAATAGGTGTTGTTGATGTACAAGGTAAAACAGTAATTAAATGCTATCTTTTTTCAAGCTATATAATTATTTTGTAACACTATGATATATGTAACCAGAAATAACAATTCCATTCCTACCTATAAATTAACAACTGGGCTTGGTATTATCCTCACCCACACACAAAGTCTTACTGCAACTCTTAAATCCTTAAAATGACGATTATAATACAATCATTACTACTCTGATTACTAACATCAGCATAATATCATATGTAACACGTGCTAAGATAGAAAACCAGAAGAGCCAGCCTTTATTTAGTGAGCAACTTGTGCCCAGGGGAGACCAGCTCCATCTGTTGTCACTGTGGCTTTATTGCATCCAAAAGCATCCAGGACATGACTGCATCCAGATCGTCCTCCTTCCAAGCCTTCATTATCATAATCACATTCACTTTGGGGACTCGCACATATCGCACACCGTTTCCAAAAATCTTTTAAAGACTCTGAAACTGGCTAAATAGTCACGACGGACTTGTTGTGTTGCGTTTACTTTGTGTGTACAGTTGCATTACGTGATGAAGGCCCACGTTTTTACAATGAGGACGAAACGCTATTGGCAGACCACCGGGATGAATAAATCTGGTTTTGGAGGCGGATCAGACTTCAGTGAGTTGTCAGGGGCCGGGCGAGTCTTCATTAATCAGAAGGAACTCGGCCTAATAAGGGAGTGTTGGGAAACGTCTGCATACTTTATACTTTGGATGAGTTTTTCCTGTTGGCATAAACTGTGATTACAATGCACTGAACGTGACTGAAATTTAATAGTCATTTGCATACAATTTGAAATAAGCTTTTGCCTAATACAGTAGTGTTTTGTAGGCTTGATTTGGTACTGCTATAGACTACTACTAGAGTACTGCGTATTGTGAGTTGAAAATCACATTCCATAGTAAGGCTGCAAGATAAATCACAGTTGAATTGAAATTACAATTTGAATGGACACAATTAGCAATTTGCTAATTTTGAAGTAGCAATTAAATATTCTGTCTACAAATATTTGTTCTGTGATTCTTGTATTAGTTTGTCAATTAGTATTTTGACTTTCTGTCAATTCGTTTGAACGTATTAAAAATGTGAAACACTATTCTATCAAAATTAACAACACTTGGGAGTTGGAATTTAACTTTTTTGAGACATTACTAGCCCTTTGTTACTTGTATACCCTTGTGCAGCTTTGGTACTAGCACAATAATTAAACTGGCCTGAGATCTCCTCTGTCTGAATTTTGAAAGCCTGTTAGTTAAGAGAAACAAGCACAGAATGTTTCATCTGAGAGCACAGAGCACGCCTAAGGTGGTTTCATGTAAGACATGCAAATCTGGAAGAACCAGAACATTAGAACAGTTTAAAAAACATTTACATTTTAGTTTTAGCTTCTGGAAACAGGCTATGTTTTAACATGAATTGGCTTGTTAGCTTGTTGGCAGTGTGACTAAGTTTATGTTTTTCTAAGTTTCTTAGGAGAGGCCATGGTTGGATTTGAGTGTGAATCCAAGTCTGTTTTCGTAACACAAGGGCTGTGCAATTAATGACATTCTAATAATTTATTTACTTTTTGTCATATCGCCCAGCACTAAATGATATTATGACCTTGCAATCTAAACACAAGTAAGTAAAAAAAAGCATAAACCTAGGCAAAGTGAGACTGTAATTAATATGATATTTAGAGTTATTGCTTAAAGTTACAGTAAGTAACTTTCTGAAGGTGGCACATCGCATGCATGATTATGGAAACAGAAAGTTAAAACTATATTTCAGAGCATTTTCCATGGAGATTATTACATTTTGTGCCATATCGTTAAACATTACAGCCAAAGTAACAATATTTCCATGGAAATAAGCAGCAGTCCGTGGGCCAAATAAGAGTCAGATTTGTGAAGATGCGAGACCACTCAAAGTAAGGATGCATATCTTTAAGTTTTTCAGTATAATAATCACAATCAATTTAAAAAAAAAGTTGCATCCTGTAGCTTTAATATAAACATTATTTATAGTTTTAATGTACATCAAACGATATCCTTGCATTGACAAAAGCATCCCATTTGATACTGCTATACAGATCCACATGGACACTATGTTTCATCATCCTTTTCATTAATGTTTTTGAAGCCCTCCTGTCTGGCCAGATGTGGCATTCTTCCAGGCAGCAGACTTTATCATGAAAACCGCCACCCCCAAAGAAAACAGAGGGACACGACTCATTTAGAGATGAAGAAGAGATGCATTAGTGGTTGGCCCCATGCCACACTGTGTAAGGGCCAAGATCAGCGGCTGCTCCCCCCTATATTGTCCATCCATGGGCCAGTGCGGAGGAGCCAAGCCTGTGTCTGCCTCTCTATCAGAAGGCAGAAGTACAACACAAAAGAACTGGAGTGACTCTAGAAATACCCTGGCAACAACACATTTGTATTTGCCATTCAAACACTGCTGTTGAAATATTTCCTCTTACAAACATCTTTCTAATGAAGCCATTTTCATTGTACTGCATTAGGAGTCCTGAGTAGTGAGAAGTGAGGGTAGACAATGCAACAGAGCACAGTCTTTCACTTTTAGCCAACTCCTTAACAGCCAGATGGATTCGGTTGTGAATAGAAACAGCGGGGGCAGTTTTTGGACGAATACAAACCGCGGATTTCTTCTTTTTTGCCAGCTCGTGCACCCCAGTGCCCGCTAACAAGTGAAGAATAGATGAGAATGGCTCTTTTATGTGGCATTTCTCATCTGGAAAGCCAGGTTATCAATAAGGCAGATGTGGTACAAATTGTTAATGGGATGTGTCTATTCAGTGCAACAAAATAAGACGTTGAATCGCTGGCCTATCTTCTTTTGTTCTTAATCTTTTTGATGTTGTTGTCCAAGGAAAAGTGAAAAGAGTCTTGTCACTCAGTTTCCAAGCACCTGTTCTCCACTGCCAGCTTGGATCAGGTGTTAAAACCATTTAGCAACTTCCTTCTTTCACCTGCGGTCATTGGCACATTTTCAACAGATGGATCTGAGATGTAGCGTTGCAGTTTGTCGCGTTACAAATAAACAGCTCACAACATCTGTACTGAATCCTATTTGTTTACGCGAGCCTTACCTCCTGTCTTTGTTGCCGCAGACAACGAGGTGAGGCGGGCTGTCTCTCAAGTTGATGCAGGTGAAATCCCCCGCGGAACTGCCCACACAAACTTCTGCTTTGCCACCCTCCAGGCTGTATACGTGGATCTAAAACACATCAATAAAATAGTGACGCTATGTGTATGATATGGAATAATAAAAACAAACAGTAAAGAATAAAAATCTTCCAAAGTTATAACTTGCTTCTCTTGTTGTTTCCCTTGCGCTAAAAGTGATGAAATGTAAAGGTGAGCAAATATACTATTATCGATTGTAATGTGTTTTGAAAATAAAAATGTAAGATTTAAAAATGTAATATTGGCTATAGTTTATAGTAAAAACCTTGGCCATATCTCTTGTGTAAAATAGATTCTAATTCTCAATGGGGTTTCCTGATTAAGTCAAAGGAATACATAAAAAATATACATATTTAAAAATTGGCACGTTTGAGTTTAAAATAAAATAAAACATGTTTGTCGGCCATTTAAAATATTTAGAACCTTTAAAGAAATGTTTTAGCACATTTCTGTTTGATTGACGAAATATCTTCTAATCTACTATATTTTTGGGATAAGCAAAAAATTACATATTAAATTTCACACTTGGAATGGTTTAAGCATTATATTAGAAGGTTGGTAGTTTTGAGCTCAGTCTAACAATGACATGTTGTTGCACCTGGGCAAGACAATTAACCCTGTTGCGTACTCCAGTTAGAGGGACTGGTTGCAACAGGAAGGGCATCTGGCATAAAAATCCACCAAAACATGTCAAATCTCCGTGATGGTCTGCTGTGTTGACCAACAGAGAAAAATGTACCAGTTGAAATGTGCCTTGAATCTCAGACCATCTCCCCATCAGGCAAACTTAATTTAACTTTATTTTTACTTGTGTAACTTATTTGTTATTTTAGAAATATTTTGTAGCATTTTAAGAACAAAGACATAGTCACTTCTGGCTTGGGTTGTTTTCATTAAAGTTACAATGATGTCATCTGGAGCTGGTCTAATTGGTCGATTAGCGGCTAGTGTTTTCTCATCCAAATTAGATGACAAAACAGACTGACAGCCAAGCAAAATTATCTTTGTATAATTAAAACACTTACAGAATTAAAGTTGGAAGGCCTTGAAGAAATATGCATGAGATGAAAATGTAAAGGACAAAAAGGACACGAGATGTGGCTAGATTACCATTAAGATGAAACAAGTTTGTATATAAAGTCAACTAGCCGCATGATGTAAGTCTTGACCAAGTGCCAGCTGCTTTTGTGTGTCCCTTATTTAGGTCCAGGCTGTGGTTTAATTGTGTTCTGGGCCAGGGCAAAACTCAAATTGCTCTGGACGTTGAAATGACAGTTTGATAGGATTTTAACTGGGATGAGCTAAGGAGTTCAGAGATGACATTTTTATATGATCACCATAGCTCGGGGAGGATCTTTCTTATTAAATAAAAGTCAATCTCACGTAATATATGAATAAGGTAAACAGTGATGTTGGATGACGACATACACATATAGACAATATGAGGTACAATGAGACTAAGGGATATATCCGTTTTACATTATTACAACAAAACATGGACTAAAACTTAAGGTGCACTATGTAACTTTTCCGGTGGAGGGTCAGGTACCTCCTTGTCCTCATGGAGATATTATTGCTTTGTTCCACAATATACCATAAATCTTGCATGTATTCATATACATATGTTTAAATTGCTCATAAACACCTCGATGTCACTTTTTGAGACATTGAGACAAGCAGAAATGGTACATGAGAGGAAGTTCAGACACATATGTCTACTTCTCCAAACGTCATATGTGTTAGCACGCCTGATTAGCTTACATAGTAATGCTTTCTGGTCTGAAGTCATTTGGGATTTATACTGTAGTAGTCCACAGGGTATAGTAAACCTTTACATGAGCTTCATCAAGTTGGAAGATTGTGAGTTCAAATGTCAAACTTTTGAACAATATATTTGCTTTTTCACTGCCAAAAATACAAATAATTTTTGAACTGTACCTACTTATAATCACACAGACACATCTTACATCAGCAGTGCCATCCATACTCCAGTGCTTTAAAGGCCTTCTGAACCTGAGGCGACAGGAATGGAAGGTCCCTGACAGCACTCATGTGTAATGCTCTGTGGTGAATGCACTCGGCTGGACGGATGTGTTGCCAGTGGAGATGGCACGGTGCTGGGTGAAAGCTTGGGTGAACGCCTGGGTCTTTCCGGTCCATAGGATACAAGGGGGGTGCAGAGTAATGAGGATCTGCAGGCTGGTTTGACTGAACTGTCATAGGCACACACTGGCACTACTACTGAGAGGAAGAGGGCTTAGAGATAAAGGAAAGACTATGAAAAGAGTGAGAGCTGTCCGCTAATGACAAGACTGTCCACATCAATTTGCCTCGGTTCATCTGAGTCAAAATGTTGTAAATTAAAAAGTGTCACTCCTCAGCTGGGAAAAAGGTGTGAAGTTATTCTGTTGGATTTGGATACCACCTCTTTGCATTTTAACAGATTTTAATGAAGCATATGTTTCCTCACTGAAAGCTGCATAAACCACGTCTGCTCAGAGTTAACAGCCAATTCATCCTTGTTTGCACGAAGCACTTATAACTAGAATTCTTACAAAGTGACAGACAGGTTCATTTTAGCAGACAATATTTAATTAGCAAGGTGTGCACACCATGAATCTACATCATTTTATCAGCTATGACTTCCTCCAACTTTTACTAACTTATTTGTAGTACACTTTACACAGCTAAAAGGAGCTACAGTGATGTGACTCTGCTCAGCGTCCACAGTGTGGTGCTTTAGAGTTAGAGTCCTGATGAATTTCAACTTTTGAAAGTGTTCAAAATGTCATTAAAATGCAAAAGGTCTTGGATATATCATTAACAGTGGACTGCAACATATGCAGCATATCATAGTCCATCTGGAGGTACTAAAGGAAAGGGAAAGATAAAGGGACATTTTTTTCACTAAAATGAGCAACGGATTAAACAGTATGTATTAAACTGTTTTTGTCTGTATGTCTTTTCAACAGCAAATGCCTACATGTGTGGTTTTATGTTTATTCTGTTCTGTTTTTGTCAGTTTTAGTTTTGTTTAAAATAAGAACATTCAATAAATATTTGAATAAAAAATGTTGGTTATCTTTGAAGGTGATAAGTACAAAACATGACAAATATGAAAAAACCTCAAGAACAGGTCCAGCTATGCTTGAATTGTGATTGTGTTTTAATAATGATTTGTTCTCCCTCATTTGCACTGAAGTCCATACAACCCCCCAAAAAATTAAATAAAGCATGACCTCACTACAATGTCCACATGTTAATATGATTGTTACACAGTGATCCCACTTGAATAGTGAAACCTTCAGAGTCAATTAAGTGCACAGAGCGCCTAGAAACGTGGTAATAATAGAAACAAACAAATGCATCAGGAGGACAACTGTGGATCAAAGCACATGTAATTAGATGCAGAGCCCACTGAGGTTTTCTACTGCTATTTAAACTCACTATTTTTGCAATTATGAAATTCTCCAAAGGACACTTCTAATGGGACGTTCACAGTCTAAAGGGATCAGGAGCTGGGTGGTACAGTCAATGAAAATTTCATACTGTTTATAAAATATATGTGATATTTAAAACACATTAAAAGATACATGTATGTGCTTATTTCTGGCAAGAAATTAGGTAGACTTCTAAGCCTGTCACAGTAATTACTATATTGACTTGCAATTCAATATACAGTATTAAAACAATATTTATCATATGTACATTTTATTAGCACTACTAGACAATTTGGGGTTATTTTGTGGTTATATAATAAGATTTGAGCCGTAAAAATTTGAAATAATAACTTCTACATCTCATGACAGATGTAAACTAAGTACTAAGTACTCTATCCATTGCCGCTCATGATTATTTAACAATACTGAATCTTTAGAATAGTTTTTTTGGTTTAAATCTGCTCTTGGGTTATTGTGTCTGTAGCATAAATTATTTTCAATATTATCATTTATCACCAATTACTTGCTTCAGCAATGGACTATAGCAGATAAGTACAGTAGTTGTTGTACTGCCAGTCTCCAGGCCAATGTCTTTGTTGTTTGAATTAGCTAAATGTATGACAGAGAAAGAGCAAACTAAAAGACTGTGTTTACCTCGAATTTTTTTCAAGGTTTTTATAAAGTGCCTTCTTTGGACTCTGGTATCCTTGGTGAGTCTTTTGGCAACCATTTATTTGAATCAAGCTAATTTGGAATTCAGTTCCAAGGCCTAGTTTGTAAACAATCAACATAGTTTTGGTGTATTGGAGCTGGAGCGTCAACAAAGAACCTTGAGACAGCCGAACACCCCATAATGGACAACAATACTATTACAATTAGGACAGAAGTTCTGTTTTAGTACATATTCAAAGTTAAATATAAATCATTGAAAGGACAGTGCAGAAGGGATACGGAGCACTTAGCATGGGGTACTTCAGAGTTAGTTCAGATTGAGAAATAAAGTGAAAATGGATATAATATATTTTAAAGCAAATCTTATTCATACAAAAAGACATTATAGTAAAAGGGCTAGGCGATATTCTGGTATATAAGCAAATTTTAAATAATTAACACTATGCCTAAGGCTGCTTAGAGTGTTTTATATAATATTTAGAGTGTTTTATATAATATATGTATTGACTTTGAGTTCTGCTTCCACTCATCTTAGCTTGTCTTTTTAATTAATTGACTTTTTAGCCTCTGCAAAGGCTACAGTTAAGTCACCTTTCACTTTAGCAGTAGCAGTTGGCCACAATCTCTCTCTGCCTCTAGTCACTGGGAGGAAGATCAGCTGAATTGCACACACAATTTCATCTCAATATTCTATTTTCATATCATCCCCTGATATATCATGATATATCACGAGCAACATGATATGGACCAGCCCAAAATAGTAATAATTGTCTCTGTACTAGTAAACACATGTTGAATAACCACCACCACAATAGTAAAAGTAGACTATGAGGTTGGTGTAATTCTCAGGACATAAAGATTAGGTACAGTTAGTCTATGTAATAAATATATTGACATTTTTCCTAGCACTGAGTGAATCATAGTAGACCTACCTTGTTGCCTCCATCATGCATCGCCCAGCCAGTGCGCTTCACCCCAAAAGCCACATGGGTCTGGGAGGCGTCCAGGCAGGTAACGGGATGACCATATACGGAGTGAAGAGGGTGTGGCTCTTCTGTTCGAGAGTCCAGCAAATAAACACTGTCCTCAGCAGCAACAGCAGCCAATGGCCCAGAAGGCTCCTTACCAGACACCATGACTAAGATCTCCACCTGAAACAAATCAGAGGGGAATATCAAGTGATGAAATGTTTTAATTATACAGTATGTTACTTTCACTTTAAGCATATAGGTAGTGTGAAGGAATTGTATTAAAGAAATTCATCCCAGACTCAACAGATACAACACTATCAAGTTTAATTCAAGATTGATTTTACCAATGACAATTATGCCTACGCAGTTTAAAAACACTCCTTAAGGAAAATAAAAGTTATATTGACAAACATATTTTTTTGATATCTTGGGGGAGGGTAATCCAACATCAATATTCAGATGATGTGTTGTGGTAGCCAGATTGTATAGCTCATACCTGTGTCAATAAATGGCACATTCAACTAATGGCATTCAAGTTAAGAAAGCATGCTACATACTACCTTCAGAGTCATAACTTTGTTACCTGCCTTCATTCAGTGTAACTTTATAAGGTGAGTGGCACTGAAGTTGTAGTTGATGCTTACCGTCTTTGGGAGGTGAGCCTGGTACGCTGTCCCCCAGTAGCCACAGTCGTCAGGCCGGTCGAGGCGTATGTGCGGCCCAGAGGAGGAGCCCAGGATGGGGGCATCGGCACTCAGGGCCAGGGTCCTGATCCGCTCAGGGCACTGGTAATGGTATATAGGCTGTCCTCCTGTCTCAGTGCTCCACACATCTACACAGCCTACACACAGCAGTGAGGTGATTTTTTCAGTGTCAGTCATCACATATAACTTCACTGCCAAATCTGAGGTGAGTACAATTTGACAGGCTGTTGAAAGGGTAACATAAAGAGTAAAAACATGGACGTGTATTAATAAATGGCAGAAAAATACTTAACACATATTAAGCATTTTTCTGCTATTTATATAACTTTTACATAGGTATCTATTTTATCTAGCTTATTTATCTATACGTATCTATTTTACATATTGTTATATGTAAACTATGATCATAATTTAAAGCAAATTGAACAGAATGATACATTAAATTGATCTGATCCTTTGTTGCTGGTCCCAACACTAAAGGTTAGTTCATTGTAGTAGACAGGGTCCTTTTATTTATAGTTTTTCATAAAAATATATATCTATATCTATATCTATCTATCTATCTATCTATATTTATTTATTTATTTATTTATTTATTTTTATTAATCGCAAGAAAGAACACAGCTGTGGGCCGGAATAGGGGGTAGGTGAAAACAAACATTTTGCAGTTTTGCCTTAAATGCCTCATAAAGTACTGCGTATGTTTCCTTTAACCTGAAGAAAACTCACCGTCTTCATATGCAGCTGCTGCCACAGTTCTATTCACCTGCACAAGGCTAACATATGGCCGTGGCTCCGTGTTGGCAGACAGGCAGTTAGGTTTCAAATAGGAGGCGCCTGAGTCCCAGTGTATTGTGTCCCACAGCCTCACAGCTCCAGAGGTGTAACTAAATAACAAAACAAAAAAAATGTTGCATTCACATTCTAGAATTTGATATCATAATTTCAGACGGAGTGCACGGGTTTAATGTGGAAGATTCACTGTTTTTGAAAGAAACATCCATACATGTGATCCACAAATGTTGAACCTAATCACTATTTGTTAAGGTTTGGCTACAAAAATCTACCTTTGGGATTAAATAATGGTACCACTTTCTGATGATATTGTGAGGAAAAAATAACAAAAGATAGTTTATTTATATGTATCTTTGCTCTAGTTCCACAAATGAGGTCAACAAATCTGTAACCTACACAGTACACAGCAAATTCCACTTACAATGAAATGGGACTTAGTGGTGTGATGTCATGTGAACACTACACAATACACAATAATATTAAAAAGTCAAACATGAGCTGGTTAAGTGTCCATTTCATTCAGTTTGTCCATCTTATAATGTCACCCTGTCACCAATGAATCATTTCCCCTTTCACACATTCCTCTTTTCTTCACCCAGACTTGTTGTTATTTGAATTCTAATTAACTTTCTGAACATCTCATTGGTGTTGTTTGGTTAGAGCAAGAGCATTTTTGTTCAGATGAACTTTGCATTTTCCCATACTGAATCAAAACTGAGCAGAGGCATCTAGGACTTTTGCTATTGTATTCACTTATAGTACAGCACATTGAATGAATGTATTGTCAATAAATAAGTCTCTTACAAATCTATGGTTGAAAGCACTCCACAGTTTCCAACAAAGAAAAAGTTGCAATATTGACAAACCAGTAAATGTATCTCTTTGTACCCCATTTTATTATAAACCTTGAGCGAAATCCTTCCATCATCTCATAACCAACAAGAAAATATAGGGCAAAAAGGAAAAAAGGTTGTTACAAAAAAATCATTGCAAAAAAGTTTCTAATCTTACAACAATTCAACAACAACAACAACAAAATTAACATTGTAAAATCATGAACACCTTTTCATCCAAACATACTAAAATCTTACTCTTCTACACTCCAGCACTTTTGTCGATGAGCTCTTGCTGCCTGTGTTCCCACCTCCACAGTTTCCATCATGTCTGAGCAGTGTCTCCACCTCACAGCCCCAAAGTGTGAAAAAGTGTGTGACTGACTTCCCAGGGTTTTAGCAGGAAGTCAACAATAATATCAACTCTTAATTGGTCTGTTATTTTCAAGCCAAATGCCAACTCTCATATGATGTAATAATCCTAGCCCTTTGCTAGCAGAATAAAATAATAGAAAAACAGATACTTCAAGGTGTAAGAGGGTTGCACCTATTTGCACCCATGGCCATATTATTGTTGTCCCTTGAATATTCCACCATAGGGTATTAAATCCTATCTAGCTAAAAAAAAAAGAAAAAAAAAAGTGTATTTTTACTGTGAGCAGGGTGGCCTCTCCACAGATCTGACCTACTATAACCTGGCCTGGCAATGTTTCTTGCCTGTGTCCATGGAGGTAGACATGTGTAGAATGTTCCTATCCAGGCAAAACAGTGACATCTTCACAGTGTCAAGAAGGTAACAACCTCTTCATCAGAAAGGTTACATAGTGCATCTTTAATTGAATGCTACAAAAGACAATCTTGAATTACACATTAATAACGAGAACTTATGGGTTTTGTGTGTTTATGACATTTAGTTGAGCATTGTGTTGTTATCAGACACTTCTCATACTTAAGCCTGTTTAAAACAGAAATAGTGTCATCACCTTTGGGACATAGTGGGACTGAGGGAATCCAATCATTGAGCTCACTGGAGTCTTAATATCTCCTTAGGCCTCTTTATCAGACACATGGGAGAGCCCTTTCACTCTATTCTAGGAACCCCTTATGGTACAATGTGGGTTAATGTTTTGGCTTCAATTCTTTGTACAAGCTATTAACTGCAACAGAGTGAAATATCATTGAAACTAATTGTAATAACAGATTGAAAGCAAAGTTTATGTTTTTTTCTAATATTAAAACTAAACATAATAAAGAAGAATACCCAATTTAAAATCAATGCACTGATTTCCAAGAAAATTATTTGTAAGTAAAGGAGCTAGCTGACCATAAACTTGATGTCATACTATATTTTCCAGGGGTAAGGTGAACAATAAAAAAAAAAATATATATATATATATATATATATATATATATATATTTTTTTTTTTTCCCTCCGTGCTCTTTACCCTCCTTTCACCCTATAATGCCATAGATTGTTAAATAAAGTCTACGGGTCAATGCCACTTACCCAGCAAAAACAAAGTTTTCACAAGAGTTGACATCACACAGCACCTTCCCAAGCTCAAACTGCAACTGGCTGATGGATCCTACTCGATTCTGGGAATGAACCAACACATTTATGACATTTCAGTAGCATAGGCGCAGATAAAATTATGTATAAAAAAATTGTTAATTGTGTACATTATGATTTTATAGCTGAAAGAAAACATTTGTGGCATAAATAAAGGCTAGGAAATGCACTAATGATCACTGATGTAGAGCAGACGGAGCAGACCTTCCAGTTGGAGCATACAGTTTTGGCTGAGTTCCTGCAGTCCCGTAGTGTGCTCTTCCAGCAGGGGGAGTCAGACACACTGGCATCCTGATGAAAGCCTGCCCTCACGCACAACCTGAACCACAGAACACAGTCCTCTGCAAGGACTCTCCATGCCCTGCTCACCTGGGAGGAGGGGGTTGGATAGTATGCACATGGATTAAGTCAGCATAAATTACACACTTGCTTTACTTAATTTACGTGCATTCAACTAGTTGCCAAACTAACTCTATTGCAGTACATCTGTCTCATTAAATGCAATCCATCCTTTTGCACTGTCATTGTTAAATTTTGTGACTGTGGATACAAGTGCAGTCAGAAATATTTCAAAAATGTTTTCAAATATATCAGATTCAAATGAGCCCCAACTTGCAATATACGGTTATTCCAAACAGCATGACATCAGTAATAATTAATTTATAAATTAATGGACGCATTAAAGCAAGTTTGTTTTGAAAATACAGCATTGTGTGTGTCAGTGTAGTATGCTTACCTGTGCACATCGGCCAAGCTCTTTGCAGTTGAGATACTGAAAAATCTTTAATGCTAGCTCATAAGGCAAGTCTATATCGAAAAATGGAATGTCATCAACCTCATTCTGAAAAAAAGAAAAAAAAAGAAAAAATATGAACATAATTAATGATTATAAATAAAGGTTCACAATGTAACTTTTCTGATGTTATATACGGTGTAGCCTAATTACATTGATTTGACATTTTATTATACAAAGAATATACAACTGCATACAGTGGGTCACCATTATCGAAATATTCATAGTATATATCTCAAAAACTACAACACATAAAACTGCCTTTCATTTTTGGCAAAGGTGTGTCTTATAACTATATAACTATAGCCCAGAAGATGTTTAATTGATTCAGGTGGCCTAAAATTTGATTTTACAGTTCTTATTGTCTATATAGAATAAAATGTTTATCTCTCGTGTTATGTTTTTTATTATAGTCCACATCTGAGCATCTTTTCTGCATAATAACACAGATCTGCACTACTATAGTAGTATATACATACCAGGTCTTGGATGAGTTGATCTACCAGCTGCTCTTGTCTCTTTACTTTCTTCTGCAGCCTCTGATGTTGCAGTGATGTGTCTGTCACAGTGTCATTTTGTCTTCTCCTTTTTGATCTCTCCTCCTCAATCCTCTCCAGCAGGGGGCTCGTCCGTCCATCCAGTAAACTACTCGCAATGGAAACGTACCCCGGCTGATCCTCATCATTTGACTTCACACCTTCACCTTTATCTACAGACACATCATTGGTTGGACTATAACGCCCAATCTTATCGTCTATGTGATCATCCTTCTCCTCAAAATAACGCCTTTTTGAGTCTTTTAACTCACAAGAAACCTTACTTGAATCAGCGTAATGGACAGTTTCATGTTTTTCCTTTTTGCTATTTAATTCTTGCTGCCAGCGCTCCCTAAACGCAGCAAGCTCACTATCTTCTGCCATTTTCTACATCGTTGCTAACCTATAACAAACAATAGATTTATATGAGAAATTAACTAGACCTTAGTGCACATAAAAGGAAGAAGGAGTGCAAAAAGCAAAACAAGCACTGGTTCTACTTTGTAAATAGTCCGAGTAACAGCACGAACTACTACAAAAGTTCCGCATGATTTTAATTCCGCAGGTTTATTATAGGACATTGTTGAATGGCAGATTAAAACATAAATGGACACAAATTCTCTAAGATATTGTCATGTTTATGTTATTAGACACCTATATCATTATTATTAATGAAAATAAAATAAATGTGCCTTTTATTTGTAAACGCTAAGGAACACAATGTCCCTGAACTGAATACACAACAAAAGACTTGATGAAAGTGGGCAAGAGAGATTCAATAGTTAACCATTGCACTTCTCTTTTGGGAGAAGATGATGTAAACCCCACACCATGTGACACCGTAATGAATAATACAGTAGAGAGAGAGTTCGAGCGGGAGAGGGGACACTATAAGGTTGGATGAGGATAAAAAGAGAGTCATTTATCCTTGCGACCAAAAGAGGAAAACACGCACAAGTGCTGTTTCTTGAGAGAAAGGAAGATGTGCTGGCTGCCGGTAGACCAGCCTTTGTTAATGCCGGGAGACTCGTCATTCTCCCGGAGTCCGTCGCCTTGCTCCGTGGCTCAGGTGGTGGCATCCCGTTTGAGAAGAGTCGGGGACCAGATGGAGAAGAGTTGGATGTCCAGTGATAGCGTGTGCCGCCCAGAGGACACTTCAGTGGGGTTTAGCGGCAGAGGACCCCTGCGGAGCGCCCTGTGGAGCCTCGCTGTGCTCGTGCTGCTCTTCACCAAGCGACACCTGTAGGCGCCGTTCAGCAACAGGTGCGTCAGCCAAACATCCTCACGGGACACTTCAAACTCACGCGTGTGCGCTTATGAAACTGAAAAAATATATATATGTGAATTTATAGACAATATATGTGACACACGATTTGGGTCTTCTCTGCTTTATTACTTAAGAATATTTCACAACAATCAAACCAAGTGACAACAAACATGTCCAGAACTGTCACGTGCATCGTGGATGTACTTTTTTCTTTTTTAGGCTGAGTCATTGAGTAATTGAAGGCCATTGACACAGTGTTTCTCTTTGTGTAGATGCATTTCGGCGTAAGCAGTGAACCCAGACGATGAAACTACAAAACGTCTGCGCAGTTCAGCCGGAGGATGTGGTCCGTCCAAGTTGTGGACACGTCTGTCAGCAAAAAGGCGGAAGATGCGGGGCTCTTTGTTCACTGTTTGGGGTTGAACAATCTGACGTGATGACTCAGGCCTTTTTTATGGATGCACTATGATTTTGTAGACTGATGATGACAATGAAAATCTTGAGCTCTTTACTAAGCAGGGCTTTCTGCCGGTTCTGCGCTCATGTGCGTGCCTCTGTCATCCCCGCTAACTAAGCGGTGATGTAATGCTCCCTTGGTAGACCGGAGAGGAAAGCTTGCTAATAAGACTCTCTGAATGTTCACATTACAAGATATCAGTTTCCAGAGGGGGAAAACCCAGTCAACTACATGATGCACGGATAAGTTACACAAAGCAGTAAACAATGCACAGGGCTTTGTACTGTCATGCTGTCCTCTTTTTCTATAAGCTATTGAACATGTAAATACAGAGGATGGCTGTTTTATAAACGTTTTCTACAGTGTTTAGATAATAATGTAAGTAATTTTCTGCGCTTTTGCATCAACTCGTTTCTAAATGCAGTGTTACGTGGCTTTTATTTGTTAAAAAATATAGGACCTGTGCATAGGAAGCTATGCTGTGGATTTGTCTGTCATTTCTAACTAAACAGTTGGAACACTCTAACAGTTGATATGATGACTGTACTGAACATAAGCTCTTTATAACATGTTCTTTTTACTTACTACTGAAATATTTTATATTGAGTTTGGTATAGTGTAATAAAAACAAAGTTTTCAAAACTGTGTATTCTCTAATTATTGAACAGGTGGTTTATTGAGTTGTAACTTTGTTGAATAACACAGAAATTACATATACACTGAAGTTTTAATATGATTGTTAAGTTAGAGTTAGAATTCTATTTTGCTAAATTAATGCTTAATGTAGTGAAGAATTTATATAGTTATGTAATAGAATAAACAACCATGTTAAAATCATACTGTTGGCTAGACGCATTACACTGGTAAATGACCTTTGCATTATCCAGACCCATGACCTTGCCCTTAAAAACCCTTACTTACAACATGTTTTTAATACAACACAGCAGATTGTCTACCACTGTTTACAGGGCCACATGGGACACAGGATGTATATGGACTGATGAAGCCTAGTAGATTTGGAAGTGCGCCGAGGTGGTGCCATCTTTCCAGCATCGCGGGGTCTCGATGACTGTGGCTCTGCAGAGAGGACAAGTCCGCTCCCGATCGAACCACAGACACAGGCAGTCCTCACAGAACACATGCTGTAACAAAACAATGCAAAAAACAATAGTAGCAATCGGCTTGAATATACATAAAATTTACACAGGTTACAGTCTTTTTTGCATAGTTCAAAAATTTTATTCAATAAAAGATGAGTTTACGCAAATGTATATTTTAAAAGGTATGTAACTTTTCTGGTACTCCTTGAAGATGTTATTGCTTTGCCTGTAATATTCCAATGTATGGCATTAATGTGTATTTATGTTTCATTTACATTTATAAGTCTATAAGATTTTTTGTTTATTCTAAAAACATTAATTCTAACTGCAAGCAGATTCACCTCTCCACAGATCTGACCTGTAACTTGGCCTGGTCGCATCACCTGTCTGAATTGTCAAGTATGTGCCATAATGTGGAACATTTCAGGAAAAGCAATAATATTTCCATGGAGACAGGTAGGCGGGAGATCTTCTACTACAAAAGTTACATAGTGCACCTTTAAACTAATTAAACTGGAGGATAAAGAGGCAAATGCTAAAAATTCTGAAACAGTATTGTCCACATAGATGGCAATAATAATATACAGTTTCTCTGAGCCCAGAATAGGTTGTCATGTTCTCCATTAATTCTCTTGTCCATTCAATGTTTCACTGTTGATAACTTAATAACTATGTTGAAACGTTTTTCTCTGGTTTTGGTATTATTAGTTGGAGATAATGATTTCTTACCTGACAGAGAAGAGCTATGGGGTCTCTGAAATCAGACTGGCAAATAGCACAGATGTCACCAGCCTCACTGCACTGCTGGCTGCCGGCTCGCACTCCATAGTTCTGGGTGAAGAAATTATAATTAAATTGTACTAAACATATGTTATTCCCGTAAATGAGAAAAAAAAATTAAAACCTCACCTGAGTGCCACAAAGGATTACAAATGCCTTGCGTATGGCGGAAACACGGCCACAGATGTCGAAAGACTGGAAAACAGTGACTAAAACTTGAAAAATTATTTGAATTTAAACTGATAGAAGAAAAGTCCCTGTCTGTGGTTTTAACACATATTTCAGTTCATTCCATAGTGACGGCATCATTCAATCAACTATGTGCATTAATCATATCCGTTTAATGACACTGAGCTGAAAATAGGGTTGGTGTGGTTTTGTAAAATGACTAAACAGAATTTTGTCCTCCCCATTTCAAATAATTATAGCATGAATCTTGAGCAGTCAGTTTTATATTGACAATTCTTTTGAAATAGATTAACCCAGTAAACCGGGTTCCAACTTTTAACTCTTTTCTACCATTATCTCTGTGAATCATATATTAATGCAATCAGTAACAGAATGAATCAGACCCAAATAGGCACAAAACAGATCAACCTATAGTCTTTAATAAGGTTATTCTAGACACTAAAATTCACTCTTCAATTCCAAGCATTATACTTTCACAATCACAATCAGTAATAGTAAGCTCTGCAGCCATGGCTGCCCAAACTGTAGTGGTAGTAGTAGGTGGGTGAAATAACTTGCTCAAGGATACAACAGTACAGGTCTGAGCAGGGACAAGTTGTACCAACATTTGGGTTTGTGTCTGAGTCACTCTACTCAAACTTAATGGTCATAAAATATTTTATTTTTCAATGATGCCATCTATACAAAACCTGAATCTAGAGTGTAAAGAACATTAGTTACCTTGCAGAGGCTGTAGATTATGATGAGTGCAGCCCCTAGAAGGTAGCTGCTGGAAGGGTCCTCCCCCATGATATATTTGTACCAGAGCTGGATGGGCACTAGAGTCCGGAACAACTGGCTCAGCTCTTCAATCAGCAGGTAGCACTTCCCCTGTAAAAACATACTAAATTATTCAGCGTAACCCACCATTCACTAAACATTTACTAAAAATGCTAAGCTTGATTTGATTGACTTAAGAAATTTTCTCAAAGTGGACAAAATTACTAAAGAATTTTTAAAATTAATCCCACAACACAAATTCATTTTTAATCCCCTTCTATCAACAAAACAGGAAAAGCTTGACAGCTTCGGGGCACTTTTCTATCTAGTCAAGAGCAGTGCAGTATTAAAAGCTTAAAAAACAGCACGCCTCCAGCCCAAACATGGCGGTGGTCCAGCGCGCCACAGTTTCACAGCAGTACAGGCAATTTCCCCACACTGCTCGGGAAACTGGCAACCGCTCTGTCCACCTGCTACCCTGCGCCTGCATTAAGCCTAGCCCTACGGGGGTTACACAGCGGCTCGAGAGGACCTGCAATGCCCTCCATAATCAGACACAAGAAATGAACTTTTCAACTGTTATGTGAATGACTGACTGAATAGACTTAAGTGTTAGAATTTGAATGTAATCATATTTAGTTTGAAATTGGGTCTACAAACATCCAATTTTAATTTAAACTTTAATTAGTTTAACACACTGCACAACTTTTCTAGTGAAGAGTTTGCCACCTGCTTGTTTTCATGGAATGGTCCACAGTATGGAAATAAGTATATCTATCTCCATGGAGACAAGCAAGTTACAGGTCATATTTGTGGAGAAGTTAGACCGTTCATGTTTTTTAGTGCACTTTTAAAAATATAAACATGTTGCACACACATTTAAGAGAAATAAAGAGATAGCAATATCATCTTCATGGAGACAAGCAGGTGGCACATTGCCAACCAGAAATGCAATTCACTTTTAAAGTTATTTAAACTAACAAAGATTATACTTTGATACTATAATGAAAAAAATATTTCACCTTAGTTTTTTCAAGTTTTCAAGATGTTGAACTTTTTGACAGTTTTTTTTTTTTTTTATGTGGATAGGCCTAAAAATTAGAGATAATAACCAATAACCAGGTAAAAACATCAACAATCACATAGAATTCTAATACAGAATTCTTGGAGAGAAAATGTTAAATATTGATTCACTTTTGGTCCCAGTGGCATCTCAGACTGTGTAATGACCTCCTGTATTGTATTTGACAGAGATTGATGACGGGAAGTGAAGAGCCGAGAGCAGCCAGGTTAGTAGACGAAGATGGCCTATCAGCTATTTCATCTTGTGTATTGTCCCCTCAGCTTGGTATCCCACTGTGCACATCACGCCCACGCAAAAACTGTCAAATCTAAGGTTTGGACTGAGGCCAAGTTGAAGAAAGCTCCACTGCTAACAATGTCTGAGCTGTTTGTTGTTTAATTGTTTGTTTAAAAGAATATTAATAGAAGTGGTTTCTGCTTTGCTTCAACTGCAAAAGGTAGTATTTCGCATTTGATGAAAAATAACAGCATGGCAATATTTAGTCATATTATTATATTGTATATTAATTATTTTATACATAATTTGGCACAGCTCAGAAGTGAAGTTTGTCTTAAGAAATTACTTGTAAATGCCACAATTTTAACTTATTTTTTAGATCTTAATTTATCCAATTTATTATTCTGATTTATTTTACTAATTCTATTTGACCAAAATGTACTTCTACTGGCTTATCATAGTTTTTATTCCTATTAAAGTTGAACTGGTTTTAAGATGAATGTGTTACTTTTATTAGTCAATGGTAACAAAAAAATTTGAATAATTAGCATAAAGCCAATGTTATAGCAAAATGGAGAATTGTCCAGACTTAAACTGAGAGTAGTGTCATTATATTGTAATAGTTTTTTGTATCCAGACATTGATGCAATAATGAAGCCATCCAAATTATTCCATACTATCTGCAAGTTTAAGAATGTTTAAAAACTGCCATTGCAATAGCAATAAATGATTTAAAACAAAATAGCCTATCTTCAAAATGCTATATAACAGGAAGCCGAAACCCATGAATAAGTCAGTCCACACTACTTGGCCTGGGTGACCTTAGATCAAATCAGGACAAATCCCCTATCAAAGCTGATCAGAGACAGTTGACAACACGTGCGTATGTTTTTGTTGTGAATGGAGTGAACAGGTAATGGTTCAGCTCCGGGGAGGGATGACCTCACTCTTGCTAACCCCCAGAGGGCAAATGATCTCAGTTGTTGGCTGCTGTGCGTCTGATAGGCTTGTAGCTGCATTTATCAGTGGAAAATTTCATCCTAATAATTTGTGTCGTCTGCCCTGGTTGCCCTGCACACAAACAAGGTGAATGTGAGCAGCACCTGTCTGTCCCATTGAGTGCAGTGATATTGTTTGGCCTGAGGCTGCCCTTTGCACTCGACTGGAGCAGACCTTATGAATACAGAGCAGCTGCATACTCGGACCCTACAGCACTGTCTCTCTTCAGGATTTCATTAGATGTTAAAAATGAATACCTGTTGTAAGAGCCTGAACAAAACAGTTGAATAGCTAAGATTTAGTTTATCAAGGTTTTTTTGTTTTGTTTTTTGACTTATTTGTAAATTCTTTATTATTTGTATGTTAATTATTACTTTTCCTTTTGTCAGTGTGTTTTGGCTCACATTTCATAATAACTTACTAAACTGGTTTTGTATGTTGTTTATAGCTTGACCCTTTTATTCTTTTTATTTGGCTTTGTTTGTGGATGCCCAGGGGATCTTCAGTCCAGTACTGGTATACCAGGTAGTCTGGCACAAGTAGGTCTGAATTATGTATTCTTCTTGTCCGTCTGTAAAACATTAGTGCTTAAGGAAGTATTGGAGTTTTGTTTAATTTTTTTTTTTTCCTTTTACTATTTTTACTTTTATTGAAATTCATCAGTTTGGTATTCTAATGTTTGTTAGTGATACAATGAAATTCCTATCCCATTTTTTTAATAATGTAAAGTAATTATCACCAGGAGCAAATAGCTATATGCTAGCCATTAAGCTATTTACACCCCTTGGGCTCAGTTGCCTCACAAACACACAGTAATGCCCTATAGGCGCCAAAGCAGAATAGTAATTAGTTAGGTGATGGCATCATAGTGTTAATTTAAACGATTGCAACAGGAACCAGAGTTTGTGTCTTAGAATTCATTTTGAACCCAAGGTTATGAGGATTTAGTTTTTAAGTAGTTTGGGACAGTTTTTTTTTTTTTTATCTGATACACAAGAAGCACACCACAAAATCCACATGTACAGACAACTACTAATACTGTAAGTTAGTAGGTCAGCAGTTTTCTGAGATGTTTTCTATTTTCTGAAATGTAGCACTCTGACTTGTTTTCCAAGTAATTTCTGAGACTCATGATTCATCTCAAATGACAGATGACTTCAAACTCAGAGTGAGTTTGTGAGGGCAGTGACTGTGACTGAGATTTAGGCAAGAGGACTCAAACTTGATCTGCCTACCTCTGTTTTATAAACATGTTATTATAGGACATCACAGTAGGGGCCACTGGGGGTGCACAGAAGTTATTGTTGCGTTACTTTATCCACTGTGCAGCAATTCGGACTCAAATATAATTTTTTATTTGTTGATTTGAAAAATTAAGACTTAGACTTGGATTTGGACTTGTAGCTAGAGTGCTAACGACTTGACTTGGACTCTGACCATTCCCTCTATCAAAGACTTAGTTGGATATGGTCTAGAACAATTATGACTTGACATGTTTGACATGCCAGCCAAAAATAAACAGTACAATATAATTCACCTTGTGAACCTTACCCTAGATTTGAAGGCCAGCATAATCTTCGGCAGGAAAAGGACGAAACATTTCAAACCAATGGTGAAGTACTTGAGAACAAAGTCCGTGATGCCCACAATCCAAATAAGATCAAAGAAGTCAAAGCTGTCAAGATTTGGTTTGGCAAATATAAGGCTAGAAGAAAAAAAAACAAAACACATATCACATTGAGAGGTATTCTGTGAAACTAAAAACGTGATGAAACAAGTATTATGAACATGATGACGAACTCAACAAAATGATATAATACACACACACAAAATACTCACAGGATAATAATAGATATGGACCGCAATACATCCTAAAAATGAAACAAAATGGAGGAACTCAGCCCAAACATTCTACCAAAAAAGCATACAACCAAAATCCCAAATGAAATGATGGGGGTGGAGGAATGCAGTCTACATGTGTAAATGTGTTCCATCCTATACCTGTTCTGAAGCTCTTCACTGCGAAATGTGTAGTAGATATAGAAAATATTTCCTGCAAGAAATAGGAATATCCACAAAGCAACTAGCAGCGAACGATGCTCCTAGCAACAAAGGATCATAATAATGATTCACATAGTGAATTTTGCATCACAGTTACCACAATTATGATAAATACTACATATTGCAAAACTTTAAATTTGTTACAACAGAAACTAAGACAAAAACAAAATGAGGACTAAAACGCAGCTTAAGTGACAACATTGTCTTCTGATAGTAATTTAAACTGAGTAGTTTAACTTGATTTATTAAATTTTTTACCCTTAATGCAACTTGATGCTTTAAAGATGAGTTGGCGTAAGCAAAAGTACAAGCCAACCCCACGCAGACAGCTAAGCCTAGTAGAGAAAAAAGCAATGAGGTGGATCTTTCTTTTCATTTTAGTTACACACTTCAAACAAATACCAAGCTTGTGTTGAAAGCAGACTTTGGCCAGCAGTATGAGGATAAAGGGGAAACCCCGCTGTAGCCAGGTGACCACCGCCTTCAGCTCAGACAGTGCTGGAGCAGGAGTGGACTGGTCCTCCTGGGAGTCCTCCCTGGAGCCATGCCTCTCAGAGCCAGCTGCTGTAGTGGCCTGTTGGAGCAGAGAGGGGGTCCGGTGCTGCAGGGGCTGGTGGTGGAAGTGGTGGTGATGAGGATGGTGGTGATGATGATGATGCTGAGTCGGACGAGGAAGGAAAGGGCCCACCTCGCTGCGATGGGGGCCCCCTTCGTCCCTGGAGGAGGTGGTCATCTGGATAAAAACGTCAGGAGGAGAGCCCAGGACTAAGCCAGCTGCCTGGAATTGGGCAGAGGACACAGAACCAGAGGGAACGCCCACCAGGCCAGAGAAAATCTGTTGGGGTGAGGTTGGTGATTCTGGTTTCAAGCAGTCAAACACACCACCCTCATCCAGGCTACTCTCTGACCCCAGAGTTTGGCTACGGCTCCTTAAAAATAACAAAAACCCATACGTTATTGTGCTGAAAACAGGTTATACAGCACTCACTTCTACATGCAGCAATAGAAGTGATGAAACATATTCAACTGTTAAAGCTGCTAGTCTATAACTTTAACAGTTGAATATGTTTCAAGTTGAATATGATTACAAGAAGAGAAAACCTAGAGGGCCTGTGTTCACACCTTTCAGAGGGCATGCCATCCGTGTTGCTGCTATGTCTCCTCTGCATTGCACATCACCTGTCACATGGACCAGCTCTAAAAACAACATGAAATGCCTTTTATTCATTAGACTCAAGTGTTTTATAAGATTGCAAATAGATAAAAGATGTCTTTTACCTGAATATGTATACACATTTCTGTATGGTTGTTCATTGTGGTACGTTGACGAAGAGGGTTTTGTGGATGCTGAGATGCCCTGTATCCCTGCGTCAAGCACTTCCTGTAGGACGGGACATGTGATCTTTTTCAACCAATCAGAAGCCTCTTTCAATACCACACCACATCCGTGAGTTGGAGATTTGTTTTGCTGTTTTTGGCTGTCAAAGTATGCTGGGAAAAAACACATATAGCGTATATCAGCTTTTCTTTAATCAGCTATATTTAAGTGCATTGTGTGGTATTAAGAGGAAACATTGCGTAGTTGGATAACTTTTCGGAGATGACATCGGTTTATGGGAGCTATCGCGGTGCTACTACGCTAATGCGACCGTAGCTAACGAGCTAACAAAGCTGACAAATGCTACATGCATCTGCGTGCATACCAGCTCGCATTTAATCAATAGCAGGACCACATTTCTATTTATTTATTTTTTTGCAATATATGGTTTTGATGCCTCTGAAATTATAATAATGGGCTAGCTTCAAGGACAAGCGCTAACCTTGCACCAAAATCCTTATACGATTTTTTATTTTTTTGTTGTTTTTGTTTTTTTTGTTTTGAAGCTACATTTTACTTTTTTGTTCGTGGAACCAATAGTTCTTGCATTGCCTCGTAGCTCAGTTAGAAAGACGTGAGAATCTGTTAAGGCCATGCGATGATGGTGCTGCGACGCCTATTGAGGAAGCGCTGGGTGCTTGGAGTGGTCTTTGGGTTGTCTCTTATCTATTTTCTCACCAGCACATTTAAACAGGTATGATTATTCAAAACATGGATGAGTGCATTTTTATCATTTGTATAGTAGGCCATCTAATGAAATCCTGAAGTAAACCATGTGTATGATCTGCCTGTATTTACTATGATCATTTAAAATGACTGTTTACCCTGTTTGACAATTGTTATTTTGGTTTTATTATTCCACAGGAGGAGAGGACCATAAGGGATCGAACACTCCTCGAAGTGAAGGATTCAGACCACCGCATCCCATGGAAAGTGCGCTTTAACCTGGGCAACAGCAGCCGACAAATCACTCAGTGCAGAAACTCAATTCAGGGCAAAACTTTGCTCACAGATGAACTTGGTGTGTGGAGCTGATATTTTATATGAAATCCTGCATGTTACGTTTTGCACCATATATTTATACCATAACTTCTCTATCTTGCAGGTTATGTTTGTGAGCGAAACGATTTGCTAGTGAATGGTTGCTGTAATGTCAACGCTCCCAGCACAAGACAGTATATTTGCAAAAGTTGCCTAGCCAATGGCTGTTGCAGCATATATGAGTATTGCGTATCTTGCTGCCTCCAACCTGATAAGGTAATCTGTTTCATCATGGATGTTTTGTAAAAATTTTTTTGTACATGTGAAAGTGACAAACATCACAACGCTGTAGGAACCTGATGGAAATCTCCACTGATAATATGACTCCTCTTCCTAATTCTTATCTGTTCTGTTCAACAGCAACCTCTTCTTGAGCGCTTCCTGAATCGGGCCGCAGAAGGTTTCAGTAATCTCTTCACAGCTGTAGAGGATCATTTTGAACTGTGCCTGGCAAAGTGCAGGACTTCTTCACAAGTATGTTTGATACTTGAAACTAAAGATGATAGTGATAATAATGATGAACACAGTATTGAGCTATAGATTGCAAAGCTGTTGTTTAGTCACATTATTCATTTGTTTTGTATTTGTTCTTTTCTGCAGAGTGTCCAGCATGAAAACACTTATCGAAACCCTCAAGCCAAATACTGTTATGGAGAGAGCCCACCAGAGCTGCTTCCTATATGACACTTTCTCTCCCATTCCCTGGTTTACTATGAAGTCTGACACTGCAGTGGTACATTTACAGGCCACTGTTAGGATCCCAGTCTGGCTCAGATTCGATAGCTATACTGGAGAAGGGTCTTGAACATTGGGAACATTGAAAATGGACCTCAGATGGGACAAAAGTGACTGTGTTTTTCTATTATTTACACTTCATAAGTGCGTCAACGTTTTCATACATTCATCCATGATGATCATTACTGGCAGCTCAGACGTCCAGCAACTCATTTCATGACAATGGAAACAACATTGATTCTATTGAGAACAAACCTTGTTTTGATTTTATTGTCAAAGGGCCCATATTACGCACATTTCTGATCTATGTTATAATGTTTCCTTATCAAAAACATACCTGGAGTTGTTTTCATTAATACGTTTAACACACAACCCCTATATAGCGTATATAAGATCAGTTCTTCTCTCAAGTGGAAAACTCTGTTTTGCTTTGTGTTGTCATGTGGTAATACAGAAGGTGCCCTGCTGTGTTTTTAAACTCCATACACCTTCACTAGACTTATTTGGATCAATTCAGCTGTGGAATTTCCTATCTCTTCTGAACAAACAGTAAAAGGTAGCTGTTAGCCTGAAAACGACAGCTTCATGTCATCACAAGGTGGAACAGAGCATCTTGAGTTTTGGAGGTGTAGACAGACTAATAATACAGGATTACTTAAATGTGTAAATTAAAACAGCTCTAGGTATGTTTTTGATGAGGTAACATTATTACATGGGTTAAAGCTCAACAGAATCCATGTCCATGGACCTTTGAACAACAATGAATGTGTCAGTGTCTTGTGCATGTGAATTAAACTGTTATTTAATTTAAAAAGTTGGAGAATTTTTTTTTTTTTTTATAGCTGGTATTTTAAAACTGCTTTTGTTATCTAGGAAAATAAATAAATACAACAGGTTATAAACATTTCTCATAAAAAGAGTTAAGATGATCCATACAAAAATAGTTAGTTCAAATAATAAAATTACAATTTCTGATTAAATTTTAATTGATCGGTTAATTTGAGGAGGAGGTGGCCCACATTAATCTTTGTTTCAGTTTGGTTGTTGTCCCATTTCTCACTGATGGAAGTGTGACAGACTTATCGCCTTACCCAGCGCTGTCCATCTGTCCATTGCTTCACCAGTGTACAGTAATTGGAGTCCAAAGCAGTGACTTCTTTAAAGGTGATTTTATCTGCCTTACCTCAGGCAACACTCTAGCTCACAGGGGAGAGCCGAGCCAGAGTAAAACAATTAATCATTGTGAAGGTTGAGAAAACAAACTAGCATAATTAGGAAATGTAATAGAAGGCTCTCTCATTTGGCACATTGATTAATTACTATCACTTGGGATTGGTCCAAAACGAACAAAGCACTTCTAGAAATTGATACTTTGTATAGAACATTTTATTGAAAAAGGCTTAAACTAGATCAGACAGTTTCAACTTTCAACTGACATTTACACCCATTCAAATGTCTGTTAAAAAGACAAAGCATGAACAGATTGTTGTTAAAAAAAATGACCACTTCCCTCTATGTACATTTGGTGCATGATGGCTCTTCGCTTGAGGTCGACTCTCCAGCTCTTCTTGGACCTTGGCTTTGGGAGCCTGTGCTGCAGCCAGTGCAGGTATTGTGTACCTGCTGTGAGCAGAGTGTGGCTCCACTGCTTCTTCCCAAAGGCTGTGGGGGGCATCTCGGGGGGCGCTGGAAGAGGGGAGCACTTCCCACCCAGGATGCCTCGCAGACAAGCAGCCAGCAGATTCACTCTGGAGATGGACTCCTTCAGCACCCCGTGAAGGGACACATCTTCAGGGTTCAGATCGTTTTTCTGGTCGTCCAGGATCCTTTCCAGACCTTGAGTTAAGAAGAGAAGACTGCACTGTACTTTGGCGCCATCAATAGAGGAGTCCTGCTTCACTGTGAGCTCAGGGAAACCTGGCACCCAGGTACCAAGGTGCTCACCATTGGCTTCATCCTGCAAGCAGCACACACATGCACTCAACATCTATGTACTAGTCAAAAGTTTCTAGATTTTAAGCACTTCACTAATACATCAAATTGATTCAACCACATCAAGAATATTTTACAGGCACTGTACTTACAAACTTATTTAAACTGATTTCCATTTGTCGTTTGGTCAAAGAAGCCAGTTGTCTGGGTTTGCACGATAAACCAGTGTTTCTTTTTGATGAGTGTCTTGCACCAACAATGTGTAGCATGATCATCATCCAGGGCAAAACAGTCTTCAGGAAAACTGCAAAATCAAAGTGTAAAAAACACAAGTACTGGAAATCAAGTAAATAATGAAAAGCAGAAATTAAAAGAAGTAGGCCTACCTTTTTGGTAATTCATTTTGAATTAAGAACTTTCCCAATGTCAGACTGTTTTATAGAGGTGCATGTCAAAGAGGAGTGTGACGAGGCTGAAGATAAGATTATCTGTAACTGACTCACATCCTTCAATTAAAAACAAAAAAAAAATTTAAAAAATACCAAACTCATAATGACCAACTTTTGTCAATTTAGGTACAGCAGAATTTAAAATAAATTAAAACGTATTTACAATGCTCTTTTTATTTTTACATTTTAATTTAGGTTAATAAACTGCAACCAGAAACATCTCTGCTAGTATTGGAGACTTGGGCAAAAGACCCATCTTGTCTGGTGTTAAATGCTGACGGTCGATGGCTCAGATTGGCAGCCTCATTTCTGTCAATGTGCCCCAGGGCACCTTAGGCTACATAAGCAGTTTACTACCACAGAATGTGGAGTGAATGAATAATTACTACAATGTAATCATAATATAGCCTCTGTAAGGTACAATACAAGTGTAAAGCATCGTTATAATTATAATGATAATGCCTTACAAGGATAACACCACCAAAACAAGTATATTTGAAACTATGCAAATATAGTTCAAACATTTATTTGGTTAAAATAAAATATATATCACTTAAAAATAATAATAAATATTAAATACATCTATAAATACACATTTCCAGATCACATTCAGCAGCTACACAATTTAAATTCCATAAAGCATAATTTTTTATGATATGAAGTAAAATCTATATCTCTTACAATATACAATACAATACAATACATAATAAATATAATGTGAATCTATAAATACACATATTTCAAACACATTCAGGAGTACTTTTAAATTGTATAAAGCATAATTTCTGATGATATATGCAGTCATATTTTCAGATTTGCAAAACCGATCTGCATTCATAACGTGCATCCTGTCATACAAAAACTGTATTTCAAGTATGGTCCATGTTACTGTAGGTCTCTCAGTGTGAGAAGCATCTGCTCCACATGTGTGAGCCACTCGAGCAGCCGGAGCAGCACAGCCCAGCCGTACACTTTGGCTTTGTATCTACTGAAGCGGCCCATCTTCAGAGGGGGAGGGTTGGGGGGCACAGCAGCATGTGGCTCCAGGACTCTGAGAAGTTGCTGAACATTAGCGGCCAAATGACTACATCTGGCTGAGACTTCAGTCAAGAGCTTGTGTAGTGGCTCTTTGCTATCCCAATTCTCTTGGTGGTAGAGATGCACTTGATTAACATGCATTTTGAAAAGCAGTGTTTTGTTGTAAATGCTCTGCAGTCTCTCTTCAGCACTGATTCCATATATGATGACATCCGGAACCTCAGCAGGAACTGGGGGGTTCCGAGTAAGACCATGAAACCTCCTCTGAAACAAACAAAAAAACAAAACAAAAAAGTCACAAATTAGGAGTCAAACTTGAAGCAGATACAAAGTGGAGAGACACATGACTAGAACATGTCAGTGAATCGCTCAGTTTGCTTGAGGGCCATATTTGGACCTCAGGCCATAGTTTGCACAGACCACCTTTAAACACTTCTCCCTACATATAAGGGACTCAAGACCACAACCACATCATATCCAAATACTTATTTAGTAAAGAAAAGTTAAAAAATAAAATAAAATAGGTCAGCCACTTACATATTCTTCAAATAAGTTGGCAGTATTGTGTTTCAAAAGACGTAAAGAATTAATGGCCATGTTCATCTGATTAGAGTACGGTAGGTTTGAAGATGATGCAGAAAACACTAGAGTTCCCTGGATCTCCACAAGAATCAATGTCAGCCCTGTGAAAACTTCAACAGTAGAGTTAAAATAACATAAGTTAATTATAATTTGTTCTTTTATAGTTAATTCTGAGATAATGTGCAAAAGACTTGAGAAGTTGCAGCTTAGCAGTTATTTACCTACAAATGTAAGCGCTCCGTTCCGTTGATAATCCATACTGACAATACTGTGTCCAACAGTATGGTCTTATTTATACTTCCTTTAAATGGTAATTCTTCCTCCCACTGTGACGATCAGTAACACGATGACAAAACCAACGCATCACTGAGGTCACCATTAAAAAGTTATCATTTTGCTAGTGTTGCATGTGCTTGACGCTAAATTCCTAAGGCAACTCAAATGATGACTAGACCAAGGGACATATATTAATAGAAATAATTCACATGTTTTGATAATGTCGACAAACAAATACAAATAAAAACAAACAAAATTATGACGAGACTTGATTTGGATACTCAAATAGAGTACACTCGTATTAAAAAAAGAAATCACAATTGGAGTAAATCTGAGTCATCATTAACCAGTAATTACCCCCCCATTTTCCCTTTGAAATCATTTTCTAGAAAATCAAACTCTGATGGAAAAAATGAATGAGTGTTATGTCGACACTTTTTGCTCACAAAAACTTATTTAAGTCATGTTTCTTTATTGAATGAGGTGACCTAAAATTACAAATACTGCATACAATACCTTCTTAAAAATTGTAAAAAAGATAGCTGTACCAAATAAAAAAAATTTACTATCTCCAAAATGTTATTGTGCAAATTATAAAAACTACTAAGACCTAGTGTTTATGACCTTTGATAATGCTACCATTGAGAAATCTACAACCGTTCTAAATAAAAGCATGGCCCAAATGAATGCAAACCCAATTTATGAAGTTTTAGTAGCTTTTGGGGCAAAGTAGACATGTAGCCTACCTTTCAGTCAGTGCGTTTACAGAAACAACAAAAAGAAATACAAGATATAAAGACATATGGCAGGATGCAGTTTCAAAAAGTAACAATACTGGAAGATATATGCACATTAGCTCTGGGGAAATGAAAATAGAAATACTAAAACATAAAAATCTGATAAGTTATAGACAGAATTGTTGTGCTTTGTGTGAAAGATTGTGCATTAGGAGGCACACTTAGTTCCAATGCATCCCCCCTTAACTTGTAACGGAGACCCCACAGTCAAAAATACACATCACATGGAAGATCTTCTGGTCTTCATTCATGGCGACTTCAGAGTGGTTACTACAGCTAGCAATACAGAGCTAGCTTGTCTAATAGGCACACAGTTAGCTTAGCCAAGTCAAGTACGCTGAGCGAACCAAGAAACACACTGCTCACGTCAGACCAAACTTCAAGACATCAACTGGAAGACGGTTCTTTTCTCTGATGATGGAGCATGTCTGTTACACTGACAATGTCCTCCTCTGGCACCTGAAGAGAAAGTGGTACAAGAGTAAAATGAAATGTAATGTAAAATGTACATATTCTCCAACCACTTCTGCCCGCACAACCCTAACTTTCTCAACACTGATCATTCAAATCTGCCACTTATACAAATGCTTTATTTTCTCTTTTAATGTACATGAACACATTCATTCAACTCAGTAGCTAATTTCTAAACTGATTGTGATGTATTGTGAAAAATGACAAAACATTACTGTGCACAGCACATGAGTCAAGACCAATGTCTAATTTTAGGACAAGGAAGTAGGCTTGAAAGTGTTTACTTATACAGGAAAAGATTAAAACACAATAATCAGGCCTAACGCATATAAAGTCTGTGACCTCTGTCATTCAAAGGCATTCCTAAACGTGGACACCGGGAGTTGCTGACAGTATTGAGCATGTCATCTTTTGCTACATTAGTTACATTCCTTGTTACAAGCTGCACCACTTTGGGAAACAGGAATTTGGTTTAAATCACTATAACTACACTAATATATGTCACCGCACAGACACAGGATCCCAGATTTAGGCCCTTGAATTGGTATCAGGTATCATACACTCTGACACAACCTTGTATGACTTGGATGTGGGTGCTGCACATATTTACTTTGTAATACACCCAATTTTTTAACATTCCTGTTGATAGCATTTCACAGATGAGCATCATGTGTTTGATGTGGCCATAGTTCACCCCTACTACATTCATATTTTCAGATGTCATCAGATTTCATAATGAGATCTTTAGGCTGTGGACAGTGGACAGGTCAGACTCACCAGGGCATGGTCAAAGCTGAAGGTGCTGATATAATACGCCGAGATATCACTGTCAGCGAGAGGACGAGAAATCTGAGCCACAATTCCACATTCATCTGAAATATCACAAAATACATCAGTAAAACTAATGTACAATAGAGAAGAGTCTGCCATTACAGAGGATTTTTCTGTGTGTGTGTGTGTGTGTGTGTGTGTGTGTGTGTGTGTGTGTGTGTGTGTGTGTGTGTGTGTGTGTGTGTGTGTGTGTGTGTGTGTGTGTGTGTGTGTGTGTGTGTGTGTGTGTGTGTGTGTGTGTGTGTGTGTGTGTGTGTGTGTGTGTGTGTGTGTGTGTGTGTGTGCGTGTGCTGTTTGTCATTCAAAGTGCATGGTATTATTGCTGGCATGAAATTAGATTATTGTAAAAAATTAGAATATTATGCTTTGAATCAATAAACAAACAAACAAAAAAACATGCATCTCCTCACCAAATCCAAGTGGCTGCCCACCAATGCGCACCATCCTCCATAACTCTCCTGATGAACTGGTGAAGAGCAGATCTGCAGGGAACCTATAGGGAAACATTAGCATCAATATTTCTACATCATAGGTTTTAAAATGGTTGAGTTTTACTTAATATAACTTTACGTAATGTAATGAAATTTCCAAAATGATCAGAGACTGGTCCTTAGAAAAGTGTATGATTTCATATGAGGTTACGTACTGTCTCTGAGCCTCTGTGTCCATCACCAGAGAAATGTAACCATCGATGAGTGAGAATGAAAAGAACTTAATACAATCCAGGTCTTCATTAGACTGAGCATCTTCTTTAGGACTGAAAAAGACCAGACAAGAGTAGCGTAAAAATGTAATCAAGAACTACAATAAAAGTATGAAGTAATGGTCCAAGAAATTACTTAAGAGTAAGAAGTATGTAGGGGAAATTACTACTCAAGTAAGAGTAACTAAGATTAAATGTAGGGACATAAGTTAATGTAATTGGAAGTATAAACAATAAATAATGCACAAATTGTGGTATTATCAAAAGGGCTTCAGCAACAATGTCCAAATCAATTACCGATAGTGTTATCAACATAAAGCTTTTGTCATTTAATTGACTTAGTAAGATTTGCTTTCAGGGGGAAGAGTAACCGGCCGGGTTACTCAGGTAAGAATACTGTTAAACTGTCAAATATATTAGTCAAGTAGGAGTAAAATTATGGTGTCCAAAAACTACTCTGAAAAGAACACTTTATTCAAAACGTTACTCAAGTAAATGCAGTTGAATAAATGTTAAATTAGTTTAGTTTAGTTTATTTGTCACATACACAAACGCACATAACATGTGCATTTGTGTACATGTGTACATACATACATACATACATACATACATGTGTTGTGAAATTTGTATGTACCATCCAGCAACAGTAACTTAGTACTACCCACCTCTGCATGTAAATAACATTTTTGAGCACGTTCAATGCTGTATTAACAGTGTTTGTGCTGCCACCTTGTGTTGTAATCAGGTATGGCAGTAACAGCAGCAGTAGCGCTAACCTGCTGGAGTAGAAGAGGACGTCGATAAGTGTTGTGGCGATGGAAGGCAGAGTGTCTGGGTCCAGAGACATGACACAGAACTGGTTTTGAGGAATCAGCACAGGATGGACCGTGGGATGCAGGGCTGGACACAAAAAAATACACACTATTACTACCTCTACATTAGCACGAACATCTTTTCAAAGTCTGTTATAACAGATGTTATTCAAATGTCATCCACGCATTGGAAATTGTCACTCAATAGTTATGTTTAAATGCTCACCAAAAATCTGATCTGATTATCAGATTTCTGGAGTTCATATTGTTGAAATGCCATGTAAAAAGTTATGACTGATGACAGTAATATAATTTATGTAGGATTATTCATACCTATATGCATTTTGACAAGGGAAATTACAGGAAAAATGTATGTGCCAAAGACAAAATTCTTAAAGACTGAAATTATTATTTTAAAATTCATTGTACTTTGTCTTCCAAGTCGAACAGTTACAATGACTTTACATTGAACAATTATCACCCCTCTCTCTGGTCTTAAAATGTTCATATTAACTTGCTGTACATGAGCCTGGTGTTTTTATTTCACTATTTTGTCTGTAAATAAATTCCTATTCATAATATGGAACTTGGCTCCAAATTCGCTCCTATAACTGCTAGCTTTGTGAGCTTCATTTGACTGGAGCCGAAAGCTATGGGTGACGTCACACTCCCCCACTATAGCCCAATTCTTAAACAGCTTATGGTAAACACACAAAAGTCAGATTTGAACAATGGTTTATCTGATTATTCACATTGATCTGATTTTTATTGGCCATATAAACCCAATGTTAGAAAACAAAATGGGATTATATATACAACCCTTCCTGTACTGTACTCAGGCATGTTGACACAAAGCTAAAGATATGAGAGACAGGGCCACATATCTTTCTGCTTGTGCTAAACTTGGTGCTGTTGACGTAAAAACAACTTCCTGTAATTTACACTGAATGCAACTCAAAGGCTTCTTTATGTTCATACCTCTCCGACCTCACTGGCAGAGAGCATTGTTGTTGTTATATAAACGCACACACTTCAGCTGGAGGGCGTGCTGTCCAAATCAAAGGAGAGTACAAGCTTCACCAAACAACAGCTTCCTCCAATTAAAAGCTTTGTGAAGTCTATTGTGTTTTACAAGTCTGTGGCATGTAATCTTCCCACTACTTCTATGACTTGTGTTTTGTGATGGGAGCACAGAGAACAGACTAGCCAATTTATTTACTAAAATCAATTCAGAAAAACAATTAGCTTTTGAGCACGGCAACTCCTCCCCTTAGAGATGCATTTAAAATAGGCTCAGTTCTAGAGTTGCCTCAAAGGGAAGAAACATCCTCAAGCTTACTTGATTTACTGTAATTCTAAACATTTGTCTAATTTAAAAATGATGTTGTTTTTACAAGATTTATCTTACATTATATCTATTGGGTAAATATTGTCATGTTATTTTAAAAAGTAGATGATGGCTATATGACAGACCTCAGTATACAGCAAGTATAAAAGGCTGTAAAAATACAATTAGGGCTGATTAAAAAGACATGCCCAGTGTATTGTATAGAAATGTGAGATTAAAGTGTAAGGTTGCATCAAAAACTATACTCCATGTGATCAGGATTGCAGTGAGCACACTATTTGGGGTCATTTTAAAAAGATGACTGCATGATTAATTAAAATACCACCTGAAGGTGTGCCACAGACTTCTAAAATAGACACTCAGTCAGATGGGACAATAAGTCAATGAGTCTCTGGTACCTTCTTTGCCATTCTTGTGAAGGCCGTTGGAAACATCCTGACTTTGCACAGGCATGGACTCCCCAGCCACTTCTCTGTAGATGTTAAACTCCTCCTCCAGAGTATGGATCACCACAGACAGATCCTGTTCTCTCACCTTCACACAACAAAAGAGGAGAGCAAACTTTGTGAAAAAAGGTGTGGAGTAGTGATGCTACTTTGTCAGGCAAGGCCACGATCATAATGCTACAAGGTAAAAGTGCTTTTGTGTGAAACATGTGGGCTTTTATCCTGACAAGGATGCCCATTACAGTTTCTCTTTTTGCTAACACATAACACTTTTCAAAGTAATTTATAAATGCATGACACATAGTTCAATGGGTGCAATATGACAAAGACAATAGAAGGTGCATTCCGTTTTAAGTTGTTTTATCCAAGAGGTGGGATGTATTGAGAAGATAATATTGAAATGGCTGTTTCAAAAGGTAAACAAAGGGGATTAGGTGATTGTCTGGCCAGTCAAAACAGTATACTTTTCTAATACTCCATAAAAGACATGTAGTGCGCTGCTGATATCTCTGAAAGATCGTGACTGACAGGCAAATTAGCCAATCAAAGAAAGTCATGCTCTGTCTGTGTCAAAACAGGCTGCTTACAAGTGAAGGTTTTTTTGTTTTGCTTTGTTCTTTTTTAAATATAAAGAGAACATAAATACAGAAAATAACAGATTTCTACAGAATCATCTAAACTCGCTTAATCTTAAGTGAGGGAAGTTTGAGTTTGTTTTAAATGATTAAAGAGCTCTTCCATTGACTGTGTGCTATTGAAATAAAACATTGTGTCTAAATTTGGCTTCAGACAAGGAGGAGGGAGTAGTGGCAAGTAGGGATGGGCATGATTAATCGCTTAACCGATAATTAAGAATTTCATCGACAAACCGAATGTAGGTTGCTGTGCGTAGCGTGACCAAACAGGGGTCCGTACATGTAGCTCTGCACTCAGAAGGAGCGAGTAAACACAAACATTCGGTCAGTCTGCAGTGTACCGAGGCACAAATGCGTATTTAACGATGATTTGTACAAGAAATTCCACGCTTTCCGTTGCGTTCGGGACAAGTGTGAAGCCATGTGCACAGTGAACAAAGCAGCACATATGTTTCGGTGTCCAGTGGGAAAAAGCTTTACCAGGTGAGAGTCGCCCAATGTCGATGACGAGTCCCCATCTCCCTCCTCCCGTACGGTGTCCTGGTTTTGACAAACGCAAATCTGGTCACACTAACCTGTATTCCACTGAGTCATGTCTTTTAATCCGACAGAAGTTGACCGCATCAGCGACACAAGAGCTGTAGTTTTATCTTCGCTGAGTTTATGCAAATTAGCGATGCGGTTTTAAGTTTCGTTTCTGTGAGAGTTGCGCAAAACTGAATTAAACACACTATAATGTCAAACGGATTGATGTGGCTCTAGAGTCATTACAGTTTATATGTCGTAAAGTTGAATGTATTTTTGCAGATTAGTAGTGCAGATAGTAATAATAATGATGATCATTTTAATATAAAAACGTCAATGATTAATCGATAATCGATCGTTAATTCTTCCGACGATCGATTAAGAAAATTTCATCGAATGCCAATCCCTAGTGGCAAGACTGTAAATTTTATTCATGGGGTTCAGTGTGCTGTTAAAATTTTAAGTATTTTTTGACCATTCAAAAGTTAGCACTGTTGCCATAACACTTAATAATTAAAAATAAAATATTCTAACTTTTTCCATTGCTCATCCATGGGCGCAGGGGATTTCAGTCTGGCATTATCAGAATAATGGATCAGTTTGATATAGTGCTTTTCTGGACACTCAAAAATGCTTTACATAGAATTATTCATTCACTTCACACTTGGTGGTGGTAAGATACTATTTTAGCCACAGCTGCCATGGGGTAGACTGACTGAAGCAAGGCTGTCAATCTGTGCCATTGGCCCCTCTGACCACCACCATCACTCACGCACACACCACTGTCATACTAGGCACTGTAGGTGAAGAGCCTAGCCTAAAGACACAATGAAACTTTTTACAACTGGCGCCCCACTGTGGCAAATGATTTTCCCAGCGGTCTCACAGCTAACCACAAATAAGGTGATACACACACATAATTTTATGTTTAATTTTGCAGTTGATTTCTTATTATTTAGCTGTAACTTAAACCTAAACAAAGGCTTTTTCCAAATACATTTCTGACAGACTGAAAACATACTAACAGATATTGGGTGAATGATAAAATAGTTAGATGTCAAGTTTGTGTTTAAATAGGGACATTGACTAGACCTCACCAAGATGAAGTCAGTCTGGTAGGTGGACAACATGAATACGGAGACGTGCTGCTCGGCGAGTGGAGCGATGACGGACTTGGCTATTTTGGTAACTCCCACCGCTTGAGAGCTGCTGGAAGCGTTGCCGTTGGAGACCACATTGAGGGGCAGCCAGATCGAGCCTTCAACCTGCAGGTGTTCAGAGGGCTGCAGCTCTGTAAAGGAAAAGTGCATATGTCAAATAGTTAAATGTGCTGAGGAGACGACCAGAAGCAATTTCATGTTTTTAATGTGTCACAAACATCAACCTCCGGGAGCCATCTCAAGCTCTTGAGTTAGGCTTGGCCAGGGCTATTTTAGTTGGAGGATCTTATCTATCCTTCATGTTTTGTTTTGTTTTTTCTTTCTTTTTTGTTGTTGTATTTAACTGTTACCTTAGCACCAGTTAATGTAGATCCAACAGCACGTTATAAATTAAATTATCATCCTAGTTTCTAGAGTGTCGTTATTCCTATTTAAAATCAGTCTTAGCAAATGCAAAAAAAAACAACAAAACAAACACAATCACAAAAAAACAAAAACAAAACACAACAATTCATAGTCACAGCAATTTAAAATAAACAGTACAATATATGTCTGTTAAAATTAACAGGAGAATCCTTATTCACAAAATGAGAAAAAGTTTTCTATTTTTTTGAGAAAGAAATTTGAAATTATTGCAGGTAATTTCAACACTGAATGCGCCAGGTGAAACTAGTCATCACAATAATGAGACAGCTATGTGTCAGCAAAATGTCATTGTGTAATTGCACAGGGCTATTTTTGGATGTTTGCGGTTGGTAACATGGCCAGCCTTAACTTTATTATTCATTTCACGGAAAAGCCAATCAGACCATACTCTGTAATTGATTAAATATATCAATGTAAAAATAAATCAAGTTTGGTGTGTCACTAGCCATCAAATACTTGTTGCTTTATAGGCCATTATTTCATTAATATGCACATTTTTAGAGTGTACATGTGATTAGTCTGTAGCAAACAACAGACAGGACGGATTCACATTCATCAACAAATGAGCCACAGTGGAGTAGTCGGGGTGTATCATTTCTAACTGCAACTGTGACAAAAGTAGTGTCCATATTGTAATATTTAAACATAACTGGAGTTGTGGTTTGATTCATTCACACATGTTTAACACACACCCTGCATATTTAGGCTCAGTTCTTCTCTCAAACTTCTGTTACACCTTGCGATGTCATGTGGTAATACAGTGCTCAACAGTGTTTTTAAACACACCTTCACTAGAATCAACTGGATAATTCAGGCTTGGAATTGTCAATCTGTACTAAACTAAAAGTAGAAGGCAGTTGTTAATTTGGAAACTACCACTTCGTGACATCATAGGATGGAACAGAGCATTTTGAGTTTTGGTGATGCAGACAACCTAATAATAAAGGATTATTCAAATGTGTGAATGAAATAAAGCACAAATCTGGGTATGTTTTTAATGAGGTTACAACATTCTAGCATGGCTTAAATCTAAAAAGAATACATTTTATTTAATATAGGATGGACCTTTAATATAAGAAAGTTAAAACAGATATATATAAATTTAAACTTTAAATTTAAACTTCATTGCACAACTTTCTCAGCTCACACCATGTTTTTCACCTCCTGCTGCGGAGCTGCTTCTTTTCAAAGTATCTCTCAGTTCTAGTTTCCCAGGGGCTCAGCTGCAGCAGATTTTACCACTTTAAAAATGTCCGTCTCTGTTGGAAGGAGAACCAAAGACATGGAGCACCCAAAGGCCATAGAAGCCTTTTATAGACATCAGAGAGAAAGTTAAGGCTGAGGACGAAAGCTTTGGAAAACTACTTCAAATTCATTACCTTCTACAAGTGTTGTCGCAGTACTCAAATTTGGAGAAATACATGCCTGAAGAAGGGCTCTGACCCGAAATTCAAATGCAGTGTAATTACTGAAAATGCAAGCTCCAGTCTTAAATGTGTGTGTTTGTTATACTGTACATACAATACTAACATTTTAAGATCAATTTACAAAAAAGCCTAACAATGCAAAACTATAGCTTTTTAAAGGTCCTATATTAGACAAAACTGTCTCTTGTGAGCTGTAAGCCATGTTAGAATGTTTTTACTTCATCAAAAACATACGCAGAGTTGTGTTCCACCTTGTGATGTCATGTAGTGGTAGCTCATACATTAACAGATAGAGTTTACCTTTAGTTCAGTAGAGGCTGGTAATTCCACTTGCTGAAATTAGCCTAGTGAAGGTGTATAGTTTAAAAACACAGTGGGGCACTTCCTGTATGAGCACATAACATCACAAGATGGAACAAAATTTTTTGTTTGAGAGAAAAAAAAACTAACTCTAAGAACCTAAATATGGAGGATTTGTGTGTTAAACATGTATGAATAACACAAAACGCTACTCCAGGTATGTGATGAGAAAACAACATTATAGCATAGATCTTAAAATAGTGTAATATGGGCCCTTTAATATTGCCTTGTGGTCTTGTACTAGTTCTAATATTGATCAAGATCATTCTAAAACTATACAGGCTACTCCCAATGTTATCCCGTTTTGTGATTTTTTTTTCTTTTCTTCTTCAGTATCCATACTTAAAATACCGTACTTAAAATAGCAAATCCAGTACCAGTTATTAGTAGTATGTGAGTGTTCATTTTTTGACAAGCCTAAAACCTAGAACTAGCTCACTGCATTTCTGACTGTAATTACTTGAGTGATATTAAACTGGGTGGTGTCTAAGAATGCCCTGGATCAGAACTCACAAAGCTCAAACTTCCTTTATTTCTGAAACCATAACTAGAATGAATGCTCTCTTATAGCTTGGATTTACGTGGTGAAATGGGGTTACATTTCCTGTTCATTTTTGTCTATTTTTAAAAGGGAACATATCTCTGCATTGTGGAGCTTAAGCTGTGGTTAAGTGTATTATTCCACTGTATTGTACGTTTACTGTATGTCTGACACTGCTCCACACCAAAAAGTTCAATAAATCCTAACCTATGTAAATTGAGTGGATATGTATTGTGCTTGCCGGATACAATACAATAGTTTTACCTTTGAATCCCTCTTCATCAAGGACAACTGTGTAGTTCTCTGGGGTTTCCGTCAGGCTGAAAAACTTGCATCTGAAACAAAAGATACAGAGAGATACATGAGGTGGCAGGATAAGCTTTAAAAGACCTTGTAAGGAACAGACAATGATAACCAAAGTTGTTGTATGTGTTCAGGGTTCAGGGTCTCTGGATATAAGCACTCGACTGCTTACAGATGAGTTAATATGGTGATTTATGGCAAAAAAAAATTTAAAGAGCCCATATTACACTATATTCTGATCTATGTTATAATGCTGTTTCCTCATCAATAGCATACCTTTAGTTGTGTTTCGTTTAACTCACACATGCTTAACACAGAGCTCCACTGTGTTTTTAAACTCCATACACCTTCACTAGAATCACTTGGATGGGTTAAGCTTTGGAACTGCCAATCTCTACTGAACTAAAGATAAAAGGTAGCTGTTAATTTGAAAACAACCAGTTCATGACATCACAAGGTGGAACAGACCATTCGAATTTTGGAGATGTAGACTAATAATAAAGGGTAACTCAAACGTGTGAAACAAAACACAACCCCAGGTATGGCACGCATGGCGAAAAACTCACAAGAGTCAATTTTGTGTAATATGTGAACTTTAAATCGGGCCTGCTTCTTAACAGGCAAGTTTTTTTTCACATTTTCATGCTACTTAAGCCTAAAAATAAATCCAAGTTTAAACACATTTCTTTATGCTGTATGTCTGAATGTAGTCATTGGGGCATTCCAAAAAATAAGTACATCTTTCACCCACCTCTAGTTTGTTTTTTTTATATTAGCATTTTTGTTTGTTTCGGTGGGCAAAGAGTATGTACCAAACCAGTGGAAACAAGCCTTATGTAGCAATGGGCTAAACATTTACTGCCAGTGTTTCATGCTCCTTAAACACTATAGTCTGGCTAACTTTTAACATATAACCAACTCCGTGTCTACGAATATAATTAAGCAACAAAACAAGTCTGAACAGTTTGAAAAAGGACTAATCTTTAAAAGGTCCTATGCCAGTTATAATGTTGTTATTAAAAAAAAAAAAACATACCTGGAGTTGTGCTTTGTTTCAAGCACACATATTTGAGTAATCCTTTACTGTATTAATAATCTGTTTACACCTCCAAAGATCAAAATGCTCTGTTCCACCTTGTGATGTCATGTAGTGGTGGTGTTCAAGTTAACAGCTATGTTTTACCATTTGTTCAGTAGAGATGGCAGGACTGAATTCTCCATATGATTCTACTGAAGCTGTATGGAGTTTAAAAACACAGTGGAGCACTTCCTGTATTGCGACACGACATCATAAGGTGAAACAGAATGTTTTCTGTTTGAGAGAAGAACTCAGCCTAAATATGCAGGGTTTGTGTGTTAAATATGTGTAAATGACGAAACAACTCCAGGTATATTTGTGATGAGGAAAAAACATGACAGATCAGAAAGTAGCGCAATATGGGCCCTTTAAACTCCTACATAGTCTGATACTGTTCTGTCTGAAAAATTGTTTGGGGCTTCCTCTGGGTTTGAGTTGGGCCTTGGTTTTTAATAGGTCGCTCTGGTGAATGCTGCCTTTGTAACAGGCTGAATAAAGAGTTAGTCAAAGACCTATTTGGCAAAGAACAACAACAGATTTGAATAGTTACACAAATAATAATAACTTGGCTTTGCTTTATAGTAAATTACATTAAATCTTTATCAACGTGAAAACTGACTCCAGTGTCATTACATGATAATGTCTTGTATTGCCATGTTATTCAATGTTGAAGGATGTACTAATGTTCATCTCTCTGCTAATGAATGCTCAATCATTTGTGGTACAGTGCAAACTAATATAAAGCTTTTGTCAAATATTTTAACGGTTTAATATGCACATGTTGAGTTTGGTTCACACCAGCCTTTTGAGATGACTGTTCCTCTTCCTGAACTTGACGTCCTCCTAAGTGAGCACAAACAGCTGACTCAACAGCCCATCAACACAGACAGAGGCTCTGTGGCAGTGCCAGCTGTGCACGCTGAGCCAGCTCCATTGTGTTAGCCCACTGCTCTCTCCCATTGATCCTGGGAAGGAGTTTTCCTGGAAGCACTGAACTCAAAGTTCCATCCTGTGAGAGTGGTCTGGAGTAAGAGTCTTCTCTATTTTGGATTCCAGTCTCGCTACTAAATTAAATGCAAGAAACGAAAGAAAGCAACTTGTGGACACCATGCCATATACATCGATGAGTTAATGATTGAATTCCTCTGCATTTCGAGGAATGCAGACTTGGATGTTAAAAGACAGAATTAAAAGACTCAAGGAGATTTGTGGATGTGCTAAAATTGAAATAATGGTGGATGGAGCCAAATTACTTTTCAGCTGCTTGTTAATGATACTCCTAACGAATCAAAACCTCTTGCAAATTCCATGCTGGCAAATTCACAAACTAAGAATTTACTTCGGCAAAATGGGGCCAGACAGTCAATTTTGCTGCTTATTCTTTGTGATCCTTTAGGTCTTAAACAGGTCAGAGGGGGTCTATATAACATAACATAAGCGTAGGGGGGTAGGAGTGCAAGAGATGCTACAGCTGAGGAAACACAATAAGAGCACAACAAACCCATGTTTTCACAAGTGTTAAACCTCAACAGACGTCAAGAGGACCATCTCTAGAGGACAACCAAACTGCGTGTACCAAAAACAACTTCTCCTTCATTGTCAGAACAAAAGAACTTCACAACAATAGTTTTTCCTTAACATGTTTGCCCTCTATCAGAGAAGGGAAGAGAGGATGACCCTGGGTGAACTGTGCACACGGAGCTGCAGCCTTGACAGATCACTGGAGCAGACAAGTGGAACGCTCCCGCTGTGAATCTGCCTCAGCCAAGGCTTTGTTCGGCTGTGGGACTCGTTAGTGAGTATAGGGATGTTACAATTACAATATGTAAAAATGTATTTCTTGTGAGGAAAAACATTGCATTATAATGATTAATCAAGATTATATAAACCATAACCACCATTACTCTATGTGACCAGCATTATGAAAATAAAGTTAAACTTTGACAGCCAGATAAAGCACGAGTACACCATTTTTGAAGGACAGATTGAATAGAAGGGAAGTTCTTGCTTCCAGCATACTCAGTTAAAATTATATTGTAACCTGAATAATCATGATTAGGGCTGAATGAATAATTGCAATCGAAAACACAATTTCAAAGCTTTTGAATGCTGCAGTTTTTGAAGTACAATAATTTCTTGCTTTATTCTGCATAAAACTGCTAACCTTGTAGTGCAGATCTGTGTGAAATGTGTTTTCCATTAGTTTGTTTGTCTTTGTCAATTCTTCTGGACGTGTTTAAAATGTGAACTTCGAAAATAATTATCAAATAATTATGTTATTCTAACAAATTGCAAATCTGATGGGAATCACAATGCTTGTCTGAAAAATCACAATTGTGAGCTGCAGATGGAAAAGAATTTGGACTGCCTACAAGACCATACCCCCCAGTGTAAAAGCGCCTATCAACTTTCATATGAACAGTCTTATAATATTTGTGCTGCCTATGCCAAGGGATAGAAATGGTTTCTATTTTCAAACTCAGACTGGGATTGCAGCCTGAATGCTGTGCAGGCATTTAAACAGCAGGGGCCTGGGAGAGGGACAACTTAAGTAACCAGCCGTGTTGTTTTGCAGTTTGTTTTCAGAGCAGTGAATTTGGTTCGCTTCAGCCACTCCCCATTGTACTCAGCCTACAGCTCGACGAGAGAAAATAAGCAACATAAAAAGAAACAGGAAACACAGCTACCGCACACAGCAGGACAACAGCAGAATTCAAATGGACAACATAACATAAAATACAGGCCAATGTGAACAAAAGTGGTTAAAGATGCATTATGTAACTTTTTGGTTAGGGATCCTGCATTCCTTTGCCTGCAATGTTCCACAGTATTACATTAATATATATAAAATAGTATTTGATGGATCCTCCACCAGGAGAGTAACACAATGCACCTTTGCCTGAATTGTTTTAGTTGTTTATAATAGATCAGAATGCAAATTGAATCTTAATCTTGTCAAGAATTGCCAAACTACAGATTCATTTCAAAATAATACAGGAAACCAAGAAAATTTCTTGGTGAACTGCAATGACACAGTTACTTAGCACATGAGGTCAGGTGCTACCAAGTTATGTGTCAAAGCTTGTTAAATAATTCTGTTGAGTTGACATGTTTGATTTAACACACACAAAGCAATAGGCAATATGGTAAACAGGTCTTGAGGCCTTTAATCATTTTGTTAACTAACAGTTAGGCGGTGTCTTAACTAACCAACATTTTAAATCAGTTTAATTTTATATAAAGCCATTATATAGACAACTGCAGTCAGGAAAAAGCAGGATGAGTTACACAGAGCGGTGACTTAGCTACTTTTAAATACAATGCGTGAACTTGTGTGCTTTATGGTCTAGTGAGCACACAGATACTTAATAGTGTAGACTAATAAATTGACTAATATATGTATACAGAGCATGTACTCAGTCAACTGAGAAATTATTTAGTCTACTTGAAGCTTTAGAAAACTAGTTAATATTATAAACAATTAATCAATTTCACACCAATCACATGCATATTTCTGATTTAGTCACACATTTTTGGACCTTGTCAAATTGGCTCAAATCATGTAGACATTTTCTAATTCTGATCTGGTTTTCTATAAAACTGTAACTTCACTGCCAATCGAAATCAAATTAAAATTCCAATTTGAATTTGGGTTTTTACCAAATCTCAAAATGCTGCAATTTTTGAAGTACCATAATTATTTCTACAAAAAACTAATTATCAATCAAATATTTTGCATATATGCATAACCTTGTAGTTTAAAGATGTACAAACGTGATTTTTGTATTAATTTGTAAGTTATTTTTTCTGTCTTTGTCCATTTTTCTGGACATGTTTAAAATGTGAACTTTAAATCCTAAATTGCAAATCTAATCACAGTGCTTATCATTTTCCCAAATTGTTTATCGGGTGTTTACTTGTTTCAACATGCACCACAGTAAATGTGGGGCATGTTCTTGTAGGCCTATAATCATCTCTAGATTAAGTTTTCGCACAAGTTTGCTTCAAAATATGTATTCACTTCATACCCCTTTATGCCCCATTGAGTAGCAAACACCTGTATTATGATGCCATGGCAAGGTTGAATGGCACATTACCGTTGGAGCCTTTCTATTGAGCCTATAATTTATGATACAGTGCTCCTATTTGCATACAACAGCTGCTCTCCTATGAATGAACCAACTCCATTCATTTATCCTGCAGAAGAGGCGAGGGCTAGGCAGATGTCCAGTCAGTCCCCATGTCATCTATGAGGGGGGAGTCAGTCCAAGCAATACACAATTACATAACAAAGGCTGCACATATCAGGGATTAGGAGAAACACTAAAGCCAGCATGAGATGTGGAATGAGATGATCTTGCAGAATGACTGTGGCAATGTAACGCTATTGTGCTTACTTTTGTGATTGCTATCTATTTTTGCAATCGATTTTTAGCAATTTAGAGGTGATGAGCAGATCTGAGTAGAAAATTCCTGTTACAGTTCAATGCTCAATGCAGTTTTAGCAATAAAGGAATCATTAAGGGCATGTGCAGACAAACACCTCAACGAGAAGTCTGATAGTGCCTGTAGCTTTCCTTCAAGCCTACGTGACTCAAATCTATCATGCTGCAATGACTGAGTAATCTTACCTCGTCCTGTTCCGCAGAAATATGAGTTTTATCAAGGGGTGCGTGAAGTGTACCAATCCATTCTTGGAAATGTTGGTCACCCGTAGTCTGTGGTCCAAAATGTGCAAGTCCATGTTCCAGTAGCAGCAGCAGCAGCGGGCAGCGCGGGGTCCTGGACGTGAGCATGCAGCGCAATAGCCTTTCCTAACCGAGTGATACCTTTTAATATGTAAACATAGGTCAAAATCAGCCTATCCAAGTCAGACCATCCGTTAGCGTCACTGTAATGCTAGCACAAAACGAAAAAACATCCGACGCCCCTTTCAACTACTGTATATTCAAATAGGAGGCAGGCCAAAGACACGCCTTCTCCTCTTAAAGCAACACGCCCTGCACGTGGACGATCCGCTCACAACCTGTTCCGGTCAAATACTTCAAAATAAACTCCATTGATAGCGAATGAGCTTTTATTTTGGAAGGTTTAACACAGCTTGTTTACAAATACTGTGAAATGTTGTGATTGAGGTGATTATTTTGAATCACTGCGTATGAAATCTATTTATATTAATTAACACAAAAAAGATTGCAGTAGCAAGTCTGACTTCTGCAGAAGATTAGATTGTAAGTGTTACATGAATAGTAAGAAGCTGTTATTTCCCAACCACAACAATAAACATTTAAGGTGCACTGTGTTCTTCATGGAATGTTCCACAGTATGGCATTAAACATGTCCATCTTCAAGCAGACAAACAGGTGACAGATATGTGGAGATGGAAAAGTGACCCCCCTTACAGTAGGCATACATGTTTTCCAAAGTATATATTAGGTTGCAAATTGAATAGATGGAATAAAGATACCTTTGGAACAAACATTCTATACAAAACAATCACAATTCAAGGAGACAAACAGGTGGATAACCTTCCACAAAAAATAAAATAAGAAGGTGCATGTTTAACTTCATGGCATGAACATCCATTTGCTCACAGTTTTTGACCTATGTTAGTTGTGCACTGTGGATTTGCAAAAAGGTTTTAATCAAACAGCATAGAATCACATTTTCTCTACTTTCACTTTGAAATTCACAATAAAAATCTAGTTCAAAAGTTACTTGATTTAAAAATGACCTTAAGTTTTCTTTGTTGCTCTCTTATGAGTTATTCAGAAAATAGGTTGAACATTTGCAAACAGCGATGGGTTGTTTTGCAGACGCTGTTTTATTGCAAAGGTGAATACTTGGTGGGGATCATTATTCTAGACTCCATGCTTCTGATCAAAGGTACTGTTGGAAAAGAGAAGGTAAAAGGTATTTACAACAATTATAAATTATTGATTTTTGTATTCTACCAAACGGTAGACAGATTAGAACAAGCTTATTATTTATAAGAAATATCCAAAGATAAAATACATAAATGCTGAATCTGATAATTGACATTAGTGTCAGTGTTTCATGGGATTTTATTACAAAACTCATTGGTATCTGTATCATATCATCAATACTGCAATACCGTTATTGCCCATGTACTCAAACACAGTCATTTGAGATGCACATACTACCTCAACATATACTGTATATTACTCACCAGTGTAATAGACAGTTGCATCCCATCCTTCTTTTTGCCAGGCTGAATTCCTAGTCTCTTCTCGTGACTGTAAATTTTCATAGGCTGAAACAAACCCATGTTTATATGAATGCTGTGATTTGAGTGGTGCTTGTGACGTCATGTACCCAAAATGTACTTACCCCACAAATGATGAACTACATAAAGGTCACCAATCTGAGAGAAGAACCCTCCCACTGCTTCGTTGTTCTCCTGTCTGTGTTTGATGGCCCTTGCCCTGTTGGTGGAATATATCTGTATCATAGTGAAATTTTGAGTACAATTGTTGTTACAAATGTTTGTATCACATACTGTGGCCACTTCTTACCAGTGGTTGCCCCATTCAAGCATGGTCCCTGGCTGAAAGAGAGGTTAAGAATCAGTACTGACTTTTTTTTAATTTTTTTTTATTATTATTATTGTAATGCCAATAAATGTGGATGTGTTTGTACATTTAAAAATAGCGGTTAATTTAAAAGCTGTTGACAGACACAGGATGTAGTGTTATGTATTCTAAATTGTGGTGGTCAGTAATGACAAAAATGTCTTGAGATATATTTATATATATATATTTTGTATCCCAATGACACTCTATAATCCAACAGAATTGTGCTTTGTTGAGATGTGATATTTGAATAGAAACCCAATTTTACAGTTGTTGCTTTTCTTCATGCATGTAGATGCATTTTAAAACAATAAACTCTAAAATGATCATCTGTTATGCAAGAAAGACTCTGGTTAACTAATATAAATGAGTTAACCAGAGACGTTTTACTGTTCAAAGGTTCAGGATTAGTGTATAAAAAATTTGCTAATACCTTTAAGTTATATGTTCTCATTTCATAGACATTGGGACCAGGTCTCGGCAGAGGTTCATTCCAGAAGCTGAATTCCAATAAAAGCTGATTCCGTCTTGAGATCAGCATCTTTGCCCGTTCCTTCCGAAAATCCAAGTACTCCTAAAGAGAGAAGTGAAATATATACAACATAACGACTACTATTAAGCTTCATAAATAATTGCACAATGTGGTCTTACCTTGTTCTTCTTCAACTTTTCAAGGCATTCAGTCAAAGCTGGATACCCCCCTCTATATCGCCAAAGGTGCACTGCACAAAGAGAACACCAGATGTCACTGTTGAATTGTAGGAGAATGGGACCAACGCGTTGCTACCTTATTTGTGTCAAGCCTTTGTGGTTTGTGATTTGTTTTTACCCACATTTTTTCAGATTTTTGGACTGACACTTACATTAAAATAATTGATTTTTATAACTTATTAACCTATTAACATCAATGTTTTCATGGGGGCTAGATGCTTACCGGCTTGATCCTGTTCTCCATACCAAGTATTCCAACTCCCCACCACCTCACATGGATAATCTTCATCATTGTGGAGTTTACTCTGCACCTCAGCCCTATGGGAAAAAACAAAAAAACAACAACGACATTATCTTATTTACATTATTTACATTTAAAGGTGAACTTTTCTGATGGAGGGCATGCCACCTGTTTTTTTTACTTTGCCTGGAATGTGTATTGTATTAAACCAGTGACAACTCCAGACCAGAGCCAAAGGTCAGATCTATGGAGCCCATTCACAATACTAAATTCATGCTTTGCAAGTTATTCTTCTAATAATAAAAACCCCTGTTATTTTAATGCTGTATAATGGAACATTCCAAACATGGCATTATATCTCCATGGAGACAACCACGTGGCTAACTCCCATCAGAAAGGTTACATAATGTGTCTTTAACAGTAAACAAATGTTTTGCTTGCACTTCATTATGTAAAAACAACTTAAGTAAACACATTTTCTGCAGCATATGATTTATTTTCTTTTTCTCAATTTAACGCTCAGTTGAACAGGATTTTGCAAGACAGGCATAACAGTTGGCGGAAGTCTTTCTCAGTAAAGGACAAAAATAAGAAGAACTGATTTTTTTTTCCATTAGGAGCACTGTAAGTCAGTTCTAATAGAAAATGTGAATGGAAGTATTACTAATTTGTGAAAAGGAAGTGACTGAACATTAGAAGGGAGCACTTACTCAAGACTGTTGTAAGCTTCCAGGCACTCGGGTTTCACGTTATGAACTAAAAAGAACAGGCAAAGTAAGAAACAGTCAAATTCTTCCACAAAGTAATTTCACACTGGGGTTCAACAAAGGCTTGTAAACGATTTTTGCTTCATGGCTCATAGGCTGTGTTCAAATTGAAATCTCTACATGACGTGGAAGTTCGCCGGAGAGAAGATCAAAGCTGAGGAGAGGGACAGTCGGCAAGACAACGGAATCTACAGACACTCAAAGAAAACTCCAAAAGTGAAATGTTCTGAGTTAGGCAAAAAAGGTTTATCAACTGGATAGATCATACAAGACTTATAAAGTATGACCATTTACAGATTTAAAGGTGCTCTACATTTTGGTTGGGGGTCCGTCGGTGAATTATAGGTGGTGTTATAGCTCAATACTACCTAGAAAAACAGGGATTCTTGCTGTGAGTGGGGTTGCCTCTCCACAGATCTGACCAATTACTCAGTCTGGTTTGGTCTCCATGAAGAGAGAAAGGTTTAATGCCATACTGTGAAACATCCCAGACACAGCAATAACATCTCCATGGAAAAAAGCATTTTATACAGCCTCCACCAGAAAAGTTACACAATGCACCCTTAAACTTTAGCTGGCAGTGCAATGTAGTAGTGTAAGCAAGTAGAGATATTGGTATAAGTCTGATTAAAGAAGAATTATAGAATGTTTGATTAGTATGAATATTCTGCTCTAAGCTGCGTCAGTGTCTGTGCGCTCATGCGTCATTCCCAGTTTGTCCTCAATGCATAAGATGTATCTTAAACTTTCAGACTAGGCACTTAAAATTAAATCAGAAGAGCAGTGAAGATAAAAAATGTGGCTGTGTGTACATCATCATCAAAAAAGTATAACCGATGATTATAAACATGAAAGTTAGTTTGTGAATTTTACTGGACCCATTTTGATCCATTTCCAGATGAAATACACAGTGAAACAGCAAGAAAAACAATATTAAGATAATTTAGGTTAAAATAATACTAATAATTTCACTGACCATGTGGAGCAATCATTTAGGCATTACTGTAGATATCAAAAACTTTATCAAACTAAATATACCACAACATGACCATATGATATCATCTGGAGTTGCATACTAATAAACGTCATGGAAAAATACTTTTTAATTAGAAAGCCATTTTTTTGATTAGATAAAAATGTGGCTGTGTGTACATAGTCATGAAAAAAGCATAACCGATGATTACAAACGTGAAAGTTAGTTTGTGAACTTTACTGGACCTATTTTGACCCATTCCAGATCTTGAGCTTGGTCAGAAGTAACATAGTTGGAGGATTTTACCTGTACAAGTTTTTGCATTGAAAAATCTTGATAATGTTATCTGCAAATATCAGCGAAAGCCACAAAAGCAAAATAAATATTGGATATCAGTATAGAGCCATATCTGACTATTCCCTTAAGAAGCATAAAAAGTATTAGCTGTAACTAAATTGAATTTTTTGACAGTATTATGAAGCTGCCATCACCTTTTTTAATATGTTAAAGTAAGGTACATACATTGGATTTTGTAGAGGTTGCTGGTTTCCCTCTTTGACAGCAGGTTGGAGTGGGCATCTTTTCTGGCATCCACTTTGTGAACAAAAAGGGAACGGAACCAGCCTTTGTCGCCATTCTCAGAAAACCACCTACACAGCAACAAGAAGAAAGAACTTTTACAACAGCTCAAAGCAGATGACTTAAACCACAGCAAGTTGTCAATACATCAAAAGCCTCAAACTTAAAGCGCCAAGATTACAGTATTTTTAAATGTATGATATAATGTTGTTTCATCATCATAAACATACCTGGAGTTGTGTTTTGTTACATTCACACATTACAACACAAACGCTGCATATCTTTTGCCAATCTAAAAGCATTCTATTCCACATTGTGATGTAATGTGGTAATACAGGACATGCTCCACTGTGTTTTTAAACTTCACTAGATTCATTTGGATCATTTCAGCCCTGGAATTGTCAATCTCTACTGAACAAAAGGTAAAAGGAGCTGTTAACTTGAAAACTATAATTACTTTACATCACATCATCATCATCACATCAGGTGGAACAGAGCATTTTTCAAATGTGTGAGTGAAACAAAACACAAATCTGAGTATGTTTTTGATGAGGTAACAGCATTCCAACTTGGCTTAAAGCTCACAAGAGTCAATTTGTGTAATATAGGAGCTTTAAAAGTTGTTCACATATGAAGTATATGGCTGAGAGAGGTAGTCATGCTAAAATGCAGGAAGATGAAATGCCTGTATACTGCATGAATGAGTGGGAGACCAGAGTGCCAGCTTGTGACTCCATAAGACTTTCACCCACTCCAGAGCTGATAAAAAGGGGAACATTGCGCACTTTAAGAAATAATGTTAGCATGTCTGTAACCCTGGCTTCAAATCAGTCGCCGAACATAACTGTCAACCCAAGACAGATATGAGATAAGTGGGACTACAACTGCTCCAACAGCGCTCCAACAAAATTAAAAAGATAAGAGCAACTACTCAACCAAGGAATAAGTCAATAGTGGCTTCCAACTCAGCACTTCATAATAAAGGTTTAATCTATCTGAGTTTCCCATTGAACTCTGCTGAGACCTTGGTGTCGCAGTGGCTTCTTATTTCAACCACTTGTCTTAATACAAGAGCCATTTTTTAAACAGTTCTTTTTAAAATTATAGGTATTTATTTTAAAAAAAGACAAAAATACAGTTGCCTTTTTGCAACTACAATAGGTGTTGGTGATTTCGTCCATCTAAATTAGTAATACTACTCTTGGGCCGTTATCTCACTAAGCAATGTTGATTAATTTAAAAATATATAAATAAGTGAAATTACTTCTTTTGTACATTGAGACTTTGTAAAGACATTATGAACCAAATAAAGGTTCAAATATAGTGAAGTCAAATTTATTTATATAGCTCATTTAAAAATAACCATAGTTGAACAAAGTGCTTAATGTACAACAGTAAACCCGCATACACAGTACAACAGCAAGAAAAACAAGATTAAGATCATTTATCTTAAAATAATAATTTCATTGACTATAATGACGCTTAGACTGCAGTGACTGAAGGCTTCTTCATATTTACACCTAGACTATTATTCATGAATATATACAATTTATATATATATATATATATATATATATATATATATATATATATATATATATATATATATATATATATATATATATATATATATATATATATATATATATATATATATATATATAAAAACGTTATCAAACTAAATATACCACAGCATGACAATGTGATGTCATTTGGAGTTGCGTACTAATACACGTTATGGAAAAATACTTTTAATTAGAAGGCCATTTTTTATTAGATTTTCTTAATATTTCTCATCATCAGAGGTGTGAACCCAGTGACACACACACACACACACACACACACACACACACACACACATCTGCTATCTAGTTATTAGTAAAGCACATTATTTTCTTTAAAACTTTCAAGGTCATTGGCATCTCTTTTTAATAACGTCATGTGCCAATAGCTTTATTTGGAAAGTGCTAATTAGATTTTTTTTTTTTTTTACCCCAGGGAAAAAGATCCCCTTGAGTCTTATGAAGCTGTTATTATTGGCCAAAACCTATTCTGATAACAGCCAAAGAGTGTACAATGTGGAGGCAAAGATAAGTAGTGACTGGCTTACAACAGTGGGTTGCAGTGGACAAAGTTCAGAGCTCAGCAAATGATTAAAGCTGCTTTCTTTTTAGAGCTTACTTCCACATAGGAGTAAACTCACATGATGCCAAAGAATGTATTCATGGTTGGCCTAAAATAATGCAAACTCAGGAAAAATAAGAACTCTGAAAGCTGATATTAGTTTTCAACAAACTAGTTCTGAGTACAAATATAAAATGCAATTTTAATGGTGCACTATGTATTACTACACTATGAGTATTAACTTGGTAGAGGATTTATGCCTGCTTGTCTCCACGGTGTTAATATTCTAGTGGACTTCATTTCTTTAACAAATCTGGCATTTGTTTTGGTAAAATTACTTTCTCAAAAATACATTGAAAAACATGCAATCTACTGTGAGCGGGCTCCCCTCTCCATGCATCTTGTTTAATGCCATACAAGAAATGTATGAGACAGACTGTCCATCTTTAGAAAAGTTACATAGTGCACCTTTAAGTTGGACAACACAGACGTAAAGTCCAGTTTAACTACCCAGGACAAGGAACAATTAAATTTTATAATCTATGCATTTGCTTAGATTCGTGTGATCTCCAAGAAAATAACCTATATTTGTTATTGCTTACAATTCTAAAAGCTAATGCTATTTTAGATAAGAAACTAATTGCATACTTCCGGGTACAATAAAGTTGGACAACGATATTTTTAAGTTGGAAACTACCCCAGGTTAAGCTACCCAAGACTCGGACAAACGGTAAAGTCGTAGATTTTGCATGTGACAGCTAAATAATAAGCTAAGAGAGGCATTAACCTGCATTTACCCTGCGCAGAGCATTCAAGTGTGATGGACATTAATTACCGTGTCGCTTGGTGCCAGTTGACAAAAGTCCTTAACAGTTGCCGTCGAGACCACGCAGGACACGTCGTCGCCATCTTTCCTAGTGGGCTACAATTTTTCGTCACCTTTACACGCGTTTGAGTTAATGTTTACCTGCTTATCAGTAATATTTTGACGGCTAATCCAGTCACGAAGAAGGAGAACCCGCTAGGAGATTTAAACACAAAACACGTGACATGGGTGCTGTTCCTGACGCACGTTACGCAAGGTCTTTACGTATCGTAGACCGTCTATGGTACGTAGTGATTTTTTGGTAAAGTCGTGTGACCGACTGTTCCTCTTTTGGTTGTCCTGAGTTTGAAAAGTAATTTAGGCTAGTTTCCCAGGTTCCACTTATTGTAGAATGTTTATAGAATGAATTATCTATTATTTTCTAATTTCCTTTCTAACTCAGAGGCTGCACTAGCACTGATTAATGATGACTACAGGTGCCATTGTTTAATAGGTTTTATAGATTCAGATAAAAAGATTAATTTTAAGATTTCAACATTGAAACTGGCACCCCAAATTTTGCTTTCTGATAGGATAATTGATTTGAGAACTGAAACATTAAAATATAACAAAACTAAATGGGAAATCATGCCCAAAGTTTTTTTTTTTTGTGTGATTAAGAACCAATCAGCATTAGAATTGTTATATGTATATAGTGTTAATAGCTATAATAGGTGTTCCTCGTATCGACACAGATACGTCAAGTTTATGAAATTTCACAATCGTGCATCCAGTTTCTTTAAATGTAATCTAAACTAAAAATATATTCTGTTTGGTTGTAAACATTGAACTTAACTGATAGGCTACTAACTGTTCTTTAGAGGTCTTCTCTATCACACTGGTCATGCAGTACTTAAATCCTTTTTGTGCAACCCACTTTCAGTTCTTTTCATACACAATGTGGTGCTCTTTGATCCTCTCCATCACTCTACCCACTGCCATTATGTAACCGCAAATCATATCATAACTAAAAAGACTCACTCAATGTTTTGCTTAGCTTAAAAGCATGCTGTATTATTCTCCAGTATTCTATTCATAATGTTGACAAGCAAGTGACTACTCAGCATTCAATAGCATCATTTGGCATATTTCATTTTGAGTCACATCCTACAGCTTCTTTGGCAATCAAGAAGTTGTATCACTTTTAACACTTTTACAAAATGTACCAAATTTGCTACCATGTTTTACTACAAGAGTTGGAAATGTATGTTGCATTGACTTGAACAAATCCTCAAAATCCTGGTTAACAAAAATGTCCTGAGAAGAGACAGAAAAGGAAGTTAACAAGTTGTATGTTTTAAATATAGTTGTACAGCTTGTCTAGCCTGAGTTAGTATTAAATAATTTACCGTAAGGTCCAACAGCTCCATAGCTGAATCTTTGTTGTCGTGAATTGACTTGAGGAGCCCATAGCAGCCAGCATTCTGGATAGGGTTCCTTCCCACCTGACAAATGAAACACCAAATTACATTAGAGCTAATCAACTTAAGGAGCCTATTTTAGAATATATGACCCTTTTGAAAACTGAAGGTATGGGCATAATAATACGAGGTTTTTGTCTGTGTTGTTTCTTGACTTGGCATCCATGAATTTTTCATCTAACTGCGTACACGAAATGTATTAGTGGTAAGAAGGTTTTTATCTTGTTTTTAGTTTGTGAGGGAAAAAATATAGGTCTCCTCTCTCCTCCTCTGTTTAAAAGAAGTTAACAAGAATGATCTAATATTACTGATATTGTTTCAGTGCCTTAGTTTCAATATTATAATTTATCACACTATATCTCTGTAACAATATACATTTGTTATTGTGACAAGCCTAGGTATAATGCATGGTTGTTTAAAATTACATTTAAGCTCAAATGTTCAACTGTACAATGCATCTGTAAAGAGTTTTAATTATAAAGTTGTGCAGCCATCATTCCCTGATGCCATATTTATTGTAGATTTACAAAATGGATTAAAATGTGTCTTGCTCAAGTTAATTTATGGTAACGTGTGTAAAATAAAATAAAGTTTGTTTTTTTTTGTTTAGTTTTTTCCAAAACAGATCACAGTTAGATGCACAGTAGATATCCTGCATGCACATTTAAACAGCAATGCCCCAATCCAGTTAACAGAAAACCAATACCGATTCACCAATACTGAGTCTGTGATTTAATATCTCTTGTCTTGACAGTTTTGATGGAAGACGAGCCTTTAAAAGAACACTGCTGTTGATTTTAAAAGAATACAATGATACATTTTTTTTATCTCATTTTTCCTGCTGATGCTCCCTATTGCTTGTGTTGCCAGAACCAATCTCTTTTGAGCAGCTTACGTTCAGGGATTTGATCGTCTTGTTTGCTCTGAGGCCCATGGCGAAGCGGATGACTCCTTCAGGGGGGATGCGGTTGTTACTGTGGCAAAGAAAAAACAATAAATACAACTAAAAAAGGGCACTGAGGTGTGATGGAAGTAATCATAAAGTGTTATATTGTAAAATATCTGTCTGTAGTATATTGACAATCCACAGACAAGGCTTGTTTTTGGAAGAGATCAAGCTGTAATATATTTATAGTAAATTACATTAGCATAAAAAAATTATAGTCCTATAATAACAAATTAATTATAAGGTACACTTTATTATTCCCATGGGTAAATTTGTCCTCTGCCTTTGATCCACCTTTAAATACAGCTTGAGCAACCTGTCAGGAGCAGTGGGGGGACTCAAGTCCAGATGTTGAGCTAGTCTGGGTCAGGACAAGGGCACGTTATTTATTGTGCATGTTTTGGGTTGAGAGGTGAAACCAGAGTGCCAACAATAAAATAAAAAAGGCCCTACAGCATCTTAAATATGGCAACTTAGCCTGATCGGCCCCATGATATTGGTTCAGCTAATGGTTCCTGTGTGGGCCTTTAATTGGATGTAATTAAAGGCCCACAAGATGGCTTAGAATATTACATAATGGTTGAACTTTAAGCTGTTCAGTAGTTGCTTGCAAGATAAATATCACAGTTGGATAAATTTTGGAATAAGTTATCAGAGTTTTTTGAGGAAAAAAATCCCAGTCCTTACACTGGTATACTGGGTTTCGACAGATACTTAAAGCCAAAATATTGTTATTGGTATCGGAACTGAAAATGTTTGATCTGTGCAGCCCTAATAATCTATGTATGGAAATAACTTAATTAACTCGAATAACTCAATTTAAGTACCGTCCTTTTATGTGCTCATTCTCAAATCTAACCATACCTGATGTTGAGCTCCTCTAAAACATTGTTCTCCTTAAGTGCTTGCCCCAATGCCACCGCTCCTTCTTTCCCAAAGCCATTGAAGGACAGGTCCACTGATCTGAGGAAAATATTGCCCTGGAACACCCAGTTAAATCAGATTTAGTTGACCATGCTCAGCCACCTTGACAAAGCAGTAACAAATTATGTGAGGAAAAAAGTAACTCAAAAGGTTAAAGAGAAAGAGCAGAGGAGCGATTATCCCGTGAAAGTACTGAATTTTGACAAGAAAAATGGCTACTGTATTATCTGTCATTTTGTAGGTGCAATTAGAGCAAGGGCATTACATGAAATTATAAGTTAGAGGACCTGCCAAGCCAAGAGCACTTTTGCATCAGTTTTGCAAAGAAAATAGTTTATATTTTGTGAAAAACTAATGCTCAATAATGCTGTGTAAGATTTAGAATTATCAGTAAGAGTTAGACTGCTGAAATGCCTGCTTTTAATGTATGTCTTATTTTTGTAGATGGAAATATGTTGTGCATAATTTGGCAAAATCTTACTGCTAAACCATTGGCTAACATCACAGCTCCTTTGCCTCGGATGCAGTTCCAGGCCAGATTCAGACTTCTCAGTCCTGTGTTCTCAGACAGTCCTTCTCGCAGATGATGTCCTGAAACAAACAAAAAAAGGATTAACCTAGAACAACCCAAAGCATTTACTCATCAGTCTCACTCACTGGACACTCTTCAGTGCAGATGTTTTGGATAGGGTTAAGTCAGATCCTTGTATGATCTTCATCATGGTGGAAGGCTGTATTTTTTTTTTTTTCCTCCCCACTTTGATGTATGATGAGTAGGTGAGTATATGGCACACTTTGCCTGTTCAGTCAGTGCATTGATATTACTTGAATTATTTTATGGAGTAACTGAGGTAAGATACTTCTGTAGCTCATCTTCCTTATAGATTAAAACATGTACTGTTAAACACAATGGCAACACAATCACAGTCACACATCTGCCCAGACCGTGGGTGTCTTGCCACTTGCCAGTTCAGTGAAAATATCTGCTTCTCTCAGTTTTGGATTTAATAAAAAGAGGCATTTTGTGTTTTGTTTTATTATGATTGTGTTGTTACTAAAGCCCTCTAGTGAAAACTTCCCCTTGAGTTTTCCATTAAGGAGTATCACAGGATTACACCTGAAGATCCTAACATGTGTGTTTATAGCAGATTGTATGAGATGCTGCTCTGGTTTACATGACATGTAGAGCGTGCGACAGACCAGAGGGCACTTAAGTTTGTCCTTTGATATTTGTACGCAGCAGACACCATGGTCTATATGGAGATGAATCATGCAGCAGCACATATGGTAATGTAGCTGTCCCTTTCTCCACACTCATATTTATTTTTAATTATGGCCATCAGATGCTTGGTGAATTTTGAGTTGATCATTTCCCGTGAGCTGCCTGTCACCCACAATAATACAGTAAGAGGCTCTTAATGTAGAATATAATATTGACCTTTGAATGCCACAGTCTGCCGCTGCCTGCTGTCACACTAGGTTAGGAATAGTGAATGCCTTTATTTACTTCATTATTGTTCTAAAACAGGTCTGTGGGCCATCTGATGAAAGAACAGAAACAAGTTGTCATATGCAATCATAGACTAATGGCTTAGAAATCATGAAAAACAGTCAGAGCTAAGGCCCCACAAGATGCAGGGGCCACAAGAATTAGATTCCAATTTTGGTATTGTAACAGTTTTTAGGCAATGTTCATTAGTGATCCAATGAGGTTAATTTGGTCTTCCGATAATATATGTTATTAGGTTCTTTTGTCAGACCAAGAGTTTGTTTTCATACCTGACAATTTCAACTGCTCCAGTAGGAAGACAGTGCCAAAACCTGTATAAATCACTGACCAGTCATGTCACAGCAACATCATGTGACCACTCTGAGGAAGACCGCTAGTGAGCAGTCGAAACTGTCAGGTATGAAAACAAACTCTTGGTCTGAAAAAATAACCTAATGACATCAATGTTCATGGGTGATAGTTGGGAGGTTGTCATGATAAGCTAATCATGGGAGTATAATAAGAGGTTATTCCTGGGTGAAGGACATCCATGGCACAAAGCAACCATCATGTGCTGTCAGAAGCTGAGAGAGGCTCTGTACTACTAATTCAGTTAACAATTTTGACTATAAGTTGTTATTAGTCCATGTGGGTTGCTAACCCGCTATCAGTGCACACATTCATGGTTTTGTTTTTCAACAAAAAGATGAGAGTGACTTAAATTAAAGTTTAACAATCCTCAGACAGAGCATGCCTACAGTTAGCATGTAATAATCCATGCAGCAAAAAGACAGGTGAAAGATATGGGTTGCTAGCCTGCTACTAGCCTTCAACTTTAGGCTATTGACCAATGATTTTTGCTAAAGCTTGCTAAAAGCTGGCTTCAATGAATGCAGAGGTGTCTAACATACCTGCTGTGTCCCCCAGGATGTTGTGGCTCAGGTCCAGATACTGCAGTTTGCTGTTAGTGACCAGAGCTGAAGAGAGATGCTCTGCAGCGTGGTCCGTGAGGCCATTGTTGGACAAACGAAGCTGAGTCAGAGTGTTGTTCTCCTTCAACATACTGGCCATGGCCTCTGCCCCCACATCCCCCAGCCTGTTGTCAGACACGTCCACTTCTACCATGTGGACACAAACACAGGTAAGTGTGTCTATGGTTTGTCATTGAACTGTGCAATTAAGCCTTTTCACTTTTGCCATGAATTTAAGTCTGTTGACCAATTATTTACATGGTTGTAATAATGTGTGCTAATGTGTAGTAGGCTAATGTGTGCTCTTACACTGAAAGTGCCCACATCGGATGTTCTGGTAATAAATTACGCGGCGTCAATTCTGAGCCGGTCAAACTTTGTGTGCAGAAGTTTGCCCAAACCCAAAATAGAGTCTTATGCACAAGCAAAGGAAGTGTTAGAGCTAGCTCACACTGATTTAGCTGGCCCAATAGAACCTGAAGCTAAAGATAGTTTTAGATACACTTTAGCATTTACTAATGTTTACTCAGGGACCACATTTGTGTATTTCTTACAAGCACAAAGTGACACTGTAAAACTAAAATAAAAAGAGCCTCTATAGAGCTGTTTACTTTCTGTAAGAATGGACCTCAGGCTTGGGCTTTTCCTACCAGTGCCAAAGTGACACGTGACAGTTGAGCTCAATATGAAATCGAATCGTAACACAAGAATCAAATAATTTGATCTTTTTTTGAGAATGTTCCATCCTGGGAACTGGGACTGAGACTTTGTTGGCCGGATCATTTTAACCTTAACACTCACATTTCACTGGATAAAAATAACACACATCATCATTTTGACAGGCTCAGAACTGATGCCCCATAACTTATTAACGGAGTCCAAAATCAAAAGTTGGATTGAATCGTGATTTAAGTGAATCATCCCATCTCTTGTTATAATAATCCAGTTTATTTGTGAAGGGGCCCCAGGGGTGATTTTGTATTTTGATTCATCGTCAAAAAGGTTTAGAACCCCTGAAGAAATTGCAGTCAAATGGGCAGTATTTTCAATGCAGGTGAATGCTTTAATTGATAGAGAGTGGCAAGGCTAAACACTACTAAACACTAATATGATTTCCTTTATCAGCTTTGGACAAATTTCTATCAATTTACAGAAATTTTGGCCCAACATATTTGTCCAAGGGTGATTTTCAAAACTGGGACACACCCGGATTGGGGTGGTTGGTAAAAGTAAAATTGTGACAGAGATCACAAACAGAGAATTATCCATTCTTGAATCTGTTGTGGGTCAGTCATAATCAGAGGTATTTCTGTTGGTGCAAAAGAGTGCTTTTTTGCCTTATGGTCATTTTCAAGCATGTTTTTCTGTATTTTAGCTAAGCAATGACAATATTTTGCTCTCTTTACTGTTGACAGGTATCAAATTGTTTAAAAATAGGGACACCTGGGACATTTCTTGTATAAAACTGAGGCAAATCAATGGTTTTGGATAAATCTGCTGGGACAGGCGACACAGGGCTCAAAACTGGGACTGTCCCGGGTAAATAAGGACATCTGGCTACCCTACCAATGCCTCTGCCATTCCACCATTTAGTATTGTTAGTGTTTCGTGTTAGTGTCTCTTGAGTCTTTGTTATTTGCTGTCTTGGCTGCCATACATACGCCCCGGTGTCAGCTAATAGTGGCTGCGCATGTTGAAACGTACAAATTGGCAATAAGCTCAGAAAACATTCACAACAATTGGATTATCTTAAAGTCAACGCACGGCATGTGGCGCAGGGTGTTAAAGTACAATAAACCCGGGCTGGAATCATTGCTCACAGATCCCCGAAGCCTGAACTGCTCATCTGACTGACATTTACCAAATAGACGAGTGAAGCCCAGATGTTAAATCCTGTACCGTGGCGTATAATTGGGGTTAGAGTGGCATGCGCGTGGGAGGAAGGTGGCACTTCTCAACACAAAGGTGACATGGGGAGGAAGAGAAAATGAGTGTACGCCTGAATGGCTGCTAAAAACCCACCTGTAATGTAACAGTTTTCCTTCAGCATTTGGGCTATCGCAGCTCCGCCCAGTCCCTCCATCCAATTATCTCGCAGATTCAGCTTCAGAATTGAAGTATTGGTTACCAGGGGAACCGCCAGTGCTTTGGTGCCCTGTTAAAAAATTGGGGGGGAGTGAAATTCTTGTCTTTGGTGGCTGAAGAATGTTTTTGTATCTGTATTTCAAGGTATCTTAAAAAGCAAATGTGGCAATTTGGAGAGGTAGCAGAGAAGAGATGTGAATTAATATGAAGCTGTCACAGAATAAAGGAGATTTGTGTGGAAGTTTGTGACATATGGGGTTGAATTAGTACAACTGTAATACAGTCTGTTTACTGCTAATGAGAAGTTTGTGTAAGAGTGTGTATCTTTGAGAACATGTAAAGTACTTTCAGTTATCTTAAAGGTACACTGGAGGGTCTGCCGTGTGGTTTTCTACATGGAGATGCTATTGCTTTGCCTATTATACTCCACAATATGGCATTAAAATAACCTCTCTTTTTGTTGTTTGTTTGTTTAGTTTTTTTCCTCAGTGAAATAAGAACATATATCTTGACTGAGGGGGGTCACCTCTTCACAGATCTGACCTGTAACTTGGCCTGGTGACATCACCTGCTTGTCTCCATGACAGGTTAATGCCATGCCATATCGTGTGAACTTATAAGCAAAGCAATAACATGTCCTTAGTGACCAGCAGGTGGCAGATCCTCCACTAGAAAAGTTACATAGGGCACCTTTATATCTTTATCTTTTTATTGTCTTTTTTTTTTGCATTCAGAAGTAATGCCATACTATAAAGAAAAGTCATAGCAGCTTATAACTTTGATCATTTTATGCTTTTTCACATTAACAGTCAGCAGTTGCACTTATATTAATCTTCATTGTAACTACACTAGAAACAAGTTTGAGTCATTCTTCATCATTTTAAGATACGTTTAAATCTGACAGGCAGTCTCACATTTTGTACTAAGCACTGGAGCACTTGCTTTTAAACTGTGAATGACATTAAAGAAGCACTATGTAACTTGGTGGATGATCTTGGAAATATAATTACTTTGCTTATGTTGTTGAATGAATGAATGTTCCACAGTATTGCTTTAAACTTATTTATCTCCATAGAGACAAGCAGGTGATTCCACCAAGCCAAGTTACAGCTCAGATCTATAAGGACAAGGTGGCAGACTCTCATAATTTATCTTTTTTTTTTTTCCCTGACCATTAATAAAGAGCAACTTAAGATGAATATAGCTTACTACATTTATGACTTTGTGTCTGGATGAGTCACATTGACTAGTTGTGAGGACATTAAATAAGAAACCTTTTCCACTGCAGATATTTACATTACCATGACAGGCAGGTGAAGACTTAGATAAAATCTATTTTAATTCTGCGAGGATAATGGCACCTGAGACCAAAGCCTTGTTAAGCAATGGATTTACTTTCATTTACTCTGTAGATAGCAGCAGCAGACAATCATGTGTAGGTTCTTCACTAAGAGCCTTTTCTGAAATTGCACTGAATTAAGGTGAGCTGCGACTTTTACATTACATCTGCCAGTGCACTATTCATTATGGGTGCATTAAAAATCATATTGTTTTAAACCATCTACAAGATTATGATAGCATTATTTATTTATGTATTTGTTTATTTACTTTTTTTTTTTTACTTTTTTTGTTTATTTATTTATTTAATTTAAATTTCAATTTTTTATTAATTAATTTTTTTTACATATCACTGAAAATTAATAATATTTGAGAGCAGTTTGCAAAGAAACATTGTGTTTCTTTTCTAATTAATAGCACCATTCCATTAAAGTTACCACGGTGACAATGAACACATTAGCAAACAATGCGAAAAATTCTGCGAAAAACATCTGAAAACTAAAGAAAAAGAAAACTGGATTTAAACAACACATTTTCAGGTTTGTGATCAATATAAGTGTTCATGAAAGATGAGAGTGACTAAACTAATCAAAGAAAGCTCAGATTAAAGTTTAACAAAGCCTGCGGATAGCATTACATCCCAGGGATGTTGATGACATCAGGTGCAATACAGTAATGAAGTACCAATATAATATTGTCGTCCGCATAGAAATCCATACAGCAAAAAGACACGTATGTGAAATTACTTTTTGAAGTTGGCTTATATCCAAGGAATCGTCAGAATCACTAACATTAGCAATTGCCCCTGAACTGCTATTGTGATGTTGTCTGATTTAGGTATCACATATAATTGGCAATGTTAATTTCTATCTTTGTTTTGCATACACATAACATTTTTATTTTTAATTTTTTTTAAACTACGTAAGTACTTTTTACATGTTTTACTATATATTCAATCACAGTAGTTATTAAGTATGGACTTGATGTGGTGGTGAAACAGGTGCTGTGATTTCAGAGAAAACGAGACAAAAATACATGTAGTACAAATGTTAATGAGTTCTCAGAGGAAAACAACACAGCTTCTATTTGTAGCATGGAGTTTTTGCTTTTAAACTGCAGCAGTAGACGGGGCCTGGAGGATTTCATATGCAAATGTATACAGTCTCGTACGTCACGCATGCTATATTTCTCCGAGAACGGGGCTATCTCCTGGAGCTTCAACTTTATTGGGTCTTATTTCTGATTCTCCCCGATATGGCGATGATGAGTGCATTTCACATCGGGGTATGACTTGAATTAATCAGCCCTCCACCGAGCAAAGAGCGGGGAGCGTCTCCTGCGGAGCCAGAGTGGAATCATTTGAGCATATTTAGCTTTGGCTTAACCTGGCCCTGACCTTTGTAAATGCTGCATGCTTCGTGAGCTCATTATTAGCCATAGCATTGATGCTGAAGTGTGTAAGGTGAAGAGATGGTCACGTAGGATGCATTTGAAAGCACTTACCACATACTTGCATTCTAATTTGGTCATAGTGGTAGGTATATGTGACAGGCACATGCCACCATATGCAATTACGGCTGTCAGCTGGATAAACGTGTATTGTCTGTAGTCTGTGTTCACGTCACTTAGCTCAGCGTCTCCTGTCAAACTGCCCTGCACACTTGTACCTGATACATTCTATGTATAGAGGTCTTATGGGGGGAAATGTATTGTATGCCTTAGGGCTAGTTGAGTAAAGAAATTCTTGGTGAACTAAAGAGAGGCCTTGCAAAGTGCTCAGCATTGTTAGGATTTTATTATGATCACTACTACTATAAATATAGTACAAGGCATTAAGACTAACTCACTTCATGCATTCTCCTTTCTGTGGTTGTGCATATAAATCATAAGAACCCTAATAAAATTATTTGTTGAAAAATCACAAGTTTGGTTCCCTAAGACACCACTGACTTGATTAATCAACTACATTATGAATAAAGAAGTCCGCCCTTGTATGTGTGTGTTATATTACATTTGGAACATAAATAGGATCAGAACACTGCTAAGGACTCGCACATTAGTTCTCTGGTATGTGCCGTACTGAAATTTAAAGGATTGTGAATAGCGTTAATTACTTAATTGAGCTACATCTTGACATCCCAATAAGGTTGCTTATGTGGAAACCTAGGACTGCACAAATCATCGATTACATTACTGTAATTGAATCTGTAGTAACATGTTCTCAGTGTGGTGTTATGAAGAGAGCTCTTTGGGTGTACCTTAGGTCCCAGGCCTCGGTGCTCCATGACCAGCTCACTGTCCCTCATGTGCTGCAGGAAGTAGGAGGCTGGGACCACCCTGAGCCTCTCACACACCTTCAGGTAGCACTGCCTTCCCGTGGGATCGTACTCTGGACCCTCATCTGAAACACACATCACTCATGAAGAAGCATACCTCCAGAGGCAACTACCTAATCCTATTCTTTACCTTAATCAACACTTGCAGAAAACAGGTTTAGTAACTACATGCAACCTGCACTCCTCTTATTTTAAAAATGTACTGCAACCCTATCTGAACCCTGGTTGCTAGTGTGTTTACCTGAATATAGAGGAGTCTTTTTTTTTTTTTTTTTACTCAGCCATTTGAAAAGCTCAGAACCTCCAGAATTCCCTCACTGAGCTGCCGAGGCTACACTAGCATTGATTCATGATGGTGTTCGGCTTTAGGTAGTGAACATTCAGATCAGAAGAGATTCCTTTTAGGCACAAAGCAAATGTAATTCAACACTGAAACTGGCAACCCAAATGAGAGGCTCATTCTGCTTTCTGATTGCGTAGTCCTTTTGTAGCATACTATGTACCAACCAAAGTCCACATGTGAACATTTGTGCTTATCCCCAGCAGATGGTTTTGGTGGTTAAAAGGAAATAACACAAAGCCTAAGATGAAATCATTGAAATGCAAAACAGGGCTTTCTACATGTGTGTGGGTAGCGGTGTGTTTTCATATTTCCATTCTTCTCTGAAATGATTAAGGGACACAAGATGGATGACTTTGAAAGAAAATGGAAACACAGATGGGCCAACCGGCGGGTTTTTGCTCATCTGGTCTTGTTGTGATTACCATTGAAAGCCCTCGCCAAAATGTTCTACCTCTGGGCCTTGTAAAACCACAGTAAATAACAGGGGACATAAAATGGCCTCTATCAGAATCATCGCTCTCATCAAAGCTGGTTATAAACTGTTACGACTTTTCCCTCGCAACACTTTTAGCCTCAATATAAAATGACTCTACCTTCCTGCTCCAAGTCTGTGTCAAATTCTTCATAAGAGAATAGTTCATTGCTCAGTGATCCTTCGTGTCCCCCCTCTTCCTCCTCCTCCTCCTCTTCTTCAGTGTGGTGGTCTGCAGCAGAGCCACTAGCACTCCGGCTCTGTTCCTCCAGCCCACGCATGTCATCTACTGTCCCAGATGCTCTTTGCTGCTTGAAAAATGAGTAAATTAGATGTCGTGACTAGTCAAAGCTGACTGTTCTCAACATATCTACTTTATCAGGTCCATTTGTTGCAATAGTAATCCAACCTGATTGAACAGGCTCTTCGAAGTAAATGGTTTACATCAGAGGTGGTTAGCCAAGAATTCACATTTAGACTTAATAAGGGAGGAGTAACTAAAACTTTTATTCAAGTAAGAGTACTGTTACATTATAAAATATGTTACTCAAGTAGAAGTAAAAGAATAGTATTTAAGTACTGTTTCTTAGTTACTCAAGTAAATGTAACCGAGATTTACCCACCTCTGTTTAGAGTAGGTCAACCGTTCACTGTTAATGCTGATTTAGTTAGTCCTACCTTGTCCAGTAGCAGCTTCTCTTGGCTCATCTTAAATTAATCATGTACTTCCACAAAAGGAGTCACACATCCCCACCCCTGAATTTAATAATCATTATTCCTTTAATCCATACAAATACTGCAAACTGTTCTTTCCAAATAAATCCCTGCAGAAGTCGGGCTGCAGTTGTGTGTCACATTGTCCTACAGGGCCATAGCTGCATAGACCAATCACAGCTCTTGTAAAGTTTGCAGGGCCCATTTTTGTTGATAGGTTGCCATGACAGTGAGCAGTGTCTCAGCTCTGCCAGTGCTGCCTTGTGCGTCATGACAACCAGTACTTAGAGACACAGTCAAAGTGGAAGCTAATGGACTTATTGTGGCCATGCAAATGAGTTGACCTTATGAGAGTATCTTCAGCTGTGAAAAAATAAAAACAGGAAAACAGATTATTCTGTAAATGTTTATTTAAGTAAATGCAAAGTCCTTGCAGTTGATGCATTAAAATGTGATATAATCATTCACACAGCAAAGGTCATAGTAGCATTGGCTGACTGGAGATAATTATATTAGCAGCAATATGCAAACACAGAAGAAACCTCAGTCCATAGCTGCGTGGAGAGGCCCACGGGCCCAACAGTGTCACTGACCAACAGTGCTGGTTAAGACAGCTTTTTTAAAACTAGGAACTGGAAACAGCGTCATGCATTGATTTAATGCTGCTCTTTTAACCCACACTATGACAAGAAACTGTCATTTTGAAAACAAGCAATGCTTTTTACTTATTCAAAATACATTCTTAGAAAAGAGATTTATATTTTATACTCTGAATACAAGTTATGTATATATTTATATAGAAGCTATATCCTTTGTTTTCCTTTTGCACATTTTACATCACAGACATTTGACAGCTCAATACAATTAAACAAAATCATTTAAATTTTTCTACAAAGGGGGCATTCATTCATAACAAGGGTAACAAGGACAACATTGGTGAGAAAACGTCAGCTGTTACGAAAGCTCGAAAATTACATGTTTTAAATAGTCATGCCATAAATATTTTTAATAAAGAAAAAGACAAACATGGAAGCCACAGGTTTCTGCAGAACGGATGAACAAGCAGCAGTGGGGCTCTTGCATGCATATTTAAATCACTGACTCATTTGAAAGCGGCAAATGACCACAGCGCCAGTCTAATTTCCCTTCTCAATGAAAAACTTCAACGATGGGTGCCAAAGTCAAGCTAAGAAAGCCAAAGCCACGTGGGCAGTTTCCTACAGACCACAACACCATCTGTACAATAAAATAGAATATGAGTCAGAGCCAGTGCATGCCAGTTGAGAATGAGAGCCATGTCGAGGAAGGGAGGGAAGCAGCGTACACCTGAGGGCACACACATGCACACGCACACATAGCCACGCCCACAGAACGCACTGGTCAGGTGACGGGCCCATGCTACACAACAGATCACAGTGAGATCGGAGCGCGAGCCACCATAGATTCATGCAAACACCTAGAGGAGGGATGCGTAGGCAGAGGCAGAGTTGATGTAAGGCAAGAGGCACACGTGTTTATGATGCTCCATCCCAGTTTGGTTGACAGCCAAAATAATTTTACATTTTTACTTACAAATATGCTTTATTAAATCACAATTAAATGTTTATAGACTTTTTAACAATATCTTTCCACCAGGGTGATTTTTGCATCACTTGAATACAGTTACATTGAACACATGTGTAGTTGCAGGCTTTTGGATAGCATAAAAGAGCTTTGATAAAAGATGGTCCGCGGGCTAGATTTAAGGCGTCCATTTTGCGTGCAGATGTTGTGAACACAAGCACCAGCTGGAGCGTAGTGATGAGAGGATAGACAGGCCACTAAACAACTGCCACTGCGCTGATGTACTCTGATGGATGACCACTGAACAGCGAGATTGCTTGTTTGGGGCTTTGACAGAATAGTTTTTTATAATTTAGGAAGAGACATTGGATTGGCTCTTTTCTGGCATCAGTGTCTGGCCTGTTGATTCTTCTGCAATTTCAAGACAATACATGTTTTAAAAAGGACAGACTAACATCCAGCCGTGCTCTTGTGTTCATTTTAAAGTTTCTGAGTTTCAATGTCATACAAGTCTTTGCAAATAGAAACCCAAAAGAAAGCCTGTAACTGTAACAATAACACATAGTATAATATTTTCTCGATTATATTCTTGTCATGCATTCACAATGAGGCAGGTCATTTCACTAAGTGCACATTTTAAACCCATTTCAATTATATTTGGACAAGCAGAACAGAGTCTCAGAACATTTCCTGTTTGCTACAGACAAATTGCAGAGCCCAACAGAAATGTAGTATCAAAAAGGAGCAACCCATTTTTACAGTACAAAAGTTGGCACAGTATTCTCTCAGTGACGTGGGTCCATCCAGACTTTGTTGGCGAGACTGCAGACCTACGAGCAGAAAACCCTGCAAAAAGCAGACATTGTAAGAAATTGCCTCAATGATGGATGCGACAGTGATTACTCATGCAATAACAGGCAGCAATGGCCAAATGTGAAATTCAAGTGACAATCCACATTATACTGAAGCTTAATGAGCCATAGTGGTGATGCAGGGTCCTTGTTTTGTACAGAGAGCATGGATACGTGAAGTGTCGAATCTTCAATAAGCACAAATAAGGCACAAACAAATGGAAGAGAGCCACTTGCTCCTCATCTAAGCCCGTTTAAGTGCCTTTCTACATGGGTTTCCATGGTAACCTACTGTTTTCACTGGAAACGAGGGGTGATCACACGTCCTGGTGCCAATAACTACAGGTTGCAAGATGGAGTTGGACTTGAACACAAAACTGGCTCATATTAAGTCAGATGAAATAGCACATTGAAGAGATTTAATGTGCTAAAATTAGGCAAATCAGACATTAAACAATTTACTGTCACAACAGTGCCCACTTCTACTTTCTTAAAAATAACCAACTAACTTTGAAGTGCTTTATCGCATAGCCTTTTCTCCAATAAACACTTGTGGGCAAATAACCAATATTACCTCTTAATGCAGGGATCATATTCATGCCTGTAATTCGCCTTTAAAAGGGGTCGTTACAGAAATGATTGAGCACTTTATAAACATTAGCCTCAGCAGGAGATCCGTTTCTCACTAAATGGCCTGCTGCTCTGGTGCACATGATTGAGAGGTACTCACTCATCAGAGTCCTTTTTGTTCTCCTCAATGTAGGCGATGGACTCAGAGCGCAGGCGATTTGTGACCTCATAGGTGCGCAAGGTAACACCAAAAATGTCCTCATGGTAGCGGTTTTCATCCTGACAAAAAGGAATCAAACTCATTTATATGAACATTGCAGTTTAGTAGAAAAAAATAAAATAAAATGTCAGTCTAGATTTGTATGGTCATGTAACATTTGCACGTCATTTTGTGTTAGTGTCATAACCAGAAGAAGAGTTGAGGGTGTAAAATGGTAAAATGGGCCAGTGCTCACCCGGAGTTTGCTGATGAAGAGGCCTGCGTCCTCCAGGCTCATGTGGCCGTGTTGCTTGATGATTTGCTGAACAGTCTTGAGAACATCTCCAGCCATAGTCACGTCTCCGCACACGTAGATGTGTCCTCGCTCCAGCTTCAGGCACTGGTACACCATCTCCGACAGCTGCTCGCGCAGTACATTCTGGACATATTTCTGAAGCACATCCACATGACCATTAGTGTTACCATTACTAAATTAAAAAAATAAAATCAGCGCTGAGGTTCTTTACCTTTGGTTTGCCGGGTTCTCTTGAATATGCAGCGTAGAGCTCCTTGAAGATGTTCTTGTTTTTAGCCTGGATGGTTTCCTCTTTGTAAATGTGGTCGATCTCAGATTGCCGACAGCCAAATACAAGGACCATGGGGCACGACTCAATCCCTGATCACAAATATACGTTCAAGATTAATAGGCTGTGTATCCAAACATAATTTTAGACATAATTTTTGGTTGTTTGTGTTGAGACAGAAATGAACACTCACCTTTGTGTTCAAGATCATACAGTCTCTGCTGCCAAAAGCTTCTGAAGGGTGCAATGCCTGTCCCAGGACCGACCAGGATACAGGGTGCATGGTTGTCTTTAGGAAGACGGAATGATGGAGCCCTACAACACAGTTCACACACACCAATTTAATTAACTAACACAGATGACCAAGATTTTCAATCAGTGCATTACAATTGTAATGAGACACCTTTCAACATAAGTACGTATCATTTAATTACCCTCTGACAAAGCAGGGCACCATCTCCCCCTTCTGTATCCTGTTAAGCCACGAAGAGCATACTCCATGGTGGATAGGTCCTTTTCCATCTGAAAGCAATCATTAACAGGCAAACACTTTAGTTTCCTCCATACACCCACTCAGCACAAACCAAGTGCATATGAGTGGCCATAACATGTTCAAGGCACAAGACTCAAGCACATTTTAAGCCTTCTCTCGCTTTGCTCTCACAAGTAGACTTCTCTGGTTTGGAGACAAGGTAGATTGATGAAAGCTTGAAACAGTAATATAGATTACATTTACACCTGTGATCTGCCTGCTTCACAAAAGAAGGCTGTATTAACAAGGCTTGAAATGAGTGTCCTTC